ACATCTCAACATCTCAACATCTCAACATCTCAACATCTCAACATCTCAACATCTCAACATCTCAACATCTCAACATCTCAACATCTCAACATCTCTATTACTGGTATTATCCCTCCGTCTCATCGACGCCGTGCCTAGTACTTGCCGGGCTCGCCAGGAACGCCGCTCGCAGGTGCGACAACAGCGCTGCCAGGCGCCACCGCACTGCCCGGCGCCACCGCACTGCCCGGCGCCACTCCACCCGCACTGACAGGCGCCGCGCTCCCAGGCACGCTTCCAGCGGTGCCTGTAGGCTCCTCCGCGAGGCCCTGAGTCTGCAGCGGCGCCGGACTCTTCTCGTCCGCGACAGGCACATGCGCGCCCTCGTTCAAACTACCATAGCCCGCGACCGGGCTAGTAGGGCTGACCGGGGGCACATCGCTGGTCACCTGTCCCGCAGCCTGGCTGATGACTTGCCACCACTGCTCCGCGGCCTGGGGCGTGTGCGCCTTGAATGCGGATTCGTGGTTCATGGAGAATGTGTTGCCCAGCTTGCCCTTTGACACGTCCTTGCCCTTGACGTTGAACTTTTGCCCGCTGACGGCGCCGATGGTGCAGTCTGGTAGGTACAGCGAGAACTCTGGCACGGGGTCTTTGGCGAAGTCGTCGTCGGTTTTGAATTCGTGTAGGAACTTGGAGGGCGTGACGACGTAGTAGTTTGTGTCGTACGAGCGCATGATCTTGCCCTTCTTCTCGAGGGAGCCGGAGATCAGAGGCTGCGTGGAGCGGTGGTTTTGATTGGCGAACTTGATGTCCTGCACTGTGCGCGCAGGAGACGCCGGGTCGATGAGGACCTGGTTGTTGCGCTGGATGAAGCCGTTCCACTCAAAGTCCAAGGGGATGCGCTGTGCGGTCCCGACGATGTCGCCGTAGGCCGTCTTTGCCTGCTCAGCCTGCGTGTTGACGACCTGCATGAACTGACCCATTCCGTGCTGGACCGTCTGGATGATGTGTGCCTCGAACTGCGCAAACGAGTTTTGCACACTGATGAGGTCCTGTCGGTTGTTGTTCTCCTCCTGCACCTGCTTGTTCAGGCGATGCACCACACCGCGCTGCAAGATGTATGGGTCGTCGGTGGCATTCATCTTACCGCCGTGCGACTCAAAGGTGGCCGTGTGCTGGCCGAGGAGCTCAATGTGCTTCTGTGTGCTGGCCCGCGTCTTGTCGACCTGTTTGCTGCCCTTGCCAGCGCCCTTGGAAAGCTCCTTGCTCTTGTTCTTGATCTCGGTGTGCAGGCGCTCGAAGATGGGCAGGATGACCGTCTTGAGCTGCTTCTCCGTCTCGTAGTGCTGGTTGGACATGCCCTGCGGTTCGATTAGAATGCGCTGATCGCTGCGCATGTGCTGCTGCTTACCTGTGTGTTGGACCTAATGTTCTCGAACATGCCTGCAATACCGCCCAGCGACTGGTCGAAGTGGTGTCCCTCTTTCAGCGGGTCCTTTACTGTCTATTTGGAGTCAGCATGCCGTAACAGTCGATCCTCCCATACCTCTTACCTTCAAAATCCTCTCGTACTCCTTTCCGTGCGCATGGTGTGTCTTCTCGGTCGCTGTGATGTAGTCCTCGAGGTTAGAGGTGGCATGCTTCCATGCCTGGAGGCGCTCAGCGAAGAGCTTTGTGACCTAAATCTGCGTCAGCTTTGCAGTCGAAAGGAGAAGGTTGGCTCCTGACCTCGGAAGTGTCCTCCCCAGGAATGGCCTCGGAGTCCGAGGTGTTGGTGAACGAGCGCGTAGGCATCTCGCTGGTAGCAGACTGTGGGACACTCATATTTGCAATGTATAGTGATTGTGTAGAAGTGTGAGAGTTGAAGTGATCTGGCGCAAAGAGGGGATGCGGTGTATTTAGGTAGGCTAGCTGTGTTGTGCCAGTTGCGGGGCTCGTTGGCAGGGGAGCGTAGGAGATGATTCCGCTTCGGTACTTCAAATGCGGAGAGTCAAAAATGTGCAGTCTCAAAGCAGCGTGCGTTAGGTCAATATATACAGACTGGAGGGCCTCACGCCAGTCTAGACCAGCAAGATCGCAAGAGATCCCCAGCAAGGTTGTCAGCCATCGTGAGCTCGAGTCCGACGTGGGAGGCGTCGATCATTCAGGGTTCAATCGCGCTAAGGTCCGGGTGATGTCATCGCCCAAACAATTTGTCGTGCATCCTGCATCGATCAGCCCGGTAGGGCTGCGACCAGCACACCAAACTCATGCAGATCAACATCTCAAATGTTACCTTTCCCTGCTGCGCCACGATCCCTTGAAGAGAATCATACTCAACTTGGCATTTCTTTCGAGCATCGAGGCTGATGCCGCGGAGATGTTCGTGGATCGCGAGGAGCGATGACGAACGAACGAATGGCCCATATTGCCTTGCCGGTACGAGAACGAAGCATGATCATACTTGGATATTATACGCCCTCCTCAAGAGCATCCCTCTTTTAATGCAGCGTGAAATACTATAGTGCTTGCTAAATGGCTGTGTTCCTGTAGTCTCTGTTGATCAACAGGTACCTGCGTGTGCCGACGCTACAGCTGTCAAGTTCGACAATGGGACCTCACTAGGAGATGATCCGAAAAGCCTGATTGGCATGGGGCAGACACTTGTGGCGTCTAAGTTTCATGAGCTGGACCCCAGATAGTATCCGAGCATCGCGGCCACATGAGCCGTGTTCTACACATTACCCATGCGTGACGAGCCAAGATCGCATCATTACACTTTGAGCAAGGGAGAAAGAAAGCTATCCAAAGCATGCATTCGTTTTCATATCCATATCGTGACTATCGTAAGATGCTAGAAAGCGTGGGTCAGAACTATACTAACAATATACGGGGAGCACCAACAGCGGTAAGAGTGTACTGTGGCGCCAAATCCAGAGCGCCGCCCTATCTGTTGAACCAATTTCCATCCGTTTCTCCCCTCAACCTCCCTGTTTCTCGTCTTTCCTACTCATGGTCGATCGTACAAGCCCTACTGCCTGAGCTGTTCAGCTGACACACTGACAGCGCCGACCTCGCCAACCATGTATCCCTCGGCATCCGCACCAACTGCAGCACCAGCAAAGCCAGCACAGCTCATCACAAGGGTCACGTCCTGGCTCGCGCCCTCAGCTCCAGGACCGGCGGTGAAGCGCTCTGTACGCGAGACCCAGCTAGTCTGCGGGGTCGCGGTGAAAACAGAGTTGCTACCGATTCTGAGCTGGACCGAGCATCCGCTCCGTGAGTCCGCTTGTCGTGTAAGTGCGGTCAGCTCGTACTGTGTGCCCGGGCATAGAGTCAAGGGCTGTGAAAGCGCTACTGTCTGCCCTGGGAATGCGGATCGGAATCGTGCAATGGTGCCGTTGTCTTGAGTGACTGATTCAATAGGAATAGTCGGGTTGAATTGGCTGACGAACCAGCCCTCAGTGCTGTTGTTGGGTTGGATATTGAAGGTGGGCGAGAGGACGAGGTTGCCAGTGTCCTTGCATGCAGCACCAATCTGTTCTTGGGTGGCAAGAGTGCCAGAACGACGGAAGCGGGACACGGGTGCAGCTGTAGCTTCGCTGAGGACATCCGAGCTGGCCGGGGCGGTAACATCAGACACGACGCTCGAGACAGCGCTCAGGATAGCTGAAACGACAGGTGCTACTTCAGAAGTGGTGGGTGCGGCATCGCTCGCTGTCAGACTCGAAACCGCTGATGCAAGGCTCTCTATAGCAGAGGGAAGTACGGAGGCATCTGTAGGCTCGGTGGCGCTGCCGTCCGTCGGGAAGGTCCCGTTCAAGCCTGTCGGAGCTGCCGCCTCTGCATCAGAGGTGATGCAAGTAGGAGCAATGATGGGGACAGTCTCAACAGTATAGGTAGTGATGATCACCTCCCTAGTGATAGTAGAAAACTCGGTCGGGCTTGGGCATGCTTCTGCCGTCGGTGCCGTGGGTCCTAAAGGCAGTGTAGAGTTGCCGGTGGGGAAAGGCGGCGGGGTGGCTGTGATGCTGCCAAAACCGCCAGTACCAGTTGTCAGAATTACACCAGAAGAGAGTGTCCGACTGAAACGACCAGTGCGGTCGCCGTCGCTGTTGGTGAATACTGGACCAGTCGAGTTCTGCATAGGCAGCGACAAGGTAGAGTTCAATGACGCTGGGGGGACCGTGATTGACGGGGGTGGCGCTGTAGTGGAGTTCAACGGCACAAAAGGTGTCTCAACAATAATCGTGATATTAGTAGTCGGTGAAGGGACGACGATCGTGATGTTGCTGGTCGATAGCGGTGGCAGAATGGTAGAGAGATTGCCCGTCGAGAAGGATGGCACGGTCGAGTAGTTGATCGAGACCAGCGACTCAGAAGTAATGTTCCCAGTGGGCGTTGGTAGCGGTGCCGTTGTGTTATCGAAGGGTCGAGTTGTCGGCGGGATTAAAGTTACGTCTCCGCTAGGAATCGAGAGCGTAATGTTCGTAGTGGCAGTGACGACCAGAGTAGGAGCAGTCTGAGGCACGGTAGGCAGAGGTGTAGTCTCAGAGATCTCGGACGTGGTCGATTCAATGCTTACAGGGAGAGTGAGGGTGGACGTAGTGTTCACTCCAATGGAACTGCTGCGAGAGAAGCTGCCGGTGCGATCCTTCTCGTCAGTGGTTATAGACGATGTCACATTCGCTGGAGCGGTAGGGGTAGGAGTGGGTACAGACTCCGAGACGAGGGTCGAGTTGATAATCGGAATCTCGACTGTTGATGTGAAGCCGGTCGACAGGGGTACAGTAAGCACCAAAGTAGTGTTGGTGCTGGGAGTCTCGATGGCGGTTGTCAGGTTCGATGAGGGTGTAGCGAATCCGCTCGAGGCTGTAGAATTCGAGGTGGCTGTGGCTGTAGAGCGGCTGAACGTACCAGTACGATCATCATCGCTGTTGGTGAACGGTGGCCCAGTCGAGGTGGAGTTGGCGGACGCTGGCGGGATTACACCAGATGCACCTGTGGAAATCGTGAAAGCTGTCTCCGATCCAGTCGAGAAGTTTCCGACACCGCCAGTTGAGAAGTTCCCGGTGGGTGTGGGGACGGGCAGGGTAAAGTTCGCGGTCTCGGTAATGACTAACGTGCTCTCAGGAGGAACGACACCAAAACCGCCAGTGCTATTCGCCGTAGCAGTGGCAATGATGCTTGTAAAGTTGCTAACGCCCGCAGCAGTCGTGATGATTTCAGTGACAACGGTTGGGGTGACAATGCCATTGCCACCTGTAGAGTTGAAAGTCGCAATGGAAGTTGCAGTAGAAAAAGACCCATTGCCTGAGAGCGTGGTGTTGCTGATCTCGACGATGAGTGTCTCGGACGAGACTGCAGTGACCGCCGTCGGTGTCTCGACGCCACTGGCGCCTGTCGACGTGATGGTGAGGATGGTACTTGACACAACAACCACAGCGCTAGTCTTTGGCCCGTAGGAGTTTTCGCTGTCCCATTCTCCCTCGTCAGTGGTGGCGCTGGACACAATCGAGCTCCCTGATGCAGAGACGGATGACGAAGGGGAGATGACTCCACCGCCGCCTGTGGAAGCGGCAGTGGCATTTGAACCGCTGAGAGTGAGCGTAGCAGCACCCGAGGACACGATTGTCTCTAAGATAGGGGTCTCGGTCGGGGTAACAACGCCATTACCTCCGGTGGACAGGAATGTAGAGTTCGCGCCGGAGATCGTCAATGTGGTGGCAGTGGAGGAAACAACAACCTCCTCACTGACAGAGCCGCTGATGCTAGCATTGAGCGAGGCAGATGCGCTTGGAGAGATGATACCTGCGCTTCCGGTGGAGAAGAAGGTCGAGAACTCCTCGCTGACGGTCACGTTACCCGAACCTCCAACCGAGGGTGCTGGTGTAGGAGTAACAATGCCGTCGGAGCCAGTCGACGCCTGCACGGCAGTGGAGAAGAAGGTGGTCAGACCCGCATCGCCACCAGTTGTAGAGGCAGGGACGAAGGTAGCGCCTCCTGCGCCGCCTCCGCCTCTGATGGTGGTAGTGCTATCGCCAGAGATGATTGTTGTGTACCCGTTACCGATAATTGTAGTCACAATAATTGCGGTTATCGTCGAGCCTTCGATCACCGTGGTAGCCGGCTGCTCGATCGTACGCGTGAGCGTGGCGGAGCAGGCCCAGGAAGTCTCGTAAACGGCCCACCAGTTTGCGGACGATGCGTAAATCTCGTACCAGCTGTAGTGGACGAATCCCTGAGCGTCGGTGGTGTTTGCTGAGACGTAAGTGCGCGAAACGCCACCTCCAGAGCTCTGAGTGACGAGGCCAGGAGTCTCGATGATAATTGGACCATTGGTGATGGTTGGGGTAATAGAGGAAGTGGTAGCATTGAGAGCAGCGCACTCATCGCCGTTGGCAAAAGTGCCGGTGTGAACAATCGCAACTGATCCTGGGGCCGGTGAAGTCTGCATCCCGCTGTTTTCCGCAGCTGTGAAAAGCTCGCAAGTACCACCGGTACTCGCATCGGTCGCGTTGGAGGGTGTGAACACGGCAGACTGACAGGCATCTTGTGCACCCTGGGAGTTGAGGAGGGAGCACTGCGCAGCACAAGAGGTTGCGTCAGTGACGGGAATGGGCCTGCCGACCCGATCTTGGCTGATGAGCTCGGTGTTGCAGTATACAGAGTAGCCGAGACGAAGTCCACCAACAACTTGATCGATGTCCTTGTTCACATCATCTTCGTCGCAAGAAAAGGGAATCGCGGTAACGACAGCGCCCTCAGAAGCGGTAGCGGTCGAGTTTCCAGCCTCGACTGACGTAGGAGCGATGGGTACGGTGGTGATAGCTGGCGCGCTTAATGATTCCTCTGCACTGCTGACGGATGACGAGCTGGAGTCTTCAGGAGCGCTTGAGCTGCTGGCTGCATCTGCGCTGGATTCTGCGGCCGCGCTTGAGCTGGAGTCTGCATCGGCGCGAGAGCTGACGGAGCCCGTGCTGGACGTCGCAGAGGTAGCATCGCCAGAAGCCTCAGCGGTAGCAGATTCGCGAACAGTGGCAGTCGAGGTGTAGGTCCTGGTCTCAGTCTGTCGAATGATGTTGAGAACTCGGACACCGACGGTGGTAGTCTTTTGTGTGTCAGCATCGTCCGATCGTTGCCCTTTTGGAATCTTACCACAGCAGGAACAGTGAAGGTATCGGTCACGGTAGATGTGGGCTGCACCTGCTTGCACGAGCAAGCCGTTGCCAGCCCCCGTTCAGCGGCCAGTCTGGCGGCTCCTTTCTTAGTAGCCTCGGCGGTCGAAGCTGGTGCTCCGCTAGCAATCACGGATTCGACGATGGACGAGGCAATGGACTCAATCTGAGCAGCAGCGGCAACCATGCGGCGGCGGACGGATGCCGAAGCAGTTATTGTCGTGGATTCGACGACAGTTGTGGTCAAAACAGTGCGCTGGGTTGTTGTCTGTGTAGTGGTCTCGGATGCGCTAGTCGTGACCGTGCTGCGCAGTTATCAGTTGTGCTTTTAGATCTTCAAAGATCATACTTACACTGTAGGCGTGAACTCAGTGGTCACGGTCGTTGCGTCAAGGTTGAGCCAGTCATTGCAGAAGCCCTGCACGTCGTTGTTCGGGGCGTGGTCGAGAAGGGCTGCGAACTGGTCATTGGGGCAGTCCAAGATCAGATCCTGTCTCTTTCCAAAAAGACTCCTCCAAGTCCACGCGCCCTGAGCCTCGTCGGCGGCGACATTCTTCACTTCGATATGCTCCTCGGTCGTACGATGCAGAACCGAGCCTTCGGTGATCGCAGAAAAGGAGAGGATGGCGGCGGAAGCCAGTACTGAGCGAGTGAAGAACATGATCGAGCACTCAAGTGAGTGAGAGTTGCTCTGACCAGATGTTCAAGTGGTTCCGAGAAAGGTTCGGTGGGTTACAAGCCAAAACCTACCGCCATGTGCACTTATAAGAGAGGATGGTGGAGCTTCAACCCGTTAGCCGGGCTTCCAGCCCTCCAAGATTGCCTCCATATCGAGAATGTGCCTTGCAGGGAGCTTGCAGGGAGCATTGGAGTACTGATCCGGATCAGAGTTTGCAGGCTGGATCAGTTTCACGTGAAGCATGACGGGCTGTGGTGACCTTGCGTGGAACGTCTCGTTGAGCCAACATTCTCAACGGGAAGCGAAGCTGGTGGCTTGCCCCCATTGACGATGGCTTTGTCAGGCTTGGCAGAAACCATGCTCTTCATGGGGGATCGGAATGGAAGGGAGGCCGCCAAGCCGTGACTTCGAGCGCGTTGATGCATTTCGCGCCCCACCATCAACCAGATCCAGAGCCCTCGAGAACATGTGAAGGGATAGAACGCATTTCAAGTACCGGCAACGCGTCCGGGTGTTGCACGGTAGTCAGAACAAGAGACAGAAGAGATGACGAGAGGACCGGCGCAACGGAAGAAGTATTGGTGTCATATGCTGGAGAGACGAGTGATAGATTTGAGGAAAGTAGTCAACCAGGTACAGGGTGGTGAGTGCAGACTTGATTAACAGTGGTCACAATTGGCGATGGCGATAAACTGCTATGGTAAGGCTGCCCGGTGTTGGCTGGAATGAGAGTGGTGCAAGACCAAGGTGAGCGATATGTTGCAGATGTCGAAGCCTCCAAGAGAGGGGCGAGGAGTTGTCAAAGTGTCAGGCGTCAGGAACGGATGGCGGTGCGGCTCCAACCAGCAGTCACGCTTTCTCGCCAAGAAGGTCGGAGGTTTCCAGCGCCGATCAGCACAGGAAAGCAGCCATCGTCACAGCAGCCGGCCAGCCTCTCCTCTCTGTGCCATTGAGCGCTGGGGCATGCCTCTCATGGACGCGCGCGCATTCACTCCAGCCATATACCAGTGAGACACCGCGACACCCGCATCGCTGGCATCTTCCCCGCTTCTTACCACAATTCTCTGATATCACGACTTTCACACTCGCATTCCATGGGTATCTGCGCATCGTGCCTGGGTGGGCGCGCCGACGAAGACGTGCGTGGCACCGTCGACCGTATACGTGCGCTGTCTCTGTGCTAATCCGCCCTTGCAGCAGTCGGACGCATCGCAGCTCCTCGGTGACAGCTACCAGCCGCAGTACGGCACGCTCGAGTCGCGCCCGCAACACACTCCGCAGCCCGATCCAGCAGAGCTCCTCCGCGAGCGAGAGGCGCTCGAGCAGATCTGTGCCGAAACGTCCAGGTGAGTGCCGCCCCCCGCTGCCCTGGTGCTCTTTCAGAGTCAAGCCGTGTCGCTGATCCCTTGCAGCCAGCTCATCACCGTGATACAACCAACGGCGCAACCCGACTCGGACCTGCCCCCGGTCTCAGAGACGACCGACTATGCCCAGCACTTCGGCAAACGCTTCCCCTCGCTACGCGGCTCGAAGAAGGATTCCGCTGCGACTGCTGACGCTGACCTGGACGAGGCCGCATGGCTCGACAGCGTTCTCGGTGGGGATGAGGACGGCGAGGAGCCAGTCAAGGCCGTCCAGGGAGGCCTCACACGCCAGTTTGGCAAGTAAGCCCAGGGAGGCAAACGTTGCGCCGCTAGGCTGAGGCTTGTTGCGGCCTTTCATTGCTTGTCTTATTCCTTTTTGGATACCCATAATGCCTTTTCCACTACTACTTCCCTTTGTCGAAGCATCGCAAGGACCGGAGTCGGTCGCACCACCAGGTATAATACTACATCGATAACTTTGTCTGATCGTCTGTCGTACCAACTAGGTAGTGCACATTGCTTCACTCCGAGGAAATATAGACACTCCATTATCTCTTTTAGGGCATAGCTTTATGAGGCACGAGGACCGTTGAGCCGCGCAGTACACTAGTGCCGCAACACAACGCCAGCTAAAACCCGGAAGATCGAGGCACATATTTCTGGGTCTTCTATACAAAACACCCACCGGTCATCTTCGCCTTGACTGGGCCTCCAGTACCCCTTGTCTTCACCTCACTCTCACTCATTACTGCTCCTATCCCCTGTCGATTTTCCGAGCCCCATCTTCTCCCTGACCTTGACTTGGATGTTCTGCTGGATTTCCTCGGCGGTCGGTCTTGGTTTAAACCTCCGCTTCACAACCTCCGGAATCTTGATGACCGGGTCGGAGACCACAGGCTCGTGACGGCTCAGCAGATGAGCCTTATACGGGCTCTGGGAGGTGTTGACACCATGATGTGCTAGGAGCTCGTCTGTGGTCATCTGGCTGAAAGCCTTCAGAGGTACCTTGAAGCCTCTGCGGTCGGTGGCCTTGAGGAATGAAGAAGGTACATCAGAAGAACCATCGGTCCTTGAGGCAAGCCCTGTCCGTCGCCGCTTGCTGGCAGTAGGCGACGCAGGATCTGGGGCAAATTCATCGTCGGACGACTCGTATGATGGCGTTGTTGCCCTCGCCTTGGGTATCGCCTTTACTTTGGGCTTCGGCGCAGGCTTTGCCATGCGCTTCGTCCCCTTCAAGCCCTTCACCTCCACCTTCCCGTTCAGTATGACTTTCTCCTTGCCAACGCTCTCTGTCTCTTCTTGCCTCGTCTCCTTGCCCTCGTCCTTCTTCTCCACACTCTTCACCGCTGACACCGGCTTCCTCCGCACCACATTGCCTCCAGTCCCCGGCGTCGCGGCCCGCGGCGTCATCGTATTCCCATGCGCCAAGCTCCTGTCTGCTGCCTCCCTCTTGTCGCGGCACGGCTTGCACACCTGGAACGTGCACCCCGGGCACCGCAACATCGTCTCGAGGTTGCGCTGGTCACATTCGGAACACTTGGCCGTGTGCACAGTGATCGAAGTGAAGCAAGCCGGCGAGGACGAGCAGGGTGGTAAGCTGCTCCCAGGCGTGCGCGGGATCGAGGCGATGCGCCGGTGGCCGCCGGGCGTGGACGGCATAGGTGTGCGTCGCTGCACGCGCACCGTACTGCCTGAGGTGTGAAGTACGCCAGGTGTGCCTGGTGGTTCGAGGGCGTTGGGACTTTGCTCTCGTGTTGGGGTGGTCGAGCGCGACATGGTTGGGGTCTTTGCTGATGCGTCAGGTGGCGAGGGTGGGATTGAGAGAGATTTGAACGTGCTGAGTCGATTTTATATGCCTTGGTGGGAACTGAGGTTGAAGTGAAGGGGAATATCGTTACTGTCGTGCTGGCAGGTGTGGGGATATGCAAACGCTTGAGAGTGAAGTATGATTGAGCAGTGCCGTGAGTATCAGAGATCTCTGCACTGTAGTTGTCATCCACAATGATGATAAGCTTGCTACAGGATCCTTCATGATCCTGTAGATGATATGTGAGCCTTCAGGAAACTTCAATGGTTGCTGCTCACATGACCCGTGCCTCTTCCACGTCGAGTTATGCTTCGTGAATGTCCGTTGAGGATATACTGTCCGCAAGCACGACGAACGAGCGACGTCCGGCACTGTTGTTCTTGGTTCTACGCTCGTCTGCCATTGTAGCCACAGATTTCATGAAAGTGCGAACTCGATGCGATTATTTGGGTATATTGTTGCCGTCAAGATTTGCCGCTGCCCGTCAAGATCTCAATGTACATGGTAGGCTGCCCTATGTGTGTTTGTAGATATCAGGCTGACGAGATACACGACTCCTGCCTGCCAAAGTACCGCTGCTATTCTGCGCGATTCTACACGACTCCCATCTGCGAAAGCTCTTGGACGACCTGGTTCTCAACACGACTCTCGAAACTGTATATCTGCCAGTAACAACCTACCTGTGCAGCACCTTCGTATGAAATACGAGAGAAGCACGAGAGAAGCACAACGACTCACCGTAGATAACGAGGCTGGACAGCTCCTTCGAGTGCGATCCGCCGAACAGTCTGCCCGGTGTTGGTTGTCTTACCAGTCACACGGCAGGCGCCCTCCAGGTCAGTCCCTATCTCATGATCATTTCTGCTTCCTTCCAAGCCTGTGCCACGTGGGTAGGCAGCACTCATCTCTTTCCACTCTCCTGCACTACGCCCGCTACATTTCGCGTTTCGTCTGCAAGGCCCGACAACACAAATCGCCCTTCTTTCTCGTCTGTCTCGAATGCCGAAGCCTGGAACAGGTGGTCGTACGGCAATACAGGCAGCAGAGATGACTAACCGATCCAGCATGGAAGCTCTTCAAGGTGAGAAATTGATTGACCGCCCAAGAGCAAGCACACAACGGTAACACTTTAGATTGGTCGGCAGCTAGGGTAAGTATGTAGAGGCGTACGATCGGACAATCTCCAGACAAGACAGCACGACGACTCATCCTCCACCGGTATTTTACCTGCGATAAATTACGTATACTGCTGTCTTACCTCACCTTCGCCGTTGTCGATCGACTGCCGCCTGAGACCCCATGCATGAGGGGAGGGGTCATCTCGAAGGCCTCTCGACCATTGTCTGTATCCAGCAAGTACGTGACGCCAAAATCACGAGGACTCGAGAAATTGATGAAGAAGGTAGGCAGCCCAGCACCTTTATGTTAGGGGATTGACGACGTCGCGCGAGCGAGATGAGACGCGGCGGTGAGGCCCCGCAAGGCTGCAGCACTAGCTACGCGGGTACCTATGCACCCTTCCTTCAGCTAGCGATGGTTTGCAGGCTCTGCGGCGGAGAAAGGCGCCGGTAGTAGCGTCTCCTCATCGAGGTGCTCGCTGCCCCGTTCACCGCAGTTATCGTTGGTTCCTCTTGTTTGAACAAAACACTCAATCAAAAACGCTTCTGCAAGCCGACTTCCTTTGTGCTGAGTGCCACGATTAGGCAACAACGCCATTGCGTCGTCGCAAGCCTTGTGTCATCCAGCTTTCCTTACTACTTGAGACAAGGGCATCTCAGTCGGTGCGTGCATCTTGTTGATCGAGCTCGTCGCATCTGGTTGCATTGATCGACTTCACGAACGAAGCGAAAAGCTGTGGCGGTGCTCAGCCCTGCATCAACAGAACCCGGAACAGTCATCCCCATTTTCATCGCGAACGCCGCGCCTCAGGCACCCATCATCGCTGGAACGTCATCTCGCATTTAGTTGAACTTTGACGCGGGCCTGGACTTGCCAACATATCGTCGGCACCTCCCTTCCCTGCAGTTCACAGCTCAAGGTCGTAGAGACTCGACATCTGCCCTTTCGTTCAGCAACAGCGGTCCCACCCATTATATATTCGGGACTTTGAAGTCTTCACACTCTTTTCATCAACCGCGAAATCCATCTCAGGACGATCGTCATGGAGTCTTCAGCACCTGCATCGCTGTATCCGGCGATGGCGTTACTCCACTACATGCACGCTCCCACGGTTGGGTTCTTCTTCCTGGGAGCAACAGCGTTCAGCTTGTGCATACTGCAGAAACCGATACCTGTTTCGCATAAACGAAGAAGAGGCGTCTTCGCCATCACGACTTTCATTTTCATCTCGTACGTTACTGAAGTGCTTTACTACTTCAGCCGGTCACTCGCAGATGCACAATATACACCCCCAGAACCGGCAGCGATCAGGTGTCTGGGATCAATACTTGTCTGGGGTCCTCTGTCATACTCTATATGGACCTCGAAATCTCTTAGATGGCATCCTTACTTCGGCGCGTTCGTCCTCCAGTTTGCATTCGAAACAACAGTATGCTTGATGAGCGCCACCTCAATTCCCCAGAAAGACTGGCCCAATAACGCGTCATTCGTACTCGATTGCATCAGAACTATTGTATCTTTAATCATCCTGGTGGACAGCTTTGCGATCACGGTTACCAAGCATGCGGAGAAGAGCACGGATGAGGAGAGCCAATCGCTACTACCAAAACCTGGCAATGGCGCCGCGAATCAGAATGGAAACGCAGATTATGGTAGCATTGAGCAGACAGCTTCCGACGATGAAGAGGAATCGCCAAAAGACAAAGACAAAGAACTTAAAGAGCAACAGGCAAAGCGCCTGGAGGAAGAGGGAGGCTGGTATGGTTATCTCAAGTCGTTTGCAGTGTTCTTACCATACCTGTTTCCCCGCGATGACTGGATGGTCATGGGTGCTCTCGGAGTCCGCTTAGTCCACATGCTCGCCGAGCGCGCCCTCAATCTGCTTACCCCTCGGCAACTTGGTATCATCACCAACAAGCTCAGCAAGAACACAGGCGTAATGCCCTGGAAAGACGTTGGCCTTTGGGTCCTGTTTCAGTGGATCGGCAGTTATGCAGGTCTCGGCTTCATCGATGGCATCGCTAGCATGGTCATCTCAAATTCAGCGTATCGAAGGATCACACTCCTGGCATACGAGCATGTGCTCAGCCTCTCCATGGACTTCCATACATCGAAGGACTCTGGCGAGGTTCTCAAAGCCGTCGAACAAGCATCATCTCTCAACTCGCTCGTGGAGATGGTGCTCTTTGACATCTCACCCATTCTATTGGACTTGGTCGTGGCTATGTGGTATGTCACACACCTGTTTGATGCCTATATGGCATTCATCATCCTTTTCATGGGCTTTGCATACACTTGCATTGGCTGGTACTTCACAACGATCTCGCAACCAAAGCGCAGAGACTACGTTGAGAAGCAGCGCACCGAAAGTTCGACGGTCAACGAAACTGTGCACAACTGGCAGACAGTCGCGTACTTTAACCGCCTGACCTACGAGCACCAACGGTATGCATCAAACATTATGAACACAATCAGTGCGCAATACGCGTACTATTTCCGATCAATGGGTGGCCATGCAGCGCAGGATATGCTTACTACATTCGGCTTCGCCGCTTGCTGCGTCTTCGGCATGACGCAGATTGTTACTGGACGCAAGCAAGTTGGTGATCTCGTCACGCTGATCATGTATTGGCATACTATGACAAGCCCATTGTATGTATTGTCGTACAGTTACAGGCACATCTCCAGCTCTCTCATTGATGCAGAGCGATTACTCCAGATGCTGAAGTCGAAGCCCTCTGTAGCCGACAAAGAAGGGGCAAGAGACTTGGTCGTCGACACCGGCGTAGTCGAGTTTAAAGATGTAGAGTTCGCATACGATGAGCGAAAGCCCATCATTCAAGGCGTAGACCTGAAAGCTGAGGGTGGTCAGACCATCGCTTTCGTTGGAGAAACAGGTGGCGGTAAGTCCACCATGCTCAAGCTACTCTTCCGCTTCTACGATGTTACGGGTGGCTCGATTCAGATCGATGGTCAGGATCTACGCTCAGTCACCCAGTCCAGTCTCCGTGACGCACTCGGTCTTGTCCCACAAGATCCAGTCTTGTTTAACCAGACAATTCGCCAGAACGTCCTCTATGCACGCCTCGAAGCGACGGATGCCGAAATCGAAGACGCATGCCGCGCAGCCGCTATTCATGATGACATCGTCGGCTTTCCGGACGGATATAACTCCAAGGTTGGCGAACGCGGAGTGCGTCTCTCAGGCGGACAGCTCCAACGCATTGCCATCGCACGTGTTCTGCTCAAAAACCCTAAGATCGTACTCCTCGACGAGGCTACGTCAGCCATCGATTCAGGCATCGAAGCACTTATCCAGAAAGCCTTTCGTAAGCTGAGCAAGGGACGCACCACATTCGTGATTGCACACAGACTTTCCACTATCGTCGAGGCGGATCAGATTCTGGTCATCGAGAAGGGAGCGATTATCGAACGAGGAAGTCACCAGGACTTGCTGGAGAAGGGCGGGAAGTACAATGAACTTTGGACTAAGCAGACTGCGGGGCATTTGTCCAATATGGGCAGTAAGGTGCCGAGCAAGGCGAACTCTACAAATGGTGAGGTTGACGCAAGTACGCCCTTGATTAATATCACGCCTGCTGCGGAGGATGAGGCGACTGCAACGGGGAGGAGTGAAGAGGCCAAGGATGGGGTGGAGAGACGAAAGTGAGTTTCCACGATGGTTGGGATATTACGTGCTGAACGAGGAAGATGGTTGATTTCTCCTGCGTCGAGAAATTTCAGTCGACTCTGTTAGACGAGGAAGCGTTTCACAGCTTGGAACAGTATTCCGAAAACTCGATAGATCATGACTCGGCATTTGATACGTTGGCACAAATTGTTGTAGCCGGCTGCAGAGTAAGGGGGGTGGCTTTGATAGTACCTAAGCCCGTCTGTATTTGACCCGCGTTCTTCGAGCCACTGGTGCATCATCGATCCCTAACCACATGTACAGGCTTCCTCCGTCTCGTTCTGTCCAGATCTGCTCAATGCGAGGGTACTGGTTGCCGCCAAGCTGTGCTTTGTGCTGCGTCAGGAAGTACCCAATTGCGATGCCGTTTGGAGAGCCTGTAAGAACAATCAGAAACACAGTCTAGGGAGGAGTTCTATTAGGTCTCGACTACTTACCAAGCACGGCCACACCTTCTTCGGTGTCCGTCAGAAACGTCAACCCTGGCCACCTGGGTACCTTGCTCGCGCCGTGGGAACCTCATAGGTTTTCAGCGCCTCAGCAATAAGCTCTTTGGTAATTCCGTTTGTGATGTCGTTGACGAGGAAGAAATTGATGTGGCCAAGACCTTCACCTTCAGGGTGCACACGGCGCCAGATTCTCAAGGCCATGCCCGACATCTGCCTGAGTACTGGAAGCTCATCAACAGCTGGCTTGATAACACCATGCTTTTACGTAATCTCTCCAGATGAGAGTGCTTTTTCGAAAACTATGTTTGGTTCATCACCTGCTGCTAGCATTGAAGGTGGCTGAGACTTGGCAGATACTCGCCCTGCATCAGGCGCCAAGTGTTTTTGGTGACGGTGAAAGGTTGTGGTAAGACTGATACTCTTCGTCCCGCTATCAGTAATGGTATGAGGGCGATGATGGCTGGATTTAGCAGCCACACCTTGATAGAATATAGTCTAGTTGAACTGGATGGTGATCGAATATGATCTGGCTGTCTCTGCGATAGGAATGATACAGCTATCAAGCTTGTGGCACCCACTTTGGCGCTGAATCTGCCGCATTTCGAAGTGAACAATTTTGCTGCTCGTTTGGTGGATCAAGTTCTTCACTCAAGTCAAGGTCTCCCGCAGAGCGTGTGCTTTCATGGCCCTGACCCACAGCCGGATCCGTCCAGCTTTCGAAAAATTGCATTTTCAACGTGTCGAAGATCTGGAAAGACACAGATATGATCTGCATATTCTAGGACTTACCCGTTATCATTAGCACGCCGCTCGCTGTATGGAGAACCTATCTCAGTTACTCTGGAACAGTCAGTCGTCCGCATCAATTCTTGCCAATGATTTCAGCGCCGCCAAGTAATGGTCTGTAAACTTCAGGAATATGCGAACTATTATGGCGAGCTTTCATAGATGGGATTATATCAAAGCCGACGATTTCGTATTTGATGAATATGCAAAGGCATTGTGCGGTGCGGGACGCTTTGATAATCAATTGTCGCAACAATGCATCGAAGCACCAATATATGTGGACAAAGAACCCGAGTTGTTTGTTGTTGTCTTTTTGCTCACTCAACTCGAGGAACCATATTGGCTTGCAGTGTTACATCGTGCAAATTCACACATCATGGTCCCTAGCCTTACAACGAGCAATCTGCTCTTCACGGCACCTCTACAGCATTCCAATTCGTACAAGAATGGTCAACACACCCAGCGAGAGTTAAAAAGACAGACCGCCTTCAAAAAATCTAGCGAGAGGTACTAGAGGTACATCTACCTGACCTGCCTCCTCGTCTTGAATTCGTTGAGATTCGTGAAATGGATCCAGGATTGATCCCTTTTCTCTCAAATCGAGATCGGTAGCTTCTCACTCAGCAGCGATTGAACCAAGGGATTGAGAGACTCCAAGACATGCAGGCTGCCAGCGGCCAAGTACACATATGACCTGCAATACGGTGAGAAGCTTTTGAGTATACTTGCAGACAGAGATATTAGAGATAAGCGGGATGGACTTTTGCGGAGACATGGGCCCGTTGATTAGTGGGTCAACAGCTTTGCATTGCCTGGATGTGAGAGTCGTGGCAGATTATGATCGATCATCCTGATGAAGGAGCAATGTTTGAGAAGAGAATTCCGAAGGAGTCTGTTGCTCTGGTTAGAAAAAGACATTGTTGCAATGCTATGCGTATTAGCCGAAGTGCCGTGAGGTCTGCCAGCTTTGTTATTGCGCCAAACATGTGACGTCATTTTGTGACGAGCTTTTGGTCTCTCCAATTCAAGCTCAGCTGTTGGCACAGCTTCTTCTACCATTAACACGACGTTGATAACATTCATACAAACATAGTCAATTTCCTCTCAAACAATCGCCAAATCCTCAAACCTTACATACCAACATAATGGCACCCCGCGCTTTCATCTCTGCCCTCCGCCCCATCACCTCCTCCTTCTCCCCCATCACACGCCGCGCGCTTTCCACGACACCGCGCATGGCAATTAAAGAGGACGGCAACCGTACAGCCGGGGAGCTTGAGCAGAAGAAGCAGGAGCAGCTGAAGGAACAAAAGGAGGGCAAGGGCCGATGGCGCGAGGACCTCGCCAGCTCAGGCGAGAGCAACATTGCCGCCGATAAGCAGAATGTCACCGATCACGACAGCCACATCAAGGACTTGCAGCAGGAAGGCAAACAGAAGAGCGAGAAGGGCGAGTTGTAGATCAAAAGCCTCTAATGCGAAGGGAAAGGGTTGTGAAGACCCTGTATGGTGGATGAATCAGCATATATGAATCTCTCAGCGCGGCATCGATATCCAATCCGATCAAATAGCCTTTCAAAAATGTCGAAAATGGATCTGGCACCCTCCCAGTGTTCCCAGTCGGGACAACATTCTCCCTTCTTGGTCGATCCTGCAGGCTACGTGCAGCCGAATCCTCGGCCTCGGTACATTCTCGTGTTGGTGATCTGCGACAGGAGTGACCTGCATACCGTCGAACTTTACAAAAGGCACCCACAATCATTTTGACAGCTAGTGCCGCTCACAGCATTCGACCCAGCTTGAACGCTCACCGGTCTACATAGTACCAGCCAATGGTCTCAAACTGTGTTTGAAACGCTGCAGCGGTAGCGGAACAGCTACAGTCTCCCCCGCAGACCATCCCTACCCTCGTTAGACCGCGGCTGTTAGCGGGTGCTATGATGACACCCGCATGTGTTCCTCCCGCCAGTTCAAACACAGCCGGCTCATCCACGTCGCTGAAATTCCCTCTTTCACTATCGCTCCACCACTTCCACGTGCAGTGACACATTGTCAACACTTTACTCATGCCCAAAGCCCAAAGGAGCAGAGCGTGCACCCAATGCCGTGAGCGTCGTGTAAAGGTACCATTGACAGCCCCGTAGAGATCGACCACTAAGAGCGATACGATAGTGCGATGAGACACCAGAGTTCTGCAACCAATGCAGACGCCTGGGACTACAATGCTCGGGGCCCATCATAGGCTCGGTCATCATTGATATGACTGACCGAGTTACGAAGCCCCGGGCAAGAAAGAAGAAGACTGTCACCAGACCCAGCGTTGGAGTGGCTACACGTGAAGGCAACGCGCGGGCGATGCCTTCCGCTCGGAGAGACTCAGCTCTGACAACAAAGTCAGAACCTTTTGATTCAGAATCATCACTGCAAAACATGCCCTTGTCAGCGACGTCCAGCGATGGCGACGTATGGTCACAAGAGGCAGAGAAAGCTGTGGCGACAATACGATATCAGTACAGTGCGCCCCAGTATTATCAGCCTTCTAAGATCCAGGGTGATGCATTAGACATGGCTTTCCTTTTACACTTCATTGAGATGAACCAGAACACTCGAAACTATACGCCCGAGATACCCTGGCTCACACATCTGCCACTAATTCACAGCAAAGCAGTCAAGCCGGCAGTGAAGCTGTCGATGCGTGCAGCGTCCATGGCCTTCTTCGCCAAGCTATACCATGATCCCACCATCTTGGTGGATTCATACCGCTGGTACACAGTTTCGCTGCATGCACAGCGACAATCACTGTCACAGCTGACTGGACCTGATCGAATCCCAGACGACGAGGAGATCTTAGTCCCGATAATATTGGGCCTATACGAAGTTTATGCCGGGACCACTTCCGACAGTGTGCTGCATCATGTAGCTGCAGCATGCGAGATCATCAAGATGCGAGGACCGGCAAACTGCAATTCCGGTGTGGTCTGGCCGATGTTCAAAGCCATGCGAGCAGCTGATGTAAGTCATTCACAAGCGAGACGGTAGGTGTACTCACGATTCATCAGGCACAAAAAGCCCTTATCTTGAACAAGCCTTCCGTATTCTCATCGCATGATTGGATGACGATACCCTTCGCCAATATGCCCCGTAATGCACACCACGATCTCGCAGATATCATGCTCATGATCCCCGACTGCATCGCTTTATGCAAAATCAACGGCAGCTTGCAAACCTTTTTCAACACACCTTTCCCACCCGCCATTGACCTAGAGCCGTGTCGAAAACGAACGAAAGAGTTGATCGACAATCTCGACGAGTGGGCAGCGACCTACCCATACCTCGCAAAACCATCGCCAAGTCTCCAGATCGTGGAGGCGAACATGGCAAACCTCGCCGTCAGCGGGGTCAAGCCTGCGTTCGAGGGCTCGAAGAATGTCATTCTACCAGATAGCTTTGTTGCGCTTACAATAGCGATATTCGAGTCTGTGCAGATAGCTCTTAGGATGTTGTTGCACAAAATGAATACCCAGGATCCGAAATTGAACGATCTGAGTCCGCGGTCTTCGCCCACATCAACGTCGTCGATGTCGCCTCCGCCTTCACCGCCACCCTCAGCGTTGTTAAGTCAGGCTGTGCGGTCAGCAGAGGTCTTACTAAAGACCACAGGACATCTAGAGGGCACAAAGACCGTCGGTTTCGATTTTATCAGAAGTGTAACGCCGGTCGTGGTTGTGGCTATTCTTGGACCAACAACAGAGCTGAAGGAGAACGCGATGGCTATGCTGAAGCGATGGGGTGAAAAGAGGGGGATGAATGGGCTTGTGGGAGCGTGGATGCATTTGTGAGCTCCCGGCTCATTGCATCTTGAAGCAAGGGTTATGGTCGCCATAAGCTCGAACAAAAGGCTTCTCTTCTGCTATGGGCGGGACACAAGCATTGCCCCACGAGTCAACCCATACCAGCGCTTTACTAGCGCTTTACCGTTGCTGCAAATGGCTGCCGGCTCGAAGCTAGCCGCGAGACGAGCCCCACCCAGAGCCACAGTCGATATCTAAAATCTCCGAAACTGGTGTCAACCAGCTCGCTTGATGCTGAACTGCTTCCGAACAGCCGTCTGGGCGCATGCATCTCACGTGTCAGCACTTGTTCGCGAAAGTGAGCTCAGTTCGGTTACAAGCAAGCGCTCCGAGCCTTTGAGCGAGCACAGAGCGTGCAAGCGGAAGATTCATAACAGCAGCTCTCGACTCTGTGGAATCGAAAGGTAGTATGTCATCACGCCATTCACCCAATCCCATCGACACAATCCATAATATCTAATTCAACTTAACTTTGCAGCCCACACATGCCACCAAGACCTCTCCTGCTTTCCCATGATCTCCCTTTCGCCCTCCCCACCTCCTGCCCATCTCACGCTCACCCTACCCTGTCGGAAGGCATGTGTCGATTGTAAAGCGAACAGCGTACCCGCGTTCATGCACATGGGGCGCCTGTCTCGTCAGATGATCTAGAAGTTGGTATGGATCTGGAGCCTGGATATGAATATGGGGCCGTGATCTGTATGTAGTTGTGAGTGAACACAGATATGAGTCGCAAGCGATGTTTGCAAATGCCTAGAACCTTACAAAGAGGACCCATGGACCATGTCAGCCTTGTCAACAATCAAGTCAATTTCGACCGCACATTCACGCGCTTACCCAACAAGGTAGGAATTGTGAGGTCCATGGTGGCAGTGAGCCAGACGAGTGCCTTCTGCCTAGCTGCTCACCTTACACTGAAGAGCAGTTGAATGCCTCCCAAGATTACTGTGGTACTTCTTCACCCGAACTTCCTCGGCGCCTTCACACCCTTAGCTTCTGAGTATTTCCCAAAGGACAAACTGCGCTACAGTCCGTATGAGGAAACTCTCGCTCATGTGTTGATTGCAGCACGGGTACTGCATCCGTTGTCCTCCCCAATCAGTCACACCCGAAATCTTGCTCGCTCTGCTCTCTTGCGAAACCTTGGGAAACGGATCATCGGCGGTCTAAAGCGAAGCTAAATGCTCAGTAATCGCATCCCTGCCACACTAGTCCGCGCCAGATCACGCCGCAACACACTGATGGAACTTTTCCGCAGTACCAAAGTCGTGAAACAGCCTTAGAAAGGAAAGTTGGAGCAAAGTGTGCGAAATAGGCGCTCCCGTCTCCGTCATTTGTACCAATCGTGGGATTCGAAAGCACCGGAAGGGGCGGCGCGGTTGGCGGTGCATTCTTGACGGTTCAGTTGGGTGCGTACGTTGAGGCTGAACGCAGGGCTTTGATCCGCATGCCTACATGCGACTATACGCTACGAGGTTTCGGCCCAAGTTGAGTTACCTATACGATGTCGCATGCCGGAATCTTGATGTTGAATGCGTAGTCCTCTCACTCCCTGATGCTTTGAAACTGCGAGTGCAAGACGTTGTGTTTTTGGGACAGTGGCTGCGGCTGAATGCACGCTCCAATGGGCTTGAGCTGAACATAAGGTTCCCAAGACTTTTGTTGCCCACAAAGGGCAACTTTGCAAAAGTGCGTTTGAAGCAGGCGCAAAATAGCCCTGTACATAGGCTAATAACCGTTGAAGCGGACAGCTGCGGGCAGCGCAGATACACGTGTGCTGTGGATGAAGATGAGTGCAAGGCTGGCACAAGCTCGGAGCTCGAGCGATCACGACGACTCAAAACTCTCATAACTTGAAGATTTTAGGTAGTTACGGGACATCGGGATTAGACCAGTATTGTGATCCCTATCTATCCGATTATCAATTTTCAGATTGTAGGATCAGGTAGTCGCTCCCGAAATTGGTTCTTGGTGGGCTCCGCACAGGGCTCAGCATGAGGTTGTTCAACGGCTCACGACCTACCACTTGAGGGAAGTCCGATGAGAAGTGTTGGAAACAGGCGCGATAGAGCTATGAATATAGAGCCATTAATTTCCTCAAATATGGTGCTTGACTCAAGTCTTGAAGGTTGAAGTTGCTTTTGGTGGTTGTGCTGAACGCAGGGCTCAGCTTGAGGCTGTCGAACACTCAAAGCATCCACGTCGGGAAAGTAAGCAGGCAATTATCGAAGATAGGCGCGAATGAGCCCTGTCATGACCCATGGAGTCTTCAAGGGTAGGACTCTGGATACACATTGCTGTCATCTTGGTTCCTGTGATAGTGCTCCGGCGTGTTGCTGATGAGAGTCGCGCAACACGATTGAGCGGCCCACGGGAGCTTTCTTTGTGGTATCTCTTCTCCTAAGCGTTCTAAAGTCAACTTCGGTTTTTGAGATGCGCAGGCAGGCTGTGAGGGAATCGGCTTTGTCATGGATCACATGCCGTGTTTACGATACGGAGGTGGGTCTGCACGCAAGGGCAGGCTTCCGCAGTAGGAAGGTTTGAAGAGGACTGTTGAAAGAAGGCTTTTTTGAGCCCTGCAGATGTACCTACCGAGCGTTGAGCGCGCGACTTGTAAGGTTCCAGGTCGTGACCGATTACAAGCCCAGCCGTGCGGCGTGGAAACGTCTACGCGCTTGGAGATTGTCCAAATGAAGAAAATTCGAAAGGACTGTAGAAAATAGGCCAAACTTGCCCCGGCAGGAAGACTATCGACCGTTGTAGAAGCATGGTAGAACCATTCTTGTAATGTGTAGCATTTGTGACTGGCGCAGTGCGGCTGAAGTTAGGCCTGCATGGGAGATATGGTCCGTTTCGACCGCCTCAAATCGTCTCTAAACGGAAAGTCGAGCACGAGGTGTGGAAAGAAGGCCGATATCGACCCTGCTCTGTGGACTATCGACCGTTGAACAGCAAGGGATCATGCTCGACTGACGGTGGTTTCGTGGCAGGGATGTCGCTGAACGCAGAGGTTGCCGAGGCACTCAGATCGTCCACACACGGGAAGCTTGTGAAAAGGCGTCGAAAACAGGCGCGAAAGAGCCCTGTTCGAGCAGCATCTGTCGTCATCTCATCAGTCTATCGCTTCGTAGGATTCAACTGATGTGGAGTATTGCGGAGATGAGGCTGAACACAGGGCTGCACGTAATACCCCCCAAACTCTCAGAAGCGGTAGGTTTGGACCAGCGCAAGCGAACTGTCAAGCGAGCTTGGCGCATTCAAAACTGCCAGGATCGCGGGAGACTAAGCCGAAGAAACCACAAACGTGAGTGCCTCTTCAGACCTGAGACTGGACAGGGAACTTCATTTTGTAAAAGCTCTGACTGACGTCTGAGCGATGATCCTACCGACCTCGGTGTGCGATCATACGGCATATGGCGAAGCTTTTGTTTGGCTCTGGACAATTTGAGCGGCATATGCAATGAATGGTGATTTTATCAAACTGGACTTCGAGGATATATTGAATTGAAGATGAACGGGCAACAAATGTACACCTCGTAGTCGTCCTGCTCGCCGACCTTGTGTTCAAAGATGCAGTAGATATCTCCATCCTTTAGCTGAGTCCGGTAGAGATCTGGATGCTGGTGGGCACAGGAAAAACGAGCTAAGCTTCAAGAAAACTGTCCCATACATCCTCAATCTGTCACCTCAGAATTTCAAGTACGGCGTCTTCATCCTAAAGCTCTTCGCAGATATGCTTGTGTATGATTTCATGAATCCTGCCTGTATCACAGGCATCCTCACCGTTGTTGTACACGGCTTCGACGATGTCAACCTAGGTGTGGATTGCAACGACTCCTCTCAGGCGTATCAAACAGTGTTTGAGGCGAGAGCTCTACCTCTTATATTGTCACGACTTGTTTTCCCGCTTTTCGCGTGGCAGCTCAACAACAATCGCCGACCCTCGTTCGATTTCGAGCAAGACGTGAAGCACTGGGCACAGCACCTCTGAGGCAAGGATTTGCTCTTCTTCTCAGTTGTAATAGTGTTTGTTGTGGCGATCCCGACGCTGTACCTTCCAAAGCTCAATTGCGTTGTCTTCATCCACGATAGCGGCTAGTGGTAGTGGGCAGAGGTGTTGGTCGCTATGATGGGCTATACGGCTGGTGCTGAGCTGTGGAAGTAGACGATGCAAGTATACTTCCGCAGCAGAGGCCTACCTGGCTGACGGTCTACGGTAAAGGCTAAAGTCACAGATTCATCAGGGGCAAGTGAACCCCTTCCATTCTTGCTTGAGGCACGGAACTCTGTCCTAGCTAGAGCTGATAAGAAGATAGGCGTATATTGTGAGATCGAAATGTGAAACTCCTCGTTTCGAGATATCGCCTCCCATGCTCGAATCGCGTATGGATACAGACGAAGTTGTGCCAACTTGTTGGTGAAGAACGAGTGGGTACCTTCCCCAGACGCCTCGCCCAGAACAGGGTCCACAGACGCTACCGGTATCGTCACTCTCAAGCATCCACCTAGTGCCTCAATCCTCGCCTGAAACACCAACACACGCCTCACACTGCACACCTCTTCGCTCCTCCATAGCACGCCGTGTAACCAACCCGCAACTTCTCTCACGCCGCGCGAACTGATATCCCTCGGCTTCCGCACCAAAGACCACAGCCATGTCCGATGCCTACGAGCGCGAACGGCAGAACAACTCGCGCCTGGACGAGCTCAGCGCAAAAGTCTCGGCACTACGCGGCGTAACGATAGACATCTACGACAATGCGCGGGATCAGGGCGTTATCGACTCGACGGTACATATTCCAGCAACCACCTCCCCTCTACGCACGCACCACGCGCACTCTCGACCCGCCTTTCCTGCACCGCTCTGCCATGATCTGGCAAACATGGGGGAACAGCGCTGACAACACACAGAGCGAGACATTCTCCTCCTTCTCCACATCGCTGAAAGGCTCCGCCGGCCGCCTGACGCGCATGGCCGCGAGCGGGAACAAAGTCGCGGTTCTCAAGCTGTCGGGCATGTTAATCGGCGTCGTGCTGGTTCTGTACTTTTTGTACAATCTGGCATTCTAGGCGCTGACCTGCCTCGAGGAACTGCCTTCGGCGCTCGTGACGGCCGCCATGATGTTGGCTGCTTGGATCTCGGACAGGATGTGCGCGGCGGTGGCCTGGGTTCACGACAGTATGAATGCACACGAAGGTCTGCGACTTCTTGGGCATGAGTTCATGTTGCATGGTGGCTCTCAAGGTGTTTGAGCTGCGCCTGTGGTCGCGCAAAGAGGCAACGCTCGCAGAGATAAATGGGGAGGCGTAGCAGGTGCGACATAGTGGTCTTCACACGTCGACTTGTGCACCGTAAGGCGGTGTGATTTGCTACACGGGAGGAGCCGATTCCAGAGGACATGGTCGAGGAGGACTACTCTGGTTGTCGAGGGTTGTATTATGCTGCATCTTTGCGATGGGACACGGGTCATACGGCGTTATCGGTGACTTGCATTGTTTCTTGGTCTGAGACTGGGACTGGACTTGATCATGCTGAACAGCGTCATTGCTGTCATTTTATATACAGTCTCTTCTTATCCACCATGTACTCCAATCGTGATCTATGCAATTACTCCAGAATGCCGCCCACCCAAAAGCGTCCTCTGTCTGCGCGACCCTACTCCCAGACGTTCGAGAACAAGTCATCATTGCCTCCGAACCCACCAGCCGGCTTGCTCGCATGTGTCGTAGTGTTCGTCTTCGCAGTCGTGGCTGGCGCAGCACTGCTCCAGCCCCCAAAGTCATCATCGCCTCCCCACCCAGGGCTCTTCGCAGGTGCATGCGAGGTCGTCGCCGCAGGGGCCGCAGGCTGACTTTGCGCGCTGGAAGACCAGGCATCACTGCTCCCCCACGCATCCATATTACCGTAGTTGACAGCGGGCTGGCTAGACTTTGCAGCAGGCGCAGAAGGCTGAGACAGGTTGAACGTCGAGGATGCGGGAGGCGGCGAGGCGACGGGCGAGAACGTGTGCTGCGGTGCAGGTGCGGGCGCAGAGGGCATCGAGAGGTCGAGAAGGTCGCCCATGCCGCCCATGCCGGACGAGGCGGCGGGCTTCGAGGGAGCGGGGGCGTTGAAGGAGGAGAAGTTGCTCAGGCCGGCGGAGGGACTGGTTGTGCGGTTTTGGGCGGGAGGCGATTTGGGCTTCGAGTCGAAGAAGTTGCCGCCGCCGCCGAACATGGTGGATGAGGATGTCGAGGCGGGTGACTTTGTGCTAGAGAATGCGTCGAGACCGGAGAAAGGCGAGGGCTTGGGTGCGGGCGCGGCGTTGAAGGAGAGGCTGCTGAAGGCGTCATTCATGCCGCCGAAGGCTGCCTGTGTGGGAGATGTCTGCGACTGGGGGGATGCGAGGCCGCCGAACGACTCTTGTCGTGTATGTTGCTGAGGCTGCGGTGCTGCTGCGGGCTTGGGCGCAGAGGCATACAGAGACAGAATCGACTGCTTGAGATCGGGCCTCGACGGGGCAGAAGCGCCAACGGGTCCTGTGCTGGAAGGTCGGGCTGGTGGGGCAGAGCTGCCTCCGAGGAAGTCCAGGCCCAGCAATGAGTCGCCTGCCTTTGTCTGTTTCGGAGGCGCAGCTTCGGCCTTAGGCGGCGGTGCCCTTGTCGCAGCAGGCGGTCCAGTGCTCGATCGAGGAGGGATAGGCGTCGCGTCGCCGAAGAGGTCGATTACCGGTGCGGGCTTCGCTTGCTGCGGAGGGGGAGGCCTCGAGGGTGCGGCGTTTCCAGCCAGGCGTTGCGAGGCGCCTCGTTCAACTTGGATCTTCTGCTGCACCTGCGACAATGGCTGTAAGCTGTTGTTAGCTGGTGCCCCTCCTTCTTCCCCTCGTGTACGCACCACATCGTCATCGTCCTCGCCCAGTGTTGCAGGATCCGGGATGCCTCCGTCCATGACCCAGCGCTTCGACTCATACTTTGTGCGAATGAAGTTCTCGATCTTCGCCTCCGAGGGCACATGTCCTGGTGCCAGCTTTGCCTCCCAGTACTTGTTCGCCCTGGCGTTACCCCACTTCAGCACGCTCTGCAGTTGCTCGTCCGTCCACGTGTCGAGGTCGACCGATTTGACTTTCGAAATGTGCGTGCCCATGCCACGGTGGATTCCCGAGCAGCGAATGCAAATGAAGACACCGAGGTTCCAGCTGGCCCATCGTGGGTCTGTCTTGCAGTCAGTATGCGTGTGAGACTGTGGGTGGTATGGTGTGGGCATACGCTTGTTCCTCTTGCAGTCGGAGCATGTCTTATTGCCCTCCAGCTTCACCAGGTTCTTCAGCGTTGCGCGGTTCTGCTCAGCGCGATCAGCCGCGGGATTGGGCCGCCGCGACATTGTGAAGTGTGGGGTTGAACGTCGTGTGCGTGTCTGGCGGTGTGGATGTCCGATATGCGCGATTGCTACTAGTCGAGTCCAGAAAGTAGCTTGTTTGTCGGCGCACGACTGTGTATTAGGGGACAGGTGGTGAGAGGGATGCTATTGCGGACTTGGAGCCCTGGAGCTGCCTGGTGCCCGAACGTCAATGGTTTCGCAGCTTGGCACGGTCATTCGGCGACATCGCACTTTAATTGGCTGTGCTTGACATTTGTTTCGAGGACATCGTTTGTGCAACAGTGCAGCATTAGCTATGGCAGTACTCAAGGGTGTAGATAGTAATGTGGGTGGCAGGAGAGTACTTCGTATTAGTGCAGGGAACGCCCTGCTGTACCCATGATCTGCGCAACGTCTAAATAGAGATTTGGCTCCTCTGCGGCCACTCTGGGTATCATAGTCTAGCGGTTGTTTTGTACAATGTGGTCTCAACGACAGATCATAGCACTGTCTGCGAGCAGTTCACGCGGGACGGAACCGCCAGTCGTCCCAGTCTTCGTCTTCAGACTCGCTCTCCTCGTCGTTTGCTTGTGGTAGTACCGGTACTGGTTCTGTCTGTGCTGGCAGCTGAGCAGACTGAGTTCGCAGTGCCTCCCGCTGTTCTCGCAGCTTCTTGACCCGCTCATCTAACCCTTCCATCTCCTCAAACTCGTCCTCAAGCGCCCTGGCTGCCTCCTCCTTTTCAGCTTCCATGTCCTCGTCCCTTCGCGCGCGTTGTGCGCTCTGCTCTTCCCTGGCTTGTGCAGCAAGTTCAGCAGCAGTCATTGGCGCGGATTCTATCACTGCGCCCGAGGCGTAGTTGTGTTTCAGTTGAGGCTTAGGCTCCTTGTTCATTTCGGTCAGGAAGGCATCGAGCTCAGCCTCAGCAGTAGAATCGAGTGGCGTAGGGCCGGGCTTTTGTGGTCCTGCTGGCGGTGGTTCTGGTGCTGCCTCGACCTCGTCTTGCACTTGAGGTTCTTCTTGCTCCGCGCCAGCATCGAAGAATCCTGCTGGTACGCCGGCTGCCACTTCTGTACGCGTTCTCTTCTTGTCCTTTGTGCCATCGTTGGTTGCCTTCCTTTTCTTAGAAGCAGGCGCTGCTGCTGGAGCCGCCGACTGCTTTTGGGCCCTCCTCGTCTCTTCGCGTGCAGCTCTTTGCTGCCGTAGCAGTGTTCGTGCGTCCGCCATTGGTCAGACTGGAGCTGTACTAAGTTTTGAGGGATTGGTAATCACAGTGGTCTTCCTATGGTTCGTAGTGATTTGTTGCGCGTGCTTGCCTCCAGAACTCAGAATGATTCGCCAAAATATCGACGAGCTCCAAAGCTGTCTATTGGAATGACGCCGGTGCCCGGTGGATGCCAGCTCCGGCTAACGTAACGTCTGGAGTCAAAGCTCACATCTCCTCACGCTCTCCACCACACGACACCCGCGCCCGTCGCTCCCCCCGCCACCACACCCCATTGTCCCTCAACGCTGTACTCACAACAGTGCGCTCTTACTGATATACTTTTTGCGCGAACTTTGCTCGCGCGACGCGTCTTCACATCGCGTAACGGCAGATCTGAGCGCGGTGGAGATCTGCCACGGAAGGCACGGCCTAGAAATCAGTAGGCGCATTCCCAGTCGCGCCTTCTGCTCTCGAGAGACGGCAACAGCGCCTGTTTGCGCTTGTTCCCCTAGCTAGACGCTCCCTCCAATCCAGAGCCCACGTTTGCCCGCGCAGCTGCTTGCGCAACGGCCTGGAGCCCTCCGTAGAGAGATTGTGACCCTGCCTGAACCCATTCTTTAAGCTACTGCACCCATCGTGCGCCTACATTGAGCCCATATCACCCGCGTCAGACATCATGGCCGGTAAGCAATACCCAACAACACGCGACAGCACGCTACGGCGCCAGCGCGCCCCTCACCGCTTTACGACGCGCACAGCGGCGTCCGTAGAAGGCTCTGAAGCTGACACACTGCCTGCAGACGAGACCCGCCGCTCTGGCCGCGCCAACAAGGGCCACCACAGGAACAGAGATCTGGACGAGTCGACCACCGCGAAGCCCAAGGGCAAGGCCGGCAAGGGCAGCAAGAAGGCTGCGACGCCAGTCGAGACACCAACACAGTCTGTCGAACCCGAGGAAGTCAACGAGGAAGACGAAGACGGAGAAGAAGAAGAAGAGGAGGAGGAGGAGACCATCTACCGCTGCGTCTGTGGCGTCCAGCGCGAGATCGGTGGACGCGACATGATCTGCTGCGATAAGTGCGATGCCTGGCAGCACAATGTCTGCTTGGGCCTGCCCTCCAGCGCCGAGTGGGGCGAGAAGCCGTACTTCTGCGAGCAGTGTAACCCACAAGACCACAAGGAGTTGCTGGCTGCGATGGCGCGCGGCGAGAAGCCCTGGGCGCGCAAGAAGGGCTCCAAGACCAAGTCTCGCGCCAGCGACGTCAAGGGCGAGTCACAGACGCCCCAGCCCAGCAGCGCCCCAAAGCAATCTGAGCCCAAGCCCTCTATCGAGGCGATCCCCACGCCTGCGCCAGCAGCCAAGGAAGGTGCAAATGGTGCTGCGACCAAGGTACGTGATCAACATGATCCTGCCAATCATCGAGCTGTTGCTGACCATTCAAAGGTCGAGGATGCACCTAAGAGCCAGCCCCAGTCTCCAGTGGGCGAGAAGCGCCGTCACGAGTCGATTGCCGAGAAGGACACCAAGAAGACGAAGAGGCGCAAGTCGAGCCAGCACCAGGAGAAGGCGACCACAAAAGTCACCGACATTGCTTCTCTTCCGGAGAAGCAGCGCGGCATCGCAGAGAAGCTGCAAGGGGACATGGCGCCCTTGATCACCGAGGCCTCTGATGCCAGAGGCTTCCGTATCCCTGACGGACAGACACCCAAGTCGCTCTCCACACGTTACGTTCTCCAGATCTGCCAGGCTGCTGTCGAGCACCACGGCGAGCCATCCGGCCCCAACTCTCCGTTCGCTGAACGCCTTCGCACCATTTTGTTCAATATCAAGAAGAATACCTTCCTCATCGACCGTCTTTTATCTGGCAGCCTGAAGGCTGATGAGCTGGCTACAATGGCAACTGAGGAGATGGCGAGCGAGGAGAAGCAGAGAGAATACGCTGCAATGAGAGAGGCCGCTGAGAAGCAGCTGATCTTGACCGAAGAGACAGCACCTCGAATGCGCAAGACACACAAGGGTGACGAGATCGTGGATGATGAGAATGCAAACGACAACACTGAGTTCCGCGCACCACAATTGAGGGAGCGGGAAATTGAAGACGAAGAACAAGGCATACGACCCAACTCTCCTGGGCGTGATCGTCCCGCGCAAACTCCAATCGATGCTACCCAACCTCTTTGTGTCGACATTGCCAGTGCGCAGCGCCCATCGACGAACTTCGACATCAACTCGGTCTTTGATAAAGTTCGATCGCCGCAGAGCAACCAGCATGCCTTCATTCCCCGCAGACAGAGCTCAATCCAGGAAAAGCCCCAACAGTCTGTCGACGATGCGGATGTTGATCGCCTGCTCAAGGACGAAGACAACGACGTGGAGATGTCTGGATACTCGACTGACCCCACTGTCTGCTGGCAAGGCTCTATCAGCATGCAGTCCATGGAGCCATTCGATGCCGTTGCCCGATTTGTCGCAGGTGGCGATTTTGGCCAAGTCGTGCCCTGGGAGAAGCTGCTCACGAAGCAGGTCTCCATCCAAGGCCGTATAGACCACGCTAAGGGCGATGACTACATTCGCGGCATAGCCAGATCGCAAAGCCATGAGGTCGCTGTTCTGGCGATCAGTCCTGTCACCTCAGAAGGCCGAACAGTGTTTGATCACCTGTATGAGTACTTCCACTCTCGGCAACGCTGGGGTGTCGTTCCCATCGACCCGACACATGAGATTTTGCGCGATCTCTACCTTATCCCTGTCGAAGCTGGTGGCAGCAACTTGTCTCCCTTCATCGATATGCTTGAGCACTGCACCATCGAGACCCCCAGGAAGGAGCATATGTTGCTACTCACCCTGATTGCCAAACTTCCTGAGGCCAAGTCGCAGCTTCCCCCCACAGAACCCTTTGAGCGCTACCCAGCGCAAGACGTCTCTGCCGGCCAGATTGCTCAGCCTGCGCCACCGATGGTTGCATCCCAAAATGGCCCTCCAAACGGTCCCAGCCCGTCGCCAGTCACCACAAACCCGCACGCACCACAGTACTCGCCAATGAGCAACAACTTTTCACCTGTACCGTATGGCAACCCCTACGCTGCACCTCCCATGGCCCCTGTACTGCCCCAGCCCCAACCCTCGGCAAACGCCCCGGCTCATCACCGCATCCCCAAGGCCCTTGAGATGCTTGGCCCTTATATCGATTCTCCTGTTGTGATCCAGATGCTAAACAGTTTTAGCACGAACGAGGCAGTGGCCCAGAAACAGATGTCAAATCTCAGGGATATCTTTGACCAAGTGCCTGAGGCGCGGGACAACATGCAGGTACTAACCGATCATCTACAGCGCAAGAGTGAGCAGTCGCGACAGGCTCAGCAGCAGAACGCGTCCTAGAGGAGGCATGTTTTGCTCCTGGGGTCGAATGGATCGTCGTCGATATACGTAGAGTTTGGTGCGCTACAGTCGGAGCTCGCAGCGATTAAGAGAAAAGTGCACGTCTCGGCGGCGGCGAGGAGGTCCGCTCATGAAGGGGACTGGCATTCTTGGGCTAAACTAAAAGAGGAGCAAAGCGAGTGAGCATGCCGGGGCAGCGGGAGGAGGTCGTTCTTTGCACATTGTTTTCGTCTTGATACCCCATATGGAGCGGCGATGGGGGCTCTGTGTCGATGCGTATCGCTTTGGATATTGAAATGTTATTGGTACTGTACACACTTTTCACTCTTCTCTATTTTTCTGATCCTGGTCACATCTTGATATGTGTCTTCTCATGTCGCTGTAGATACGTCTCTGAAGGTGGTGGCCGTGTGATCCCTATTGAGAAGTCTGCATGCCTACACTTCCAAGATTAGTAGCCACTTTGATGGACAAGGATCGCCGTACAACGCGAGTGGCTGTGAGTATGCAGTCTGTGGACAGTGCGTTGTATGTCTGTACTTAGGCGTGCAGTCACTTCTTGAGCAGCGGCTGTTCCTGACATCGGTGCAGAGTCTCGTACTAATAGCGCCCGAGCTACGACAACATCATCTTAGGATCTGCACGATCAACGGCCGTGCTAAAATCGGAAAACCCCCCGATTCGTACGGCACCTGGAGGTTCGTGGAGTATGAGCGTTCCCCGCATATTGCTTTCCGCTTGCGGGATGGATGTCACTCACTGTGCGCAGCTTCACAGGGCAGACGCCCCAACCGGTCAATGGGGTGAACCGAAGACAGAAGGAGCAATCTCCACAACGAGCTCAGCTTATGCAAGCAGTGCTTCGGAGCAAGAATATAAAGCTGTATAATGACACCCCAAGTCATCAGTTGGTATACAGACCATATTATTGCCTTCGTTAGATGAGGATCGAATAGCTCCTTTCAGTGGCTCTGCTCGCTTTACAGAGCAGTGCGACCACGACGCAAAATCGCAAGACATGCACCGCCAGAGCGAGCGGTAGTAACAAGACCAATGATGTACCCGCTATCAGGGCCGCGTTCAAGGAGTGCGGTCGACACAGCAAGATCGTCTTCGAGCCGACGACCTACTATATCAACTCGGTCCTTAACATCACTAATTTAGAAGATGTTGACATTGATGTACAGGGAGAGCTACCTGTGAGTTCGGCTGTGATCAGTCCTCAAGCTGTGGCTCACACTGAGCAGTGGAGCACCGACATCCAGTACTGGCTGAACGCGTCCCGACCTGCTGGCTACCAAAATCAGTCGACAGCGTTCGTCCTCGGAGGCAACAATGTTCGGATCGATGGACATGGCGTCGGTACGCTGAATGGAAACGGGAACTGCTGGTACCAGTGGATCTCCTGCAGCAAATACAGACGGCGCTGACACATTCTTCTCGTCAAACCTTTTATTCAAAAATTGGACCGTCTACAATGGTGACGATTCATTCTCTGCCAAGGCAAACAGCACCAACATTACACTTCTCAACTCACGTTTCTATCATGGCCTTGGCATTGCCATCGGGTCGATTGGGCAGCACAATGACCAATTCGAGACTGTGGAAAACATTCGCGCCGAGGACATCTACTTCGAAGACACGCTGCACGCATTCTACGTCAAGACCTGATCCGACGATCGAGTCGGCTTCTCTCCAAACGTCGGTGGCGACGGTATTGGATTCGCTCAAAATATGCAGTGGAAGAACCAAACTGTAAATGCCCGTGGAGGCTTGTTCACGATTAGTCAGTGTACGAGGTTCAGTGGCGCCCCTAGGGTCGGCAACTGCACGAATTCCAACTTTCAGATCAGAGACGTTGACATTCGGTGTCTGAGAGGCACAACGAATGGCAGGAGAGTCTTGAGTCTGCAATGCAGTGCTGTCTCGCCATGCACCGATATCGCCCTGAGCGATGTTAATGTACGATACGCAGGCAACAGCACTGTCGTGCCGAACTATCTCTGCGGAAATGTGGTCGGCAACAAGGGCTGGGACTGCACAGGGCCTGTCTGTGTAGGCGGAAGCGCAACGGGAGGTTGTTGAAGCGGGGATGCGAAAGTTTAACGGAAGCTGTTGTGTTCGAGAGAGGGTTTCGTAGTAGTGCGATCAGAACAAAGCGGCTCGGTTAAGGCAGACGCGACGAATGCGCTAGCGAACCCCCTCACCCCAACCTCTCCTCACTTGACCTTTGATCATCCAGCGTGTCTGATCTTTGTCTGAGCATCTGGCTTTCTCGGTCCTTTTGGCTACCTGCGCGATGCTAATGTATACCGGCATCCACTTTGGTGACAACCTCGGTACTGCTTCGCACACTGCGAAGACACGCGTCCGGATCGATAACCGGCAGTAAACACTCCCTGAGATGCGGAGATGGCATCTTAGTACCTGACCCCCCTTTCTCCACTGGTCAGAAGGGCACTGAAAGGAGATGTCTTCTGCGATGCGGAGAGGGAATGTCGGCGCTATTTCAACGTCACCTTTGGCGAACATTGACGCCTCAGCTTAGATAACAGATGCGCGACAAGCTTTCCGCAATGTCACCTTTAGCACTATTTCTGCTTACTCGTGCAGTCTGGTTCTCTTCGTCTGCCGCGACTGAGCGCTGTTGTCATGCTGTGACGCGGCTACACCGCCTCGCGCCACCTGCCCTTGACAACACCATGACGGGCTGCTCTATTCGCAGATGCCGCCCTCGGCGAAGACTCTCGTCGGCACGACCGGGATTACCCGGCACTGTGGGCATTGAGTCGTGTAGATGCAGAGCGCATTGTCAATTTTCATAGTATTCTCAATCTTCACAGTATGCTACTCTGATGCAGAACTGCAACCTTCCCTCAATGACCTGTATCAGAAGCCGAGCCATGGATCTCATGAGTCAGAGAATAATGTCGAAGCTATTGGAAGTGCAGCAATCAAGGATGGAATGTCTTAGCGTGTGCATGGCGATGCAGAAGCTTCTTCCAAGGGAACTCCGGGATATGGTATTCGCATATCTATTGTTCGAGGATGGCGTTCACGCTCGACTATTCCATTACTACGACACTCTCGATCCGAAAGCACCAAGACACTACTGGAACAAGGAATTCACAGGAGACGCAACCCTTCGCGAGCTCACGGAATCTTGGTACAGCTCTGTTCGATTCGATTTCGATAGGAGTCTTAATTTTCTACCGCACCTGTTGGCTCAGGTCGACAGTACCCTGCAATGTAAGCGACAAGAGTTGATCAGGAGAGCGAGCTTCAAGATCTTGCAATGCGACTTGGATATGTGGCTGGCAGCAGACGCAAACGGCATTCCTTCGCCGCAGAGTCTACTACTCAAGAACATGGAGTACTTGTTCCTACTTCGACCAGGCGCTAAAGTCACGATTATACTTGAATCTCCGCTGCCCTGGTTTTCCGAGTCGAAAAATTTGCAAGAGCGCCAATCACATTTCCTGGCCCGCGTGCTTGACATCATCTTTCCGACTCTGGTACGATTACAACAAGCTGGCTATTCGCTAGCTGTCTGTATTGATCCCGGCTCGAACGTACAATTCCAGGATGGACAGCAAATCTGGCGGTACGAGCTCAAGAATTTGATTACACCCGGCAACGCGCACTTCTCCTGTAAAGGTTTCGTGGAACGTTTTCTGAATGTAGGCAGGGATGTGGAGAAGGATTGCAATATCAAAGCTACAACGAGCAGGATGATGGAAGAAAGTTGAGATAAAAATCGGGTCCCAGGCATGCCGGCTGAAGAAGGAGCGGTCGGTCAATATTGCCGAATATCGGAACTCACAACAAACCAAGAATTTCCGCACAGCTGCAATGAATCACCACAGAACCGGAATGGCGGAGGACATGTCATGTCAAGCAACGGATGTGACCTTAAAGGCACGCGCCAAGCAAACAAGGTAGCGCAATCACGTTTGCAGTGCACACGCAAACTGTGCGCGCGACCACACATTGGGAACAAATGGCCAACTGCGCCATGTGGCCGGCCTCTTACTTCCGACCTTTTGTCCGGACATCAGTAACTCCACACTTTGTCCGAAATCAACCCCCCAAGGAAAATCTCCGCTACGAATCATGGACTCACAGAATACCGCCGCATCGTCGGAGCCAGTCTCCGTTCCTGCAGACCACCAAGATCCAAACCATCCTCACTGTCCGCGCGACTTGGAACACCAGTCAGGTACTCATCGTTCCGCGCTCTTGAAGAAGCGTGTTCTCTTCGCTGGTGGTGTTGTTACGACAGTCTTTGTCATCATTGCTACCGCCATCTTGGGCGTGGCTCTCACCCGGAAGCACGACGACAAGCCTATGGATGCGCCTATATTTACTATGGCTGCAAATGCTACGATCTCAGCTCCTGTTGAGGTCCACACAGTCTCTGTAAACGCCACCACGACTGTCTACTCGACGACTCGTATGCCGTTGCTTGTTGCTCTATCGCTGGCCACTTCCACCATTGTTCTCGCGGTACCCCAGACACTAGACGCGCCGCTCCGTCCAGTTGCGGCCGAGACTATTTTCGCAGCGCCGACCCCTAGTGTGTCTGCACATTCCGAAGCTCCGGTCGGTGACATTTCGATCACCGAATGCTTCTTCAGTGGAGCTTGGGCGTTGAAGGAACAATGTGTAAAGCACTGCCCTGCACGGAACGATCACGAAATGCGCTGTGAGATCAGTAAGCGGACTCAGTGGGTGTGTGTACCTTGCCCCTCTGAATCTTGAGTAGTCCGGGACGTTCGCGAGTCGGCATCGTTATCTACGGTCCCATACGCTATGTATGATAGTAAGTCAAACCGGTTAAGACATTGATCTGAAGCTGTACACTGTGCGGTATGATACATATACTGATCCAGTGCTGTGTGATTTTGAGATGCAGTATGTGGTCATAGTCTGGCGAGTTCACAACCCATGGTCACATCTTGACATTGTGCGTGCACAGCGCCAGCAGCGCTGTGAATACGAAGTGCTTAGAAGCGGGACATATACGACGCAACAACTGAACAAAGCCTTTCGCAGTAACAACACAACCTCAACTGATACTGTAGCAAGCAACCCATCGATTCTGAAGTCATGTCCTCCTCCAAGCCGCCAAACCCTGACGAGTTTGAGGCTCGCCAACTCATCAGTCCTGGGCTCGAAAACTTTCCAAAGGACCTCCCTGATCGTCCTGGGGAAAAGAAGCTTTACCTTCGTACCTTCATTCGCAACAATAAGTTTCGCATCATCGTTTGCACAATCGCCTTTCTGACCATGATCGGCGGAACAGTCGCTGCTGCACTCTACATCAGCGCCGGCATGCAGCGCGTTAATGAGGGACAGGCTGCGATATCTGCACTTGCTTCGTCGCCAACTACCACCGCGGCCCCGACGCTGCTGCAGTCTACGCTAACGCAGACAATGATGGCGACGCAGACTTCTGTCGTGACAGGCCAGATCACCATCCCTGTCTCGCAGTTGCAACCGACCATCAATGCTCTCGCGACTGTGCAGCCCGCCCCGGCTATCACTTGCCAGGCCGTAGATACCGCGGTGACGTGTGGCAGCTTAGCCTCCCAGCCAGAACAGCGTCAATAGACAGGACGTTGGATCTAAATCGCGGTAGAATAGCCCTTTTGAGCTTTAGGGTCATCAATTTTTGGCAGCATTCAAGCTCCAGTGCCTAATAACACCATTGAATTCAGTTGCTAAGCCGGACGCATATGTCGGGAAAATCTTTGTCGTTGTCGTGAAAGAATGTTGGCGATGTTCACCTGACCGCGAATGGATGCCAGTTGCCTCACTTCTCCGCTTGCCGACGCCACAGCCGACAGTCGTACCTTCGTCCTTGATCTTCGTCCTTAATCGTCCCTCTCAATTCTGTCGTCGAACCGCACTTCAACCTCACCTTTCGCGTAGTCTTGCTTTGCGCTTTCGTCGCGTCGTTCAAACCTCGGCCGTCCCGAATTGACGTCACCACATGGCAGCTCGCTAGCCGCAATAGACGTCGGCAAGCGAACAGCCGACCTTAAGACCTGGCTGCTGGAACAACCACCGGAGCATCATGCCCAATAAGACATGTCTAACTGCTTCCGCACCGACAAGCTGGCACATGCTCATGTTCTTTACTTTCTAGCAATATTCCCTAAGAATGACAGCCGCGTGCACCTCTTTGTCTGCATTGTCGTACTAACGCGCAAACACACCACTGATACTCGGACTTGACCTCCACCGAGAACCTAGCGCAGGGAGGTCGGCGACCTTCGTGTGGCCATCACGGGATTCAGCTTCGTGGTTGAGATGTACATACCTAATGATCCTTTTCCAGCGGGATCTCCCTTTTTTTCGAGTTGCGCCGCATTTGGCCCCGTTGTAGGAGTTCACCCCTACCAACGGCTCCCGTCGACGTCGTAGCGCACCTTTGGGTAGAGGCTATTCTCGGTGCTGTGAAGCCAGTTTTGGTATGTGGATACTTTGTATCATGCTACGAGCTGACGTGGGCTTCGACATTCACGCATGCAGCCTCCTTCTTGAGGCTATCGCCTGGTATCACTTACAGGAAGCCTTCGAGATGATGCTCTTGGTTAAGCTGTCGTTCTTCAGTCGCCGTCTTGCCTTCTATGATGAGAACACCTGCGAATCAGCGAGCAAACGATGGCAAGTAAAAATGCACTTACCGGTGGCACATATAAAATGCGGTGAGACGGCGGAGGAAAGTGATCATCAAAGTAAACTCTCTATGCATCATAGGCAGCGCTATACTACACAATGTCTTCTATTCTCGCAGTTGGCGCTGCGATCGTTGTAATTCTGTATCTTGTTTTACAATGTCTACTTCACGTCACACAAAGCACGCGAGAGCCCCGTCTAACAGAGAGTAACATTCCTTTCATAGAGCCTGTCATCGGTATGGCGAAGCACCAAGCAAGATATCTAGCCAGCCTTGGGTATGTCTACACAAACAATCTTAGGAGTCCCTGCTGACATAGCCTCAGTCCTCGTTACAGGTGGCCTATTCAGACTCTACGGATGCCTTTTCAACGGCTATACATCGTACATGCGCCAAATCTCACCCAAATTATCCAAAACAAAGCCAACGCTCAGACCTTCATTCCCAATCTGTTAGACTTTGGTATGCTCTTTAGTGGACTCAACAGAGAATCGCAACACACACTTCGTAAAGCATTTGGTTTGAAAGGCAATGGCTTTACGATGAGTGTACACAAGTACTTGCTTTCCGGTCCTTCACTGAAGACTGTCACAAGAGCTGCAGTCGATAGACTGACAGCAAGCCTTCCAAACAATCTCCAAAAACACAATCGGGGCGGTTTGCAAGAAGCGGCTCGCCATGAACTCACAATGGCACTCACTGGCGCTATCTACGGACCGGAAAACCCCTACGATGACCCGAAGATAGAAGCTAGTTGGCAGTAAGTCCCCAGTCATGCGATGTCTAGTATTGAGACTGAAGACTATCCAGAGAATTCGTTCCTGGGATCACCCACCTGCTATCGAGCCCATTCCCAGCTTTGACCGCACGCAAAGCTCTCCGTGCTCGAAGCCGTATCGTGTGTGCGTTCAAGAAATACTTCGAAACAGGCGGCCACCTACAAGCGTTTCCCATGATCCCGGAGATGCACGATATCAACAAAGGCCATGGGCTCAGTATAGAAGAAGCTGCTAAGATGGAGATGGCCACATCGCTGGCAATGCTCAGCAGCGGAGCGGTGACAACATTTTGGCTACTGTTCCACGTCTTGTCGGACAAGGATCTGACTGCAGTCATTCGAGAAGAGTTGGAACTGGTCACCGCGGAGACTGGCGTTAAGTCGGTCAAGACTGTCAACCTTGGTAGGGTGAAGGATAACTGCCACGCGCTCGTTGCCGTCCTCAACGAATGTCTTCGGTACCACAGCACTGTCATCAATACCAAGCAAGTGCAGCACGATACAACTCTGGACGGACATTACCTGCTCAAGAAGAACGGCATTGTCATGATCCCCAGTCAGAGCATACATCACAACAAGGACATCTGGGGTCCGTCCGCCGACACTTTCGACCACAACCGTTTCCTGTCTTCTGGATCGAAGAAGAACCTGTCAAGCACCTCGTCTTTTCGTCCTTTTGGTGCAGGTGTAACGATGTGTCCTGGACGGCACTTTTCGACCAACGTCATATTGAGTCTGGTCGTGATGGTGCTGCTAAAGTTTGATGTTGAGCCAGTAGGCGGAGCCTGGAGGAAGCCTACAAAATACAACGCAGACATGTGGAATGCCATGCCGAAGCCAGACTACGACATTGATGTAAAGTTCCAGTCAAGAGGAGAGAAGCAGATTGAGTGGAGGTTCGTCTGGGAGTAGCCATCAATGTACTAAATATTTCGTCAAATGAGCACGAGTTTAGTATGCATTTAAAAAGTTTTTGACAAACACCACAGGCAGATCCCTGCAAGTGAACGATACGGTTGCTGAGATCCATGAACACCGCCTTGCGACCTTCTTGTTGGGGTGTGTGGACTCCGCCCCGAGATGCATCAAAACCCCGGATGTCCATGACGTACTCAAGCTTCTCAAGATGAGATGATAAGCTCATCTTAACTTGGCACTACTCGGCACGAGGTCTTATTTTGAAGCCATATATTCTACCTTTCCCGTCTAGCAGTTGGCATCGAAGCTTAGCCGGGCAGCTTGCCAACGGCGGTAGACGTCGACCGAGCCTCGCGCCAAGTACGACTCCACCAGACGCAGAGGGAGACAAAGTAAGATTGCGTCTTACATCTCCTGCAAGAAGCAGAACTGCAGCGACCGTGTGTAGAACAGATGTAACTACGGTAGATTCACGTTGGCGTGCCTACCGATCACGACCGAACAACCATAGCATCCCTGCTGCACTATAATGGGATCTTCACCACGCTTGAAGCTACCCTGCTTATCCGGCCAACCACGACACAAGGCGACAATGGCAGTTGCCTTCTCTGGTTTGATGATTGTGAGACACGAGACCCTGATCTACAGAACTCGGGCATTCAGCAGGCTAAGGCAACCTTGGAAGCACGAGGTAGAGGTTATAGGTCTGACACCGTTGTCTCCCGCCGTGCGGCACGTATAAATATACGGCACTGCTGGTGTGCTCCAACAAATGCGTCCCTCTCCACCGACCCATTATTCCCACATCATTATTATGGAACGCCTCGCACTGCTCGCTGCCGCCTTGGTGGCCGCTTCACTGAGCGGTGCTCGTGCGACTTATTTCGTTGAGCGTCAAGTGCCTGCCAATGCTACAGGTGTCACGGCAATCACCTCTCCTCAAGGCGCACAGACCCGGTACAAGTAACCCGGCAAGCAGGGTGTCTGTGAGACCACCGGGGTTGTCGGCGACTATTCTGGATACATCAGCCTCAACGAAAAGACCAACATGTTCTTTTGCTTCTTCGAAGCACGCGAGAACCCTCAAGAGAAGCCACTCAGTGTAAGTCATTCATTTCATGAGAACAAGGGCAGGTTCTGATAAGCGCAGCTCTGGTTGAACGGGGGTCCAGGCTCGAATTCTCTCATCGGTCTCTTCCAAGAGCATGGTCCTTGTAATATCACCGAAGAGCTCAAGACCTAGCTGAATCCTTACTCTTAGAACGAGCGCAGGTAAGGCACGAGTTGGTTCTTGACCCCAGCGCAAATCTAACTAATATGATTTATCTCAGCCAACCTGTAGGTGTAGGCTTCTCCTACGACACCACCGAGGTCGACGAGAAAAGCAGGTACTCGCTTGTCGACCCTGACGCAGCCAATACCATTCACGCTGCTGCTGTTGGTGCTTGGCACATCTTGCAGATCTTCTTGGAGCTTTCCCCCCAACTCGATGCAGACATTAAGAACCCGACCTTCAACCTCTGGACTGAGAGTCACGGAGGCCACTGCGGGCCTGGCTTTGACAATTATTTCTATCGACAAAACGAGGCCATCCGCAATGGCTCTACCAAAGGTGTCGAACTGCACATGGATACTCTCGGTGTTATCAACGGTCTCATCGATGAGCAGATCCAAGCTCCTTACTACCCTGAGTTCGCTATCAATAACACATACGGTATCAAGGCGTATAACGACACGGTCTAGTAAGTTGTGGTTGGATCCGTCTTTTGACACAGTACTAATTCGGAGCAGCACTTTCGCAAAGCAAGCATTTTACTATCCTTGGGACTGCAATGACCAGATCGAGTATTACAAGCAGCCGAACCGCAGTACCGAAGATGGCCAGCTCGCTTGCTCGTCCGCTATGACTATGTCGATCGCTTGTGGAAGAGCCATACGATGGTTTTGGCGACTGTGGCGTCTAAGATATTTGTGACGGTTAAGAGGAGAAGCGGATCACGTGTTGTTGGCGGTGGTCTGGCGCTACTTCCTCATGTTGTTGAGCACCTCTTACCTCAGCTGCGTCAAAAACACGTCATGCAAAACAGACCCCGCAGCGAGCCTTGGAGAGGCAAGATACAAGCAGAACAACAACACAGAACAACAGAATACACTTGTTTCACATTTGCCCTTGATACCGCAACAATATTCGCCATCCGTATCAGTATGACGATCCTACACCTCCAGACTACTTCGTGGACTTCCTCAACCTTGCTTCCACCCAAGAAGCCCTTGGTTTCAATATCAACTACACATCTGCAAGCTCTTCTCCAGTGTTCTCCTGTTTCTCTTCAACCGGTGACTTCGTCTACTCCTTCATCGAAGACCTGTCTGATATCCTCGGCTACGGTGTCCGTGTTGCTCTCCTTTACAGTGGCGTTCACTACATCTGCAACTGGTACATCTGCAACTGGTTCGGTGGCGAAGCGGTGTCTCTTATTATCAACCACACTGACAAGGCTGCTTTCAACGCGGCTGGATACACGCCGTTCCTCGTCGATGGCGTGGAGTACGGCCAGGTACGCGAGTATGGCAACTTTAGTTTCACGAGAATCTACGAAGCTAGCTACGAGGTTCCATACTATCGGTCTGTGGCTATTCTGAAGTATTTTAAGCGTGTGTTGGATCACGTTATAATTGCAGATGGCAGCAAGGTCGTCATAGATGACTACAGCACGAATGGCACTGCGAAGGCTACGCACACTGAGCCTTACGTTCCGCTGCCGCCCACAAGCACACCGATATCTTACATTAATACTGGTGAGAGGAGAGTGAAGACGGTCTGGCGTGACTAATTGTCCTCTAAAGCTGATCGTGCCCTCCGAAAGTTGAGAGCCCCAATCAGTCATCCTCATACGCATCACATGACTTCATGTGCACGAGCACGATGTACAACTCATGAATTTGCAGCTATCCAGGGTCTGCAGAATTAACGCAGCTCTAAAACCTGACTAATCAAAGCTACCTGAGCCCTCAACGCCTACAATGCATATGCAACAACGCCACGAATGCAATTCTATCGCTCCTTTCGCTCCAAACCAAACGCTAACGAGGGACTGCGAACACATATCTTGAACGATAAACAAATATTGACTAGAAACTGAACAGCCCGGATCTGCGCTTGCCAAGAGGGTATACAATGAGCGCAGCCAGAAAGAGACCAACAGTGATGCCAATAGCAATTTGCACGACGGAAAAACCAACGTTCAAGGCGATGCTGTTGAGTGTGCTAGTAGATGTGACATCTGCAGCGCTGACTGTTGCTGCGCTTGTTGTGTTGCGTGTAATTTGATCTGCAGAGCTGAGACCAGAGACAAGTGAGCCCTGTACACTCAGGCCGGAAGGCACCTGCACAAAGATAGCAGGCAACATAGCGGCGGCAGCAAGACCGTAGCCAATCTTACGAGTATGAGGGACGAAATCGCTGACAGAACTAGCGCGCGAGTGTGTTGCGCTGTCGTTCTGTGCGGCGCTGTACTCTGAGCGTTCGACCTTGGGGAGTGCCAAGCCCTTGACAGCGCCGTGGCGCCCACGAAGATACTTCTTGCGCAGAGCCATGACGTGGGGGCGCATCTTGTTCTCCCAGGTATCCAGGCTCCAGTTCTCGACGTGACGACCGAAACGAGCATGCACGTTGGCAGCGATACCGATCGCCAACGCGCCGAGAGTGTTGGAAACCTGCGCATTGGCCTTGAAGTACTGCGAGCTGTGGAAATTGACGACGTAGCCGATGAGCGCGATGATGGCCATGGACGGCATCTGCTTGTACTTCGCCTGGTTGACGATCATGAGGCATATCGAAAAGGCCAGGACGAAGAGGTAGTAGAAGTGCGAAGACATGGGCTCGTTGCATGTCGTATTTGATGTGGCGTTCTTGTCCATCATGCCGTAAAGGACTGTGCCGATGGTGATACCGAAACCAAGGAAGAGAGAGTAAATGATGGCGTAGACCATGCGCACCGAACCGGCGACAATATGCTTGCTTTGGAGTTCGAGGGAGGCGCAGAGGACCATGAAACCAGGAAGGATGAGGGCGATGCTGGATTGGGCCATGGCACTGAAGCAGAAGATCTCCCTGCCATCGCTACCACGGATGGAGCCGAGAGCACGGGCGAGGAAGCTCGTGATGACGGCAGCGCCAATCTCGAAAACGTTGCTGATCAGCTCATTGCCGGGTGCGACAATCAACTGCAGCCAGCCAATGATGCAACCCAAGAGGAAGCAGAAGGGAAGATCGATCGGTCGAGCGTTGAAGGCGAACGGAGCAACAGTTGCAGAAGCAAGACCGTACACAGGTACTCTTGGCCAGCGACCGAATTTGTTCTTGCGTCCCATGATGGCTTCCAGACGAGGAGTTGCTTCGTCGACACCAACCCGATCGTGGACGACATCCTTGTAGATCTCGTGAACATCGCGCAGCTTTCCGAGGTCAACACCTTGCGCAGTCCTTACAAGCTTGACTTCCGAAGTGTGGATTGACGTATCGTCGAAGGCACAGATCATGCAGCCGGGCATGTACAGGAACTGAGCCTCGATCTCAAGAACACGCGCGGACATGTTGAGATACTCTTCCAGACGATGTGTCGGTGCACCATACATCATCAGAGCCTTGCAAAGCTTGCGAAGGTAACTTTGTCGAGCCAGTGTACCAGCAATGTGAATCTTGATCTTCAAATCGCGGTCGCGTTGCCGCTTGGGCTTCTTGATAGATTCGTCTGACTTCGAGCGCTTACCCACGCCAGGGCGGGTCCTCTTAACCTGCTCGTGGAATTCATTGCCCAAGTCTTGCTGGGAAGGGGCAGCAAAGCTACGAGCGGAGCTACCAACGAGGGTAGAGATGGAGTTGGTTGACTGGTTGTGGCTACGGTTGAACCAAGGTTTGCTGCGAGGTGTTGTGGTCCCTGATCGAGGAGGCGATGAGTTCGGAGAGTTGGCGGCAGTTGAGGCGCCGCTGAAGGTGTGACCGGCGCTGAGTTTTCTCGCATGAGACGGTCGTGCAGATCGACCCGCGGTGGCAGGAGCCTGAGAAGCAGCAGTCGAGGCTTGAAGCAGCGTACCCAACACACCAGTTCGATACCTCCGAGGTCGTGCAACGTGCTCATCTCCCACCTCGATAGTATTGATGGGAGTGACTTGTCCGGATTGGAGGGGAGGTTCCGAATGGTACAGATCTTCCATACTGATCCCAGGACCAGCACCACTGTTGCGGATCGTATGGTTGCGCATGAGCATTGAAGCCCGCTTCATGAATTGAGGATCGTGGTCGTCATCTTCTTCGCTGTTCTCAGCAGTATGCTCGTAAGAGCTGACTGCGCTTTGGAATTCCAGCAAGGGTGGGCTCATCTGGCCCTCAGAGCCACGACGAGAGACAGGGGCGGATGTACCCATGGACTGGGATAGCTTTGCCGCTCGTCGATGAGCCTCAAGACCAGACCGCTCCTTGGCCTTGGATCGTGAGTTTTGTCGCTCTAGCTCATCCTCGAAGGGATTTGGCTCGTCGTTAAGATAGAATTCTGGAGGTGTGCGAGAAGCTTTCCGGATGGCAGGGCGTGGCCTCTGAACGTCGCGAGCGGGGGGTGTAGCTCCTGCTTCCTGCGGGTACTCTTCTGAAAGAGCAATCTGAATAGACTCTCGCATCTTCCTCAAGTCATCTTGAGAGAGATCGGACCTTTGCAGAGTGTTACGACCACCTGAGCCGGTGTTGTTCTCTTCATGTGTCACCGCTGACAAGGAAAAAGGGCGGTCATCGGTAGTGTCTTCCCTCCAGACAACGCGCTTGCGCCCCGGGGTGGAAGCCATCGGGTCTTCAGAGAGAGTGTGTGAATGGGATGGCCTCGGGTCTTGAAAGAGATCCATATTGATATTATACTGGCCGCCTGACACCAATGGGCGCGGAGTGTGGGAGAGTACCTTCTTGGCGCCAAACTGAAACCCCGTAGGTTGTTAATACGCGCCTCTAGAACTTTGGCCTCCTTGACTCAGGCTATGGAAGACCGCACGTGGGGGTAATAGTTCGCAACCGGAAGCGGCTAGTAGTCTCAGGAAGGTTTGAAACAGTGCCGTATGCTGCACTTAGCGGTAGATCTCCAATTGGTAGTGTCAGATGCAAGGAGCAATCAGTGCTCTACGTTCGGGTATATATGGGGCCTTTGGGCGCGATAGTACGGTGGTACAATTGAGAATTTCCGGTGGTGATAAGACAATGCGGTGTTAATTTGAAAGTGGTAGTGAGTGAATCCTTCAGGGACGCGAATGTAGTGGAGACGATGACTGTATTTAGTCGTTGGAAACAGGACAGCGTAGTGTAGCACTTTTCCGCAGGGTTGCGTAGTATTGATAAGGGCCTACCTCTGCGGATAGCTTGGTTGCGCTTCCGGGCGGCAAGCGAGTAAGCAAGAGCCTCGCAGAATCTGCCGTAGCGTTAGAAGACCCAGTTTTCGTTTGCGAACATGATGGCCAGAATGTTCGACGTGCACTTCGTCAGCTCAAAGGAGACACTCGGTGGAGTCGGTTGCAGGGAATGTTGCAGTTGGGAGGGGAACGCCAAAATCACGACAGCCGCACCAAATGCGCGCCAAACTTCTCGACGCTGCACCTGCGGGAGTGGCTGCAGGCGCCGGCGCCGGTTATTCTTGGAGCTACCACTATTGCGAATTCCGACGTTGACGTACCGCAAATGTTCCGAAGACTTAGCAAGATAAGGTTGCCGCAGCTGGCCGACAATGAGTTGTCCGTCAAAATGAGGGAGAGTGCTCTCCAGACCCCTTAAACAAACAACTGAGCATCGCTACTCCGCATGAGGTTGACGCGGCGAGGGCGCTCTTGACTGACGACAGTGTCAGGAGCCCCGCTTCCGTTACTGGTGGGGATTTGCATTCGTCTATTCCAAGCATGGCAGTGAATGCGTTAGAAAAGTGGACAGGTCGTGCCAAACTCTTGGTGTGCTGGTTGAGAGAATCCGAGATAAGAACACTGGGGTATAACTGGGTCTCCAAGCCTCGCAGTACGTGTCATCCAATGATCGTGACCCATGGGCCATCATGGGAGTAACGGGCAGTACGACTTTATCGAGAATCTTCAGTGCAGTATCACTGTCGTGACATGTTGCCGAGCGACAGCTCTTCGCAGTGAGCTGCGGCAAGGAGAATTCGGTCCTTGCATGGCGGACAGACTGATGATGGGTTCATTACTCAGATGACAGCCACTTGGACATTGGTGTGGTTCGCTTGGTGGCGAACAAGAGGCTGAAAACCCTTGAAAACCCGGAAAAGCTTATTCGGTCACCCGCCTAGCCGGATCAAAGCCGTGCATACCGCGCTTCCCTGCAATGTGCAGATCCCAACAGTTGCAACACGAGCTGGATTGTGCGACGGCTGTTTCGGTGCTTCCGTCACATGTTGTTGGTGGTAGGACTGCGAGGTTTGCCGTGCTTTCGGGACCTGCGTTGCCAAAAACAGCAGCACGCCACGCACACGTCAACAATATTCGCGTCTCATAACGAAGCGCACGAAATCCACATCGTCGTGCAAAGCTCATGCGTATCTACGCGTGTAAGGATCGAAGACGGCGATCGTTATGCAGCTGAAGACGACAAGAGGCCAGGCCGCAAGCGGAAGGAGTGATCCACCCTTACGTCACATCTCGCGCCTTGACAACAACGACCAGACCAACTCTCCTTTTTCAAGCGGCACACGTCTTGTCGCTTTGAGTCGTCTCCACTCCATCACACCTCGTGCATGACTCGTTCCACTGGCGCGGCTATGAAGGCTCTTCCCGACGTCAAGCGCGGGTCTGCATCGAGCAGCTCTCCACACTGCATGCATGAAAAAATTCGACGAGGGATGAGTCTGGAGAGCAGTTCCACCCCCGGGGGGCATTGGGCCCACCTGGTGGACGTCAAGTCAACTTCCAACCCGTTGGCCGGGCGGTTCGCCGACTTAGACACTGGAGATTCTTCGATTGAATCTTGAGATTTCGTGCCTAGAGCGTCATTGGGCGGAGAAGCAGAAACATGCACTGCAATCCCTTGGACTCGTGACGACGATGCCAGTCACGTCACCGAATAGCAGGTGAAAGCCCTAGCGATTCACGTCATTCCTCTACTCGTTCGATCGCAGCAAGGAAGCCAACCATCTACATGTCAAAGAGTGTCGGCAAGAGACCGGCACCAGGGGGAGGCATTATAAGGTCCTTGATGGCAAGCTGTGCGTGGCCTTGTTTCATACTCAGGATTGCGTTCTCCAACATTGCAAAACCTTTCTCGTCGGACTCGTCGTTAAGGATGACCTCCATGAAGTACAGGCGAGAAGCTGGACATCTGATCGGTTTGCGAGACCGGAGTAGAAAACACATACCTACAGCCACAGTATCCCGGAAAATTGGAAGCCAACACGCTCGACGCGATCTCCGAGGTCAGAGTTTGGCGATGTGAGGAAGACCGAGCAGGTAGTGATTGTCCCGGCAGCCTCCAAACTTTTGTGTTTGAAGGCAAAAACACCTGCTACCAGCAACGTCTTCCTACAGAGGACTGTCCCTAAACACAGATCGATGTTCTTGAACCATCGAGAAGCGTCCGCTGAAACGAGAACCAATATGCATCATCAGGTCCACTATTGCTATCTCCATCAGTAAACGCAAGGAATGCTATCAGTATATTGCGTCTGGCAGACACGATCTGGAACAAAAGTCACACCGTTCGTTTTACATTCTTTGCCAATAGACTTTGTGATCGCGGTGTAGTCACTCAGAAGCTATTGGATCGCCCTCCATTCGACCCGGTGGATGTTCTCTAGAAAAGTTTGAGACTGAGGATGATCAAGCACGTTCTAAAACGGTGAGTTACCGTTACGATCCTGAACGCTGGTCCGTCGAACACAAGCTCTGTCTTTACAGACACGACTTGAGTAGTAGCATCTCCAATATGGACCAAGTTCGTCATGCCCTTTCACTCTGATCTTGTCCGGTACCTCGGCGCCTTTCTTTCACTTGTTGTTGCATACTACTCAAAGCCACACAACTTTCTTCCCAGTCACTCCTACTCTCTGCACCAAACACCGCAACCTAACTTTCAACTGACATGGACTGGCATTCTTATGACCACCCCTACGACACTACGATGGCATGATACGCACCAAAACGCTCAGACACTTACGACAGCCCCATGAGCTAGAGACCAGCAGGCCGTAACCTACCGCTCGACTTGTCCAAGTTTCCTGACATCTCCATCAGTCGCCACTTCTTCAGCTTCCCCATTCAAGCTTCGGCCCCAGTCCTCCACGAAGCAGCTATCGTCGGCCTGAATGCATCGTGGTGGCAAAGCCCTCCACACCCAACCACCGGGCTTGGCATCGCAGAACTAATGGTAAAGGGTCTTTCGCCTACGATATACTGCGAGAATATCTTCAACGGTATGCATGTTGCACACGCGCGCGTTATCCCAAATGCGCATCTGCTCAACCAATACACGGAGGCCGGTGACCCTGAGGCATCTGAGTTTAGAACGGCGAAGTTTGTATCTCTGGAAGAGGCCAAGAAGGCCCTCATCAATACATTCGTCCGCCCATGCATGGTCGGCGATCACAGCGGTCGTCATCAACCCATAATTTTGGTTGGACACGCTATTGACAATCTTCTGGAGCACGTCAAGGCATCCTTTGGAGTCGATCTATCGAAGTTGGGAACCATCATCAAGTTCATTGATATGCAAATTCTCGCCAAAGATGCACTCGTCCATAGCCCAAAGGGCCCCCATCATTAGCCTCTCAGATCTGCTTGAGTATGTCAAAGTTCTTATCCCGAATTATCACAAAGCAGGCAACGAAGTAGCGGGCACCCTTATCGCGGCCGTGCTCACATGCCTTCGAAACGACATCTACATGCATGGCGTGCCATATGCTGTAGTTGTGAACTGCGACAATCAGGATGTTATCGAACATTTCCAGGCGCTCGGCAAGTCACTCCCTCCTCTGTCTTGGGGCCAGCTCAAATTATGCACGAAGTGCGACCGGAACAACCATGTGCGCTCCGAATACTGTGCGCAGGTCTTGTGTAATACTTGCGAGAACTTGGGTGCCATGAAGCTCTTCAAAGCTCGTAAGACGCACCACATGGCGAAGTGTTTGTACGATTGGAACGATGAACTTTCTCTGAAGTTGCCCAAAAACGTGACAGCAGGCATGAAGAGAGGATATTCAACCCTCATTGATGAAGATTTCATCCTTCCTGTCAAAGGGGCATCCCTACTACCAGCTATGTGGGATATGCAAATGATGGCCCTTCTCTCAGTCATGGAACGTACCGAGAGGTAGTGGATGAATTTGTTTGAGCAAGCTGGTCTAGAGATTAAAGGGTTCTACCAGCCGCCGGGTGATGGCACGGGTATTATAGTATTGGATTTCATAGGATAAGTTAGTACACCATAGAAAAACGCGTGATGTTTTGTCCAAACTCTTTAGAGATGTACGTACAATTATTTTACCGCGCCGGTCGATGCGCCAGCTAAACCCAGAGCTGGTCGTCAGCTACGCCAAAGATGCGAATAGTCTCAACGTTGCGTAGTAGCACATACTCTGGCGACCTGATCGAGCCACGAGATCAACAATGAATGTACACTTTGTCGAGGTTTCATACCTTGGTACTGGGCATGGGCTCGAAGCCAAGGCCACTGATGTTGATGTGGCCAATCAGAAAATCAGTACCTACGTCTGTCAATATACTGAGCTCCTCTAGCCTGTTAATAAGAATACCGTGTAGCCGTTGGAATCCTGTAGTGTCCCCCAGATCGCTGGAGAGCCGCCAGTGGCCACAGTTCCTGGCTCCTGGGCCAGGTATTGTCGGTCAGGCTCTGGTCAGTTTGCCAGTCTCTTCGATGTCACCAGGCGCAAAGATTTTCGATACGACAGAGGTGCAGTCCCAAACAGCCTCCTTTGTATCCTTGGGCCAGTGCCCGAACTCACGAAGTTCGAGCTGATGAATCTTCGTGGCCCACTCCGGATGCTTCTGTAATAGAGCAACGTAGGCAGAGGCGCCGTATCGAGGAACAATGGCGTTGCGTACGAGCGCATTTCGGACAAAGCCACTAAATCCACAGTGCGCGAGAGCGAGATGACGTATGTTTGTGTTGGGTTCGTCGACCTTATCGATGGCTAGAGTGATCGAAAGGAGGATTTCATTTTTAAGACGGATCATTACTGCTTGAGAGGAGGCTGAATTGGATGTGAGGTTTAACAAAAAATCAAGTGGGAGAACAGAGACAGCGTTATGTGCGAAGGGAGCGCAGGTAGGGTGAAAGGGTGGGTGGGCTAAGGCCCAGCAGCTCTTCCTAGATCAGAAATGCGCATTGTTAAATCCATCTGCGCAGCCACGGAATGATTGACACGCGAAGAGGGCTTGTCGTAAACTCCTGTAGCTCTCATTGAGTTGCTCGAACGACGCTCTTTGGGTGCTGTTGCTGGGCGGGCTGTACCGAGGCGTTTCAGATGGCCGTGGGAATGAAACGCGAGATGCAGCGCCTAGCAGCATCGAAGCCCGACACCTAGCTGAATGCCCTGAACTTTAACGTTCAATCCTGAATGTCTTTCCCGTGCATCACTCGGTATGGCGATACCGAGACGTCTTGTTCTTCTTCTTACGGCGACGTTCCTACTTCTGCTAGTCGCAATGTTATTGGCAACGGCAATCGAGATACGCGCACCACCACCCAAGATGATGGCAGTTTCACTCGCGCAAGCAGCAAAATATGGCGAATCCGAGCGCGAGATCGCAGCCAAAGCGCTGCTGAACGGTACTGACTTCAATCGCGACAACATTTCGAACGGGACTACCGTCGCACCTGCAATCTACACACCTACGATGACTCAGACCGACGAAGGCCTGATTGGGGCCCAGGAGACGCGAGCGCCAACCTCGAGTGCAGACGAAGGATACATCGAGCCAGAGCCAACGTCGCGTCCAGTTGCGCAGCCCACGCCGCAACCTGATGCGCAGATTCCGATCCTCGCTCTTTCATATTCTGGCTCTGGCGGCCCCAAACACTGCCGTGGAAGCCTTCTGCAGAAAATGTCTTTCGAGCGCCCAGCAGCACAGTGGAAGACTGGGTCTTGCATCAATCTTCCCAGCGATGCGCGCTGCGGTGTCTTCTATTCCGAGAAGGGCGACAACTGCGAAGCGCAGCTGTTCAACGAGGCGGACTGCCACAACACAACGATGACGTATGTGAACACGGTAGTTTTCATGCCGGAAGAGCGACCTGTCGGCGCGCTGTGGCGGAGCATGTTTGTGAAGTGCGGTGTCAAAGTCCCGGAGGCTCAGATGCTGGATCCTACTATCCTTGGTGGGGCGCTGGGGCCGAAGAAGCCTCCTGTACAGTAGGATGAGGCGCTGCAGAAGTCGAGCTTCAGATTGGCAACGTCGCAGACAGACGTGTCCCACACCATGCGCATGAAGCGGGCGTAAGGTTATTTAAATCGTAAGGGTGTTCCTTGAACCGGCAAGAGTGCCTGAGCCTTCGATAGCACCAAGATTCGCTGGTACGCTCGCGAGCGCCGGACAAGGGATCCAGAACGCAAGTTGAAGGGGCAGCGGATGCTCTGCGGTTTCAGGCAGGAGCCCACGAAGCTCAGTGCTCACAAACGCCGCCCACCACCTGCGATTATCCATCCCACAACACGCCATACTTCGTTCCAGAGACATCGCGCAAGATTTCTTGTAGTACATAATGTATGCTTCCACCTCTTTCCATCAATTCCATCATGGTCTAGGTAAGCTCTATCATCAACATCTCATCACCAGCACTCACCAATATGCCAAGTGGCTAAGACACATCGCCCTCGTTGGCAAGCGCCGCAGAGCCTCAAGAGTTGTTGGAGGGCCATTTGGGATGGTGGTTTCGGTAATAGACATCGGTGCGGATGCCCACGTTCACTCGGGTCACACGCTAGCGGACGCGTCGAGGCTTCCACCTTGCGTGTCGCGGCTTCTCTCCCTGTGGACGTCTCCTTCCTACCTACCTCTTCGTGCACGATGCACGTGGGATTCGAAATGATGTGGCCTCGCGTGGAGGTCCTGAATTGCAACAATGTTGGCACAACAGAAGCAACGCCGACAAATTTACTCGATTCAGCGCTGCGCACACAGACAGTGTATGGGTCGTCAAGGTCTTCGATTTCCTACGACTCTGCGAAACCCTGACATCATGCTGGAGGTCGTTCTGTTCCCATGGCAAAGCTGACTTGGCATGGTCTTGCAATATGATAAGATCAGGGGTGAAACATGCCGCGAGCAGCCACCGGTCGTGGACGAGACTCTGATAAGCCTTGACATGAGGATATCCTACTGAAGCATAGAAGTGTTGACTCAGGCTTGCACATCTGAACATCGCACACACCGATTCAGGGCGCAGTCCAGCAGGTCATTCCAGGCCCGATCCCGCAAATTGTTTTAACGTTGCGTTGCTGGGTACCAGCATCCTCCACTGCGCTGTGTTGGTTGCGATATGTACCCTCGCGATGATGTGCTTCGCCCCTCCTAGAGCTACCTGGGACAGGCCGCCGATTGCCACGACTGGGAAGCGTATTTCTGTCAACAAGGTTTGATTGCAGCAGAAGAGTGTGCATTACGATAGAGGTGCTGCTGTTAAATCGGAGACGATTAGGTACTGGAGAAATAAGAGACAGATCTGTCCTTCGAGACTATCTCTTCATTGCGCTCTGATTCCAGCTTGGTTGTCAAAGATGGTGCAGAAAGCTGTTAAGAATGCACGTCTACTCTCCCATGCACAATGTCCCGCCTCCTGAAGTGTGTAGTTCCGCTCCTTCATCCGGGGCTAGACACTCATTTAGAGTCCCACGAAGAGTGTGTGCTCCTTCGCAAACTTGACTTCTCGATCCTGACCATCGGGTGCCTTGACTTCTTCCTCAAATACCTCGACCAGGGCAACCTCTCCAATGCAGGAAGGTCTACATGTACGATATTGAGTATACCTATGCCGTGACGTGCTACATTGTCGCCTACGCAGTGATGCGTACGTAAGTCTTTCCATTCTCCATAAGACCCTATCGTTGCTGGCACTCTCGACAGCCCAAGCAACATCATCGCCCAATACATCCGCTCTTCCTACTGGCTTGCCGCCATGGAAGTTACCTTGGAACATGATAACGCCCGCGGGAAGTGCATTTGAGGGTACCTTCAAGCTGTGGTGTACAAGTTGTCTTTGGACCTCTGGCGTATGGTCTCGTACCAAACTGCATGTCAGCTTTCTGACCTTCTAGCCAGGATGCGAAGCTCTTTGCGTTCTTGAAGCTTGGAGTGCAGCTCATGACTGCAATCTTATGAGCCCCTTATTGGCGACTTGAATGACTTTGGCTGATGGGTATTGCAGCTTCACCTGGGCAAACAAACTCTGCGCCGGCGACAACGAAGAGCGCGCCATTGTTATCAGTAACGTTCACAGCTTTCAATAATTACTCGCAGTCTGGCTCTCGATCGTGATCTTTCTGCAAACCGTGGCGCCTACGTTCCGCCGCAGTTCCCCTGGCACCTTTGGTCTAGTGGTTGCTGCGCTCAATTCCACTACGGTTGTTGTCATGTTCCCGGACATGTACCAGATCGTCGCGAACGTCGTCACAGCAGCACTACATGGATCAGTAAAACTCCATCACTCAAATCAGCAACAACATACCAAAGCCCACTAGCCATAAAGACACTCAACACCCATTTTGTACTCATCTCCATCTTCATGCGCCAAACTATGTAATAATGTAAGTCGGAAGGCCTGCGGTGATCAGATCCATAGCCGCATTCCAACTGGCCTAGATCCTGCCACCGAAGTTCCACACAGCATGACTAACACAACTCCCCGGAACCTCTTGTTTCCAACTCTTCTTCCTAGGCGTGCATTGACTAAGAAGAATGCCGATCATGAAGATATTGACGCCGATCATCACCGCAGTGACGCCGTACAAGAGCCACAGGTGGCCCTTCTTCGCACTACTACCCAGCAAACGGACAAGGAAAAGGTCTAAGTCTTGCGCATTTACAACTTATCGTGAGCATCGAGCGCTTGTGTTCGTTCGAGTAGAATAAGAAAAAAAGATAGCGAAGTAGAGAGATCAAGACGGAATTTCTCTGCGATATGCAGTGCACAGAAATGTAAGGGCAAACGGAATGGCCTGGCGGGTACGTGAAAGCACAAGGTACCAGACATAACGAGAAATCTCTGCAATGAAAATGTCGTTCGTCAGACTAGTCATTGACCTTTAATGACCACTACTCGCATTTCGATCCCGTACATGCTCCTCAAATGCGCCATCATCCAGCTTGTCCATAGGTTTTGCGTGAATCCTGGGAGGTGTGCTGCTACTCCCAGAATTAGACTCAGAAGAGTTGCCGAAGCCCATTGCACCAAAGACAGCAGACATCGATTGCGTAAGAGTGTTCACTGCTGTACTGAGTGTGGATTTGCTGTCATCGTCTCTGGTATACGACTTCGGTGCCTTGAAACCTGGTGGCTCCTGAAATGATGGTGCTCGGTTGCCACCTAGAATATCTCGTTGCGTGCTCTTCGGTCTGGGCTTCTGTATTTGTATGTCCGTATCCTGCCTTGTTTCAATTCCAGTCGTCTGGCCTTCGTTGATGCCTGTCCCACTGTTCTCTTGTTCGCCATTTCTTAGCGTCTCCTCGAGCTCCTTCCCGAACAACAACTTAAAGAGTACCACAAACACGACCTCGTCACTTTCCCGATTCTTCAACACGAACCTCAGATGATGCGTCTTCTCATCCATATACTTCGCCACACTAATCGAGAAGCCCGGTAACCTGAGCGAGAAGTTCGAGAAGTCAAGGTGCGCATTGAAAAAGTCCGCATGATACAGCCTCCCCTTCTCAAACGTGAACGCTCCCAACTCCTTCTGATCAAGAAAGAATCTTCGCCTCGCTCTCCAAGCCGACGGAATGCTCTGTTCAGAACGCACGGACGCACCTGATAGCACCGCACCTTCTTCCACTACGCCGTCATTATCGTCTAGTAGCTTCAGCTGCTCGTCTGCGCTTTGTTCGTCGACCTTTCCGCCGATGCGCAGGGTGAAACAACTGCTCAGCATAGGTCCATAGAGGTACGGTTCGTTGCAGAAGGGGTCAGCGTAGAGCCCCGGATCTAGCACTGTCGTTGCGATCTTGACGGCTGTCTTGGTGCCGGGCGGCAAACGATCACGCACGGAGTGGCTAAAGTCGAAGCCCATGATCAGATCCGTACCGCAGATGTCGCGTTTGGGGGTGAAGGACCATGAGATTGAGTAGCGATCCGAGGGGTGCAAGGGATGGTTGAAGTAGGGACAGTTCTTGGGTGCATCTTTGGGGAGGCCGTGGTAGTCTTTTATCCGGACGCGGAGGTAGGATGTTGCGAGGTCGTTGTCTACTTTTTGGACTTCTAAGCTGTTAACGGATACTTGAGTATGGGTGTTAGGGTCGTAGGACGGGCCTGCAGTCACTGTGATCGGCTGATTAGATGCTTGATGGCAGATCTATAACAGGTGTAAACGAACCTTGGAGCAGGTATTTGTCGCGATCCTCAGGGTTCACAACCGGTCCAGAGCCTCCCAGCAGTCCCATCTTGAAATTTCGGTATGATACAAGAGTTGAGACCGAAAGATAGAGGTCAGTTGTGATTGGCACTCAAGGTAGGCTCAAAGAAGCCTGAGATGCAGGTGGACTTAGACTTAGACTTGAGATCGAAGTGAAGCAATGCGCAAGCCTCGACAGGCCACTTGAAGTGGCAGCCACAGGAGTCTACGCAAGCCATTCCTATGGGGTAACAGAATTGACGCTGGGCCAGGTAGTGCATCTAGATGCATGACGTCGTGATGTTCCGGTTGTGACCAATCATCGGCTTCCGGTGTCACAGTCCAAGCGTACGCGTCGCCAGTACCGTTGCAGGAACGATCGATATCGAGGAGGTACGTACCGGTACGTCTTGTTCGTACAACACTGATGTTTAGAAACGAACGCGCTCAGACTGTGCATTCGATGGGTATTCTAAGTACAAGTTTTGACGTCTAGTTCTTTTTGTGCTCTACGAACGCCGCCTCGTTGGCAAATGCTTTCTTGTTCACAACCTGATCTCTGATCAATCGTCAGTCCCACATCAGACGGCTCTAAATCCTTCAAGGAAGCTAGAGTGAAATGATCCCAAGACGGCAAAATTGAAAGACGAAAATGAGTCTTACACAAATTTATCTCCCTTACACTCTTGTGATGTACAGGTCTATATCAAGATATCGTAACGAAAGAATTAATGTAAGAAGTATAAAGCACTCACTTCTTGCCCCTTCCACCGAAGCCCCAGCGAATCTGGTTTGCCCAGCGACCTTCTACGCCGAGGTCGTCAGCGAACTGCCAGACAAGACCGGGGTTCTTCTGGAACATGCGGCCAACGAAAACAACATCCAGGTTGTCATCCTCAAGGTAGCCGTTGGCCTGCTTGCCATTGGTGATGGAACCGACGGTACCAACGAGCATCTTACCGCCGACCTTGTCCTTGACAGCCTTGGCAAAGGGCTCCTGGTAGCCAGGACCGCCGTGGATGTGCTGCTTCTCGTGGAGACCTCCGGATGAAACATCGAGAAGATCGACACCGTGCTCAGCAAGCTGCTCAGAGAGCTTGACGGTCTGCTCAACAGTCCAGCCCTCAATCCCGGCCTCCTCAAGCCAATCGGTAGCACTGATGCGGAGGAGAAGGGGCATATCCTTGGGGATGGTGGCGCGAGCCAAGTCAACGATCTCAAGAGTTAGACGGGTACGGTTCTCGAAAGAGCCACCATACTTGTCCGTGCGCTTGTTAGAAGCGGGCGACAGGAAAGAATGAAGGAGATAGCCATGAGCATTGTGGATCTCAATAAAGTCGAAGCCGATGGACATAGCTCGCTCAATGGCAGCCTTGAAGTCCCTCTTCAGCTGCTCGATATCATCCAGGGTCATCTCCTTGGGCTGGCAGTGGTTGTTGTTGAATGCGATAGCGGAAGGTGCTTGGACGTTGTCGGGCCAGCCATTCAAGTCTTTTCCTGCAATGTCGCCCTTGCTCAGCCACGGCGCGACTGTGCTAGCCTTGCGTCCAGCGTGTGCAAGCTGGATACCGATTTTCTGGCTTTGGCTGTGAGCAAACTCAACAATTCTGCGAAGGGGCTCCTTCTGGGAATCTTTCCACAGACCAACGTCCTCCGGAGTGATGCGTCCGTTGAACTGAACAGCGGTAGCTTCGACCATGGTCAGACCAGGGCCACGCTGGAGGATTCCACCCAAGTGAGTGAGCTGCCAGTCCGTGGCATGACCGTCCTGGGACGAGTACTGACAAAGCGGCGAAAGAGCGATGCGGTTCTGCATCTGAAGTCCACGGATCTTCAGGGGCTGGAAGAGCTTGGGGATCTTTGAGCTGCCATCGGTCATACCAAGGGCAGTACCAGCTGGAGGATCCTGGAGGGGTGTGAAGTACGAGACCTGCATTCGTCAGTATGGTCACTAGAATTTTTTGAGTTGCGCTTATACTCCAGGAGCTGCAATGTTTTTCAGGTGATCCTCAGTTGGGATGTCCTTGGGAATAGCATGGTGAGAGTGGGGTTTATCGGTGTATGCTTCAGCACCCATTTTGACGGTTAATTTAGCTTTTGGGAGAAGTGAGTAGTAAAGAAGTCACGACTTCAATTGACGTCGAACTGAAAAATGGAAGGATTTTGAGCCATTTATACTCACTCCCCACTCCTCGAAAGTACCGTTTGGGTGACGTGAATAGCGTAGTGTAGTCAGCAATAACAGCCCCGCAGACGTCACATCCACCAAGGGATCAATTTGTAGTCGTTGATTTGTAAGGCGCCACCAAGGCAGATCGCACCATTAACGTGCGACAATATAGCCGGCACTCCGCGAATAACAGGGAGATTGCAATAGGAGATGCATGTATATCGACCGTGATGTTCTGCAGAAGTGGGCACACAATACCGAGCGAGCGGCTGCAGCCTGCATGGCGGCTTACATCTGCTGACCTGCAGTCGCGTACCCAAATATTTGATTGTGTAGCCGCAGTATGTTCGGTACTAGCAAGGACATCTCATGCTTCCTCAACCTCAGTCAATGCATAGATGTAGACCTGATGCATACTGACCTCGCACACATGGCTCTGCCAGCTCACACGTCAGCCACCCAAGCTGCCCATTATGCCCCCCAACGCATCTCTACAGATTTATTTGCAGTATTTCTAAATGGTCCGCTTGGTGCAAGCGTGTGAGGTGTTGAGGTTTGGCCGCCGATTTTGCATGAGCAGCGGGGAGTGCCGGCAAAGATCTGTTCGGCAAGCCTGCTCCACTTCCGCAAGCAGTTTGTCAGCGAGCCGCTTCAGTGAGAGCAGCCTCATGCACGACAACCTTCAAGTAGGTGATGCCAGGAACCTCAACATATATCAGTTGAACATGCGATACTAGCATATTGTGATTTATGAACAGTGACCGCATGTGGGATTGGCGCCGTGCGGTCTGCGGCGACTTTCTTGCATTGTAAGATGCACAAAGGAGAGGCTCGTTTGAAAGAAGATGTTCTATATCCGCAGCCTTGCGGTGAATGCAGAATGATCTCGTCGATGAAGCCTGAGGCTCCAAGTCTCGCAATCAGCATTGCCCAGCACCGTCTACCAAGACACTAGTGCCGTATTCGATACTTTAAATTGCGTTCCAAATCGAGTATACCAAGAGCTGTTGCGCCGAGTTGGACCCCGTCCTGCGATGCGGAAAACGATGCTGTCATGCACAGCACTCGGTCCAGGAAGTGGGCCGAAACGAAGCCGGGGCGACTCACAGGCATCGAAAACGCCAACCTTCTAGTGCCGTCGTCGAACTCGACAGTGGAGATTCCTAACGTGGTAATTTTGCTGGTGTTGGGGGCATGGTTTGCATGCAATGCAGTGTGGAGATGTGCTGTTCCAGACGGGCGTTGCATGGACGCCATGTCTCAAGGCTGAAGACTACGGCAACAGTAGAAAGCTACCATCTCCTTGACGACCGCCGCTGCAGTGTGCACCGTGATAACACATCTTATTATAACCCACTCAATGGTGACCCCTGTTCACAAGTTGTTCAACGACAGTGTACGAAGTCGAAGTGTGAGCCGTGACCACTCAAGTGCGCTGTAAGTACGGAAATAAGCCAGCAAAGGATTCTCACGATGCCAATATTTAGTGCCGTGATCTATACTGACGAAAAATTCCGCTTTGAGTATGCTGACGACGATACGAGAAGGCCAGGCGCAGGGACAAGCATTGCAAAGGCCTGGGGATTGCTGTGCGATGTGATATGGCGGTGACAAGGGAACGCTGCAGAAGAACGACCGACGGACTGACGAAAATGCCGTCACTACATGTAGGCTTCAAGATCTCTACATCAACACAGAGAACAATGAAGAGCTTTATACAGGAAGATCGAAATGGCAGGAGAGGGATCAGGAAAACGATCCGGGAGTGCATGAGCATAGGCACGGGCTACAGCAACCTTTGCGGAATGTCAAAACACTAACAGCACCTCCGAACCTCACCGCCGTCCGCCAAGCATGACAACGAAGAGCAATGGATACCTTCCGACCCTCCTCAATAAATGAGACGACGTTCAGAGTCATACTCAACCGTGATCACGGCGGCTACCCTAGATTTAATGAGGAGACGTTGCTGGTTACAAGACGGAGCATTCATTGAAGGCTCGTTTTGATTGGCGGGATCGCCGCAAATGGCAATGTTCCGCACAACAGCGACAAGGTTCCGGAAAGGCCACCTTGACGTCCTGACGACAGGTGAGGCTGATCACTAGCGCAGGGTGCCCACACAGTAGGCTGCTGATGGGAGACTAGTTGTCTTGCATGCAGTGCACTGAGTGAAGCATCCGGCACTGAATAGGCTCTGAGCCTCTGACCATGCCAAAGGACAAATATTGCTGGTGCCAGAGTCAAATGCTTGAATATTGTGGCTTTCCGTGATGCATACAACACGTGCGTGCAGTACCACGGACTACGAACGTAGTAGAAAATTCGAGCATCGCGCATAGTGAAACTACACGTGTCCTGTACCAATGGAGATTGAGATCGAGCGAAATTAAGGCTGCGATGTGCGGGCGACTCCAGGTTGACACAGTTGAACAATGCCGGAGTGGCGACGCTAGCGCCAAAAGGGGAAGCGGTGAGGCATGCGAAGCTCGTTAACACCAGCTGTTCACTTCGAAAGTTGTATAGACCCGGTCCACATATAACGCTTGCCCACCGCCAACTTTGCCTTCTGCTTCCTCCATTCCACTTCGACAGTCAACTTCAACTGGCTTGTCTTTCTTTCTTTGTTAGATACCCGGAGTCTTCTCTACTCCACCACACCACGCAGCGAGCTTCACCAGACTCGCACCCCGCGCACGCCTGCGTTCATTGAAGCTACTCACAGGCTCTACACACACCACATCTACAATGGCGCGCAGCTCACGGAGCGCCAGCAAGCGCTCCACATGGAGCATTGCTTTCTACCTTCTCATGGTCCTCGTCGCTGGCTTGATGCTCGCGAAGACAGCTCGCGCTGAGGACCAGGAGCCCCTCGCCGAGGACAGCAACGCTGTCTCCGGACCCGTCATCGGTATCGATCTTGGAACAACCTACTCTTGTGTTGGTATCATGAAGAATGGAAAGGTCGAGATCATGGTCAACGATCAGGGTAAGTGTGCTGCTGCTCTCTGCCATTGAACAGCGACTGACAAGTGTCTTCTACAGGTAACCGTATCACACCTTCTTGGGTCGCTTTCACCGACGAGGAGCGCCTCGTTGGCGACGCGGCCAAGAACCAGTTCGCTAGCAACCCTCACAACACCGTCTTCGACATCGTAAGTTGAACGCCTCGCCTTCAGATCCCACAGTGCACTGACAACCTCTGCAGAAGCGTCTCATCGGCCAGAGGTTCAATGACAAGTCCGTCCAGAACGACATCAAGCACTTCCCCTTCAAGGTCGTCAACAAGGGTGGACAACCCCGCGTCAGCGTCGAGGTCCATAAGGAGCAGACAACATTCACACCCGAAGAGATCTCGGCTATGGTTCTTGGCAAGATGAAGGAGGTCGCTGAGAGCTACCTCGGCGAGCCCGTCAAGAACGCCGTTGTGACTGTTCCAGCCTACTTCAACGATGCTCAGCGCGCTGCCACAAAGGACGCCGGAACTATCGCCGGTCTTAACGTTCTCCGTGTCGTTAACGAGCCCACCGCTGCTGCTCTTGCCTACGGTCTCGACAAGACTGACCAGAAGGAGCGCCAGGTTCTTGTCTACGATCTTGGTGGTGGTACTTTCGACGTCTCCATCCTCACCATTGAGGAGGGCGTCTTCGAGGTCCAGTCTACCGCTGGTGACACTCACCTTGGTGGTGAAGATTTCGACAACCGTGTCATCAGCTACTTCGCCAAGAAGTACAACAAGGAGAACGATGTCGACATCACCAAGGACGCTAAGACCATGGGCAAGCTCAAGCGCGAGGTCGAGAAGGCCAAGCGTACTCTCTCCTCCCAGAAGACCACCAAGATCGAAATCGAATCTTTCCACAAGGGTAACGACTTCTCCGAGACCCTCACTCGCGCCAAGTTTGAGGAGCTGAACAACGATCTCTTCAAGAAGACACTCAAGCCTGTTGAGCAGGTTCTCAAGGACGCCAAGATGAAGAAGAGCGACATCGATGACATTGTTCTTGTTGGTGGTTCTACTCGTATTCCCAAGGTTCAGCAGATGCTCGAGGAGTACTTCGGAAAGAAGGCTCGCAAGGACGTCAACCCCGATGAGGCTGTTGCTTTTGGTGCCGCCGTCCAGGGTGGAATTCTCGCCGGTGACGCCAGCACTGAGGAGCTCATCCTTATGGACGTCAACCCGCTTACCCTCGGTATCGAGACCACCGGTGGTGTTATGACCCACCTCATCAAGCGTGGTACCACCATCCCTACCAAGAAGAGCCAAATCTTCTCTACTGCCGCTGACAACCAGCCCGTCGTCCTTATTCAGGTCTTCGAGGGTGAGCGTTCCATGACCAAGGACAACAACAACCTCGGCAAGTTTGAGCTTACCAATATTCCGTAAGTTGCACATAGCTTCATGTTCCGCTAAGATCAATGCTGACAAGGTTCACAGTCCTGCTCCCCGTGGCGTTCCCCAGATCGAGGTCACCTTCGAGCTCGATGCCAACGGTATCCTCAAGGTCTCTGCCGTTGACAAGGGCACTGGCAAGGGTGAGAGCATCACCATCACCAACGACAAGGGCCGTCTTTCGACTGAGGACATTGAGCGAATGGTTGAGGAGGCCGAGAAGTACGCCGAGGAGGACAAGGCCAACCGTGAGCGCATCGAGTCCCGCAACAAGCTCGAGAACTACGCCTACAGCCTCAAGAACCAGGTCAACGACAAGGAGGGTCTTGGCGGCAAGATCGAGGAAGATGACAAGGAGTCTCTTCTCGAGGCCGTCAAAGAGACCCAGGACTGGCTCGATGAGAACTCCGCTGAGGCCCAGGCTGAGGACTTCGATGAGCAGTTCCAGAAGCTGTCCGACGTCGCTTACCCCATCACTTCCAAGCTTTACGGCTCGGCTGGCGGCGCTGGTGACGACGAGGAGCCCGGTCACGATGAGTTGTAGAGCGATGAAATGTAGGTGGCGACGCGGAAAAGTTGACCGGAATTACCTTGGGCAGCCTTTGGCTTGCCATCTATGAGTAGCATTCCTGTCACTGTTACATCATCAACGGTTTAGACATGTATGGGTTTGTCTCCAGTCTATTTACGATGAAATCTTTGAATTAACGAACATGAACAAACGTACAATCCGCTGCATTCCGTGCTGTGATGTGCTGTGCCATGCATGCCATGTATGCAAGGTGCTCCTGGTATGCGAAAGTGTATCCGAATATCCATAGCCCAGCTTTAACTCGCGAGCTCTTGCCATCGCGCCCTTCATAGCCGTGGCTCACAGCTGCAAATTGCCCGCTCCCACTCCTCTGCTAGCTTACCGTCACTTGCAGGTCGATGTTTGTGGCGCTCCAGCACTGCAGCACCCCACAATGTTCTCTCTGCAATGTCACTATTCCGTTCCTTCCTCAAGTGCACGTCTCCCTTTTAATTCCACCTCGCTCAACATCCTTGTTCTGCTCTTGACCTCACCTTCGATGCGTCAGTCACTGCTGCTTCAGCATCGGTTATTGCGTTCCACGCCGTTGCTACGCCTAATCGAAACTGCATCTCCGTCCACGATGTCCGCCACCACCCCCTACGTCACGGACTCAAAAGCTCGACGGAGATTGGCATAACCAGCCAGAGTCCTCAGGCACCCTCAAACGACTCAACTCGACGACATATTGCGACTCTTGTTCCTCTTGCTCCGCCCTGCCACAACACATGTCACACAGTCAATTCGAACAGTCCCTCTCTGTACAAGCAACGCCAGTCCGCAGCTCTGCGGAGCCCGACCACGAGAACATAGTGTTCTCTTCCCATACGACCGCATGTAACATATTATGACATGATCCGCAGCGTGCGTCGACACCGACCATCGCAGTGATCCACTGTACGGTCAACGCTGGACTGATTGACTACAACCCCTGCCTTTGGAAGCGCGTTGTGCAGGTATGGCTCCTCAAAGACCCTCAAGACACCGCCGTGTCTCATACTCCCACTTCACGCAGATCCAAATCACTGACATTTCACAAACAGGTGAGAACAACGTCATGTATCTTTGAATCTTCCGTATTTACTAACAATAGACAGTTATACAGAACACACGTCGGCCACTAAGAGTCCGGATGCGAGAACCTCGTCCACAATGTACTACGTCGGATGACCATAGGTCGTAAGAGTATCCTGGGAGATGCGACAATATCAGAAAATCGCCATGGGCCAGGAGTATCCAGAGCTGATGTAGATGGACGGGGAATATGAGGAAAAAATGTGCACGAAGAAACCCAAAAGACACGACGCCGACCTGAGAAGGACAACGCAACGCTTAAGAGAAGGAAACCTTGACGGTCTCACTGGAGGAGCCCATGGCGCAACCGCCACCGGTACCGGCCATGACAGTGTCGTAGCCACCGCCGCCGCCAGAAGAGGCACCGCACTCGAACAGATCGTAGTCGGTTCCGCTCTCGCAAGAGTCGGGGGTGACACCGTTCTTCTCCTTGCACTTGAAGACGCAGGTGTTCATGTCAGAGACACACTTGGAGCCCTTGGAGCTGATGGTGCGGCCCTTCATGTTGACATTGCGGGAGACATCGAAAGCACCGGACTGGCCGAAGGTGACCTCCCACCAAGTCTGGTCGAGACCACCGAAGTTGGCAAGCTTCGTGGAGCTGAAGGCAGGAGCGCAAGCAGCGGGAACGTTAGCAGCGAAAGAGACAACGGTCTTCTCGCCAGACTTGAGACCAACGGAAATCTCAGGCTGGTTGACATTCAGAGACATGCCAGAGAAGCCATTGGCCTTCCAGCAGAAGATTACAGCATCCTCGTTGGCGTCGTTGGTGAACTCAGCCTTCCAGGCGCTGTCGTCGCCGATCCAGATGCCACCGTTGCTGGACTTGTCGTTCTTTCCGGTGGAGACGATGCCGAGCGACTTAACGATAGACGCAACACCTTCGAGAAGATCAGAGACCACGTCGCCAAGGTCGCTAGACGATGAAGAAGACGTGGTGGCGGCGGGAGCGCTGGAAGTGGCGGCGGGAGCGCTAGAAGTGGCGGTGGCAGTGCTGGAAGAGGGAGTAGCAGAGGTCTTGATCTCCTGAACCTTGACGGCAGGAGTGGAGCTAGTAGGTGTCGCAGTGGAGGTGTCCTGATCGACGGAAGCGACGGTATAGGTGGCCTGAGCGGTGGGGGTAGGGGTCGGAGTGGGCGAGTTGAAGACGGAGCTCCAGTTGACCTTGTCCCAGTCGACGTCGTTCAGGTCGTAAGCAACGGCCTTCCAGTTGACATCGTTGGCAGCAGAGCGCTTAGCATCACTACGGTCCGTTAGTGTTGATCTCCTGCGCGTTATACGAGCGAGCCACTTACGCCTGACGCCTGCTGTGGAAGCTTGCGTGACGGTTGTGGTGGTTGGCAGCGGCGGCCTGACCGACAGCGAGGGTGCTCAACACCAGGGCAGAGGAGTAACGCATTTCGATATGTGGTTTTGCTGGGTGTTTGCTGGTGCAGTTGGATATTTGTGTGCGGCAGATGGGTCGTAACGTCGTTCACCGGCGGTTATGAGTAGGTCTGGTTGGTGAATGAGTGACTGGGAGCTAACAGCAATACCGGCGTGAAGGAGTGAACGCGCGAAATTGGCTGTTGTCAAAAGAGGGACAATACGGTATGATATACTCGGTGAAGGTGGAGAAGCGAAGAAGAAGAGCGGCGACGCGCAGGAGGTAGCCAGCCGGAGCCCCTGCTTGTTGGGTTGGTGGGCCCAGCGCACCGCCTACGGCCTCGACGGGAGCTCATCTCCTGTGTCTTTCACCCCCTACCCGACAAGGAAAGGCGAGCGCGCAGGCAATGACCGTTGTCAAACTTGTCGGCCAATTGGGAGCGGTACCTGGATTGAGGAGCCAGGCACCCACGACGCTCATTGGCGTGCCTGGCTTAGCGACGGCTCGGCGCCCTGACGTTTCACTTATGCACACTGCACACACTGTAAACAGCATGCTGCACGTGTTGACCATCCATTGCCCAGCTGCAGGGGCAAAGCGCAAAAGATGTGAGCTGTCACAGGCGACCTACCAACAAAGCAGGGTGGCTTGCTGCCGGCCCTCTCCACGGCCTTTGTCGAGCTCACCACCAGCAAACAAAATGACGGCCGCGCAATTGCGATCTCCGCATCAGCGGACTAGGCGCCCTAGTTGGAGAAACACACATGCGTGTCCCTCGATCCTGGTCTTGTCGCCGAGGATACAAGTGGAGACTAAGTCTTCCAGAACGTCTTCACAAACAGCCGCGTCGGCGCTGCCTGCTCCACCGAATCGCGCACACCTCATTTCTCAACAACGATGGCTTCAGCGGCCACTGAGTTGTGAAGGTGCAGCACAACGCTCATAACCTGCGACAAGCAGTGCAGCACGACAACTGGACTGGTCCGTCTCAGCATAAATGTCCAACCGCCTCTCTTTTTGGGTGTCGTACAAGCTTAGAGCGGCGCAGTGCCTTCGTATACCGGACCACGCAATCACCACAGTAGAGTGACGCAAGCATCGCGTGCAACGTAGTCCAGCTATCCATCTCTCCACCGACACCCATCTGCAGCTGCGCAGTTTCTTGTCCACTCAGCGATCAGCAAAAAGTGCCGAACGGCCAAAACATTCTTGGAGCCCCAGTCCTGCCGCCAGCACGATAAGACCTTATCACAACGTGTCGTGAGCCGGGAATGCAGCAAGGAAAATCTGTAACCTTCCTCCTGCCAGTCAGATGCAGAAACAAGCTGACATTTGCGGGATCGTGGGAATTCAGCCGTGACGGCGCGGATGCCAATGCGACGTAGTGGGTTGTCGTTCGCTGATCTCGCGTCCAGAATCCCGGTCTGGCAACGACATGTAGGTGGTTTTCGCCCACTCGTCGAATTTCTCCTCTCTGTCCAATCACCACCTCTGCTACTCAGCAAGATTTTCTTTTGGCTTCTCTTTTTTTTCACATGAGCTCCGTCGGTGAGTCAACTCTTGGTTGGAAGAAATGCGCTTGTGAAGCGGCACACGATCTGATGTTGAGGATGAGCATTTCCACGGCTGCGCGCGGAAGGCCAGATCACTCGCACAGCGAAGTATCACAGACAGAGGCACAATGACATGAATGGGTCCATCAAGAAAGCCTGCGTGCTTACAAAAGACCTGCCAGCGCGCGGTAGTCTTGCAAAGTAGACGGGAAGTGGTCTCAACAGGGCCTGTCATCCGACTCGACAAAGTCTGTGCAAGTTCTGGATCGATTCAACTCATGCGCGCGCGCCACTTCGCTTGCACGATAAAGCAGCAACAACACACACCTGCTGAATACCTACTGTAGACTCGCCTCCACGGTGTTCGCAACATGCTCATTTATCGTGCATGTGCAGAATGCCGCAGCATGTTGATAAGCTGATTGCCATGGATGTAACCAGACTGCATGGCTATGCAACGGCCTGCTACAGGTTCGGTAGGTCTTTCAGTCGACAACTTGGCGAAGTTGGCTGCAGTGTTCAACCTTGCTCAGATCCCGATTGAAACCTCCCACCGAGGTCTTCCTCAATGCTCTCCATCAACCAAGCACGTAAATGCCTCCTCCATCCGTAGGTCAACCTCTTAGTAAACATGCCCACCGTCCACCTCATCTACCATGCAACACACTCCCTCGTGACGTGGAGCAGCAGAAATAGACCAGACTCTGCTGTGCGTCCACACTCATGGGCCCAAAAACAAACACAGACATACCTTAGCGTGCGAGGGCGAGAGCGAAGGCCTCAGGCCTCGCTGATGCAGCGTCTGCGAAACACGCGCTGCACCTGTCAGTGGCGGGATCGGCGCCACCTGGTCTGGGGCGAACGCCGAAGTTTGGACTGTGTTTGTCGATCACACACGTGAGGGGTTTGGCAGGGTGATCGCGTTCGCAGATTGGGTTATCGGGTCTTTGATTTCTTTGGTGCGGACACATAGTCGATGTTTGAGGAGCATTTCGCGTGAATATTGACGACGACCGGTATGCAGCTTTGATGGTGTTGTCTTAGTAGTGGGATGTGAGACGGGCAAACCCTGGATTTCGAGCTGTGCGACCACATGAGGCATCTCTTCCACAATGGCATGTGTGAGCACGTTAGCTGGCAATTTCACTTGCAGTGGGCGCATTAACAACAGCCGCTTGTTCACGCAGACATCGGTGAGAGTGCACAATTGAGCCCAGTTGCAAAGAATGAAAATGATAGCTTTCCATACGTCCTTCAGCTCATTTACACTATACACATACACATACAGTCACCTGTAGACGCCCTGCAATCCATATCACTCATCAAACGTCATTAAATCCCTTCAAACAGGTAAAGCAAAAAAAGTGAATGGACGTCCGAGACCAGCGGCAAGTGTGTCGTTGTGGGGTATCTCGAAACTATGAACAGAATAGAGGTCGTCAAGCCTGGTGGTCTCCTGATGACGTGTGAAGGGTCTGTGTCTAACAGGAATGAAGAGAACGCCGGTAGATGCAAATGCAGTAAATTGATTGGCAGGTTTGAGGGGCTCACCGACAGACTTAGTAGCCGTAATCGTTGTCGTAGCCTCTCTGGTTTGAAGGTGGGTACCCGGTGCTTGTAGGAGTGTACCTGCGGTCGACAGGCGTGTGGCTTCTAACAGCAGGGGTATAGCTCCTCTCTGCTGGTGTGTAGCTTCGCTCGCTGCCCAGATTCGACGGTGCATAACTCCTTTGCGGCGGAGTGTCCCATCCAGGTTGTTGGATCGGCGCGGTAGCACTGCGCTGCTGTACAGGGGGCGTAGAGCCGTTCACAGCCCTGTTTGGGAGAGGCTGTGAAGCTTCGCGTCGTTGTATCGCTGATTGCAGGCTCGCTGGAACGCCTGGCCGTGGAGGTGCAGTACCCGCTCGTGGAGGGGGAGCAGTGCCCGATCGAAAGGGCATGCTCGATGGCTGCGACATGGCTGGTGAGCCAGTGCGAAGTACGCCGGGGACTTGGGGAGGTCGGTACTCGTCCGAGCCGTTTGATTTCGAGTAGTAGTGGCGGGGACCATTGTCCTGGGGTGTGATATCAACGGGCGATAGTTCGTAGGCGGGGCCGGTCGCAGGCCCACGGTTGTTGTATGGCGAGAAAGCGGTGTAGGCTTGGGTCGGCTGTGCTCCGTAAGTATCGTCAAGAGGTGAGGCGAGATCGTGAGGAGGCGAGTAGCGCCCATTAGAGTTGTTCGTATCTACTTGTGGAAGGATCGGTCGCGGAGATGCTCTGCCTTGCGATGCAGGTGTGAAAGCATGAGCAGGCGGTGCGAGGGGAGGGTTTTCGTAGAAGTACGCATTCTGGTCCAGATGAGGTATAGGAGGCATGGGCGAAACCATACCCATATCACTTGCTTGATTAAGGAGCGGCGCATTCGAACCGTAGCTGGTAGTCGAGTAGCCTGTGTCCGAGCGGCTTGGTCCAGGTCTCTCGTTCAGCGTCGGCAAAGTAGGCTTCCTTACAACACCAGCTGAACTGTTGGTGGCTACGGTATTAGTGCGTGACAGAGGGTTTGAAGAGTAGGGTGGCAGCGACGTGACGGTGCTGAAGGTCTCAGATCGCTGAATGCCGTAGATGGATGCGCCGTCGTCTTCCTTGCCGACAAGACTAGGCAGAGTGGGCTTCGAGCTCGTCGAGTTGAATGTACCCTTCTTCATCGCCTTCTGCTCCTCTGCCTTGCGCTTCTGATCTTCCTTTTCGATCGCCTTCTTCATCTTTTTGCCAACTATACGAGACAAACGCGTCTCAACCTTGCGACGGCAATAGTTGGTCAAGCTGCCGTCTGAGCGTGGGATGTAGTGCCAGAGGAAGAAAATGTAGAAGATGCAAGAGATAATGATGCCCAGCGCTGCAATGACCCAGATGACAAGTGAAAACAACATAGTGAAGTAGACAATGGTCTCCTGTCTGTTGCCTGTCTCGATCATGGTCTTGATGTTCAGGAAGAACTGCTCAAAGGCTGAACGATCTTCGGACGCATGCTCGCCAACGGGCAGGAGCTGAGCCTGCATGACGGCGTACAAAGTCATAGCGTTGATTGCAATACGTGGTCCTTGAGCAACGATTACAATCAGTGCGCTCTTGAACTGGAAGTAGACGAAGAGAGCAATGTAGTTGGCCCCTTTCTTACTCTTCGTCAGCTCAGCGAAGACCAGGAAACGACGCCATCCTCGGCCGCTGCTGGTGAGCCTCATACTCTGCCATACAGCGGCCATTGGCTCGAGGTAGCATTCCGTGACACTGCCAGATCGCATGACATGGAATGCCCTGATGCCCCGGTAGACCAAGAACACATAGGAGATGATGATGGTAATAGCGAAGATCCACTTGGCGACTTCGAAAGGTACCTTAGGCTGGACCTGACTGGACCATTTATTGAATGCGAGGAGGTTGACGGCGGTGAAAGCGTCGGCAGCGTAGACGGCGCACGAGACGAAGACGAGGATCCAAAGCCAGGCATAGGAGAAGGGTGTCAAGCAGGACGTCGACCTAAAGTCTGAAAGGTTCTAGAGAGGTCAGTGCACTTGTTCAATGTTCCATCTACCCGACGTACGATGTAATCCCACTTCTGTTCGGCGGCCACATTCGCGAGGCCCTTCTCGCGGTCTCCGCAGCAGCCCATGGTTGGTGATGTTGGCGAAGTGGATATTAGTCGGTGTATATGTAACTGGCCGGTCAACGGTGTGTAGCCTGCAGTCCAGCTGATTCAAAGAGGGACGTGAGATGCTACAGGAACATGGGCAGTTCTCAAAAGGTGGTAAGGATTGGTGGTTCAAGGAGCGTACTCGCAATCGTGGTGACAGACCAGCTGTTGACCACTAGCGAGTAAATTGAGTGAACGATCGGGTCGCCGCTTTTTGACAGCTAGGCTACGTACCGAAGCTGTTGCTTGGCGGACTGGATCCTCTCGGAAGACTTGGGGCTCAATATGCTAGCTGAGGGCGATGTGCATGGTTTGGAGCGTGGAGTGTCTGAAGTGGACGATCCGACAGCGGGCACGTCGCGCCGAAGCAAGCCCCTGGCGATTTGAATAGCAATGATCGCGCTGCTGACGCAGTGGTTTCTTATTGTAGTCTCGCAGTGAAAGCAACTCCGTGGTGGACAATGGCAGGCCCTGGAAGGAGCGGCAGGGGCGTTGTGTGTCGCACGGATGCAAGAGGGGAAGTCGCGTAACGAACGGTTTGCAGGTTTGCTTTGAACTAAAGAGCGACGAGGAAAGAGACACAAGCAGCCAGCGTTTACGTGTTTGCAGCCAGCGACACAGAGCGCACGAGTGGTGATGAGGAACGATACACAGTACCGCGCTCCCACTTTCCTCAGGGCTTCGCGCCGCAAGAGTGCGCTAATCAGGGACCGACCTCACAAGGAAGGAGCGATCAAGGCGGGGTTCGCGATTGGTGGTGCATCAGGTGCCTCATGCATTTCTTAGATTGCTCCACCAGTCTCAATGAGGCAGTGCGCTAGCCCTCTGGAGCGCCCTTGCCGTTTGGCATCCTCGAAACGCTCTGGGATAGATTGCGAAACGCCGACTCTTGTGTGGCTTCCCTTGCTACGCGCGCCTCTGAGAGTGGCTGATGTGGAACCCAGGACAGGCAAACCCAGCACTCAAATTGATCGAAATGAATACGAAGTTCTGCTGATGCGGCGCCAGGCGTGGAACGAGCGGTTCGTCGAAGGGATCTGGCTGGCTGTGCCACATTCCGCGTCTGAGGCGGAGGCTAGGAAGGGGCCGCTGAGCTGCACTTTCACGGCCAATCCTCCGGAAGAACTGCGCAGTCGTCATCAATGTGCCCATCAGTCACTTCGGCAACGTCCATTGCTTCAGACAATGGAGTTTCGAAACTTTGAGGGTGGAAAAATTATCATTGGGAAGAAGTACCTTGCCATGGGGCTCTTATGCCTTATGCGGGCGGGCCGATGGCGGGGGTGTTGCGTAGTGGCGCGCTGTCAGCAGCTGTGGTGAACGACTGTGCACACCCAAGGACGTCTGGCTTTTGTGTGTTCTGACTACCATTGCACCGCAAGTGCCTTGTTCAATTTTCATAGTCGCGCTAGACCGTCGTCGTCGAAGTACAGAAGAGCGTCACAATTCAAAGACACTGCAACCCTCAAGAACGTTCAAGGACGTGATCGAATGTTGGGCAGCTTTTCGAATGTCACTGAAGCTTCTTGCAATTCTGCGAAGAACCAGGGCAAGGAGTTTCGCCGATAGGGTGCTACGAACAAAGGAGCGCCTTTGGGAGGTCCACATACTGGATATTTGTGCGCATGCATCGAAACCATACACTGTTCAAATCATCCGTGTCCTTAATATCTCTTCTTCAAGGCTGTACTTTGGCCACAATTGACAACGAGTACCCCAGCATCCAATACAGGTATACGACTCGCCAGTAGCCATGATTACGAGTCTGCTGATGCCGCTATGTCGCCCACCGCTACCAGTCTGACAGTCTGTACGTGCGGGCCGAACAAACGCGGAAGCCCCTTGTCGTTGCCCTACCGCTCAGGAGGTGAACGTCGGCTTTTTCGATTTTTGCTCAACATGAAACGCTCACTCAAAGATAGTACTGTGCAGGTTACGTTGCTCGTATCGACAAACGCTACTTTGCGAACAATTGCAAGGGCTGTGACCACTGCCCTTAGGTTTTCTGTTGGCCGCGATTGAAAATAAGACTGGTGGTTATCCTCGACCCGTCCAAAAGAGTCTGAGAAATATCCTCTGGCTCGAAGAAGATGTGTTCTGGAAGAGATGCAGTCACACAAACATCTGAAGGAAACGTTTTCCAGATGTCCTGAGCGTGGCGACTTTGCTGAAGAGGCCGGCAGCTTTCCTACCATTACTGGATTGTTGCACTTCCAGACGACGCCTTCTAAGATGCATTACCTTTCCCAGAGTCCTGCTTCACTCGGATCACAAGCTTGCCCTTCGATCGTCCAGTCTTCAGCTTCTCAAAAGCCTGCGGCGCGTTCTCCCAGTCGAAGACCCCGTCCAACACAGCCTTGATCTTACCCTCCTTCATCATTGCACCCAGCTGCTTCAAATCCCCGGGTACCGCCTTGGTCATAAGCATTTGATAAGACCTCTTTCCACCGCCTAGGAAACCAGGAACAAGCAAGTTGCTGGTGATCTGCGCAAAGCCACCAAGGCTGGGGTTTGCACCAATCTGAACAAATTTGCCCTTTGGAAGCAGGAAGGAGGCGGATTGCTTGTACAAGTTCGCTGGCGAGCCCACGTTGTCTACAGCGAGCTGGAATACGGGCCCCTTAGCGGCGAGAGCCTCAACGATGTCGGTGGTCTTGTAGTCGATGACCTCGTCCGCGCCGAGGCCCTCGCAAAGCTCGATGTTCCCTGTCGAGCATGTCGTTGTGACATGACATCCTAGAGCTTTCGCGATCTGAATACCGTAGACACCGGTACCACCTGAGCCTCCGTTGATGAAGACCTTATCGCCAGCCTTGACATTCGGCTTGATGGCCTGGTACTCGGTGAGCCCCACAATCCCCACACTCGCCGCATCCTCAATCTCAACACCATTCGGCAGACTCGTCAACATGTCTTGCGAGACACTGACATACTGCCCCAGGGTTCCGTTCGAGATAGCGCCGACCTTTGCGCCGAACACCCACTCCCCAATTTGGAAGGAGTCAACCTTGATTCCAGTTTTAGCGACTTTGCCGCAGAAGTCTGCGCCAGGTATGCACTTCAGCCCAAAGGCTGTCAAAGGCGCACTTTCAGTGACCTTGTAATCGACTGGATTGAGGGCCATGGCGTGAACCTCGACGAGGACTTCGAGATCGGTGATGGTGGGCTGGGTCGCGGCATCGTTAATCCTGAGGTTCTTCTCCACGGGGACGCCGTCGTATTGCCAGGCTTTCATGATCGGTCGCGACATGATGGAGCTGATTATGAGGACTCAGGAGGAAGTCGCGTGCTGGCAGTTGTTTATCTCGACGTCGCGCGTGCTATGTGCGCTGTGGCTTGGCATCATCTAACTGCAACGGCACAAGCGTCTGCTACCCTCCGTGAAGTTCAGCTGCGAACTCCTTTTCGACTCCATAGCCACAAACAAAGCTTTCCCTGGCATAAGAGGAGGGCTCCTTGTGTCGCAATATGGGTTGTGAGTGTCATCGATGATATCCTGATGATGAAATGGCAAGGCCAGGCTCGGCTACCAACCTTCCGCAGTCAGTGCCAGCTCCATGACTCAGGGGCGGCGCGCGAGATGCTGTCGCACAGACTGTTATGCCACACTATAACGTTGTCTTTAATATCAGCGAAGCAAATGGTATCGATCAACGAACATTCATCTTACGCGCGCCCTAGATTACAGAGCTCATTCCTCAGGGTCTGCTGGCCCGGGCCGCATGCATTGTCTGTGGTGGCAGTCGTGAAGACAGCTGATTTTAAGGACTTTCCAATGTTGAAAAAAAAATTATTGTCATGACACCGACGTGGCTCCCGTCCTGGCGTTGCCTAGGCATTCACTATACAGCTCTTTGATGGTGCCTAAACGACTCTGTACACCAACTTCTTTCCCGAAACCTTTCCGTCCTTCAGGTCATTCAACCCCTGCGGCACGCCTTCCAAGCCATCCCTCACAAGCGTCGGATGTGCCTTTATCTTTCCGCTGTTGAAAAGTTCCTCAGCCGCCTTCCAGTATTTGACACCAAATTCGTAGTCTTCTGGCTTGGCAGGCACCTTCTCGTTGAACTTCTCGCCCAGAGCTGTGTACCCGAAGGTCCAACCATGCTTCACATCCTGGCGCGGGAAATTCTTCAGCGGGCCTGGCAGTAAGCCAGAGTAGTGGCCGCCGGACGAACTGATAGCATCGCAGCAGATGTTCTCGCTCCCATGCTCGGCAATGCAGTCAAACGCCAACTTCAGCTTGTCATTGCTCGCCTTGCGGATCTTGGTGCCGCACTCGGGGTCGTTGTAGTCGAATATATGGTCCGCGCCGAGCTTCTTTACGAGATCGAAGTTATGTGGCGACGCGGTTGCGAAGACCTCTGCGCCAGAGAGCTTGGCGAATTGAACTGCTAGGGTTCCGGTGGCGGTTGACGCGCCGTAGATCAGTACCGGCGTGGGATCAGAGACCTTGGCTGGCGGGAGAGGTAGGCCGAGAGTTTGGTACAGACCCTGGCCAACGGTGGTGATGCCCACACCAAGCGTGGATGCATCTTCCCAGGAGACATTGTCTGCAATTTTGGCATGGATGCCTGCCTTCGCTTTGATGTGTTCGGCGAAGGCACCGTTGGTGTGGTCTGCTGGGTCTCCTCCACGCGCGAATCCGGCGACTCTATCGCCAACCTTGAGGTCCTTGACGCCCTTTCCGACTTCTTCAATAATGCCGGCGTAGTCACATCCTGCGATTGCTCCCTTTGAAGGAGTGTTCTCGATGCTCTTCCAGTCGGTAGGATTGAGGGCTACGGCCTTGGTTCTGACGACAATGAAGTTGTCCTGAACTTCTGGGAGGGGGACGTCGGAGCGGAGCTCTGAGACGCCCTGCGATACGTGGACCACGGCTTTTTGGGTGGACATTTCGCGAGTTTGTTCTTCGAGTCTTCTGGCCGTCAATTTGTTGTGTCAGTTATGATGATCGGCTAAGGAGATGTTTAGGTAGACTATGTAGCTCCCTATGATGTATGCACGCCCTTTAGCTCGACCGGCGACATCATAGGATTTGTCATCGGGGCTGCTGAGCACTTAGCCTGCTCTTTACTCGGATGAAGTATGTAAGAAGGCATCTTGCTGCAAAATGAACTAAATACGATAGGTTGAGAGGTATTACTCCGCTATTCACGCGTCGAAGTTCCGATGTAAGGCTTGAGGTAAGGCTGTACGAAGTACGTAAGGTCAGCGCAGGGCTGAGGTGAGGGCCTGTGCGCCGTGACGAAGCCGAGCCAGGGTCCAGCTTCGAACGCGTCTCGCCGTTGGGCTTCCTACGCGACCAAGTGAAATCAGCAGCGGCACACTCTTTACAATTCCAACTCTCACACTCGCTCGCAATTGTCCGTCATGGCCGACGAAGAAAAGGTCCTCCAACTATTTCCCGACCCACCGCCCTTCTTCAAGCACTTCACAACCGACAACCTCAAGCGCCTACAAGATATCGAGGACGAAGCCTCTCATGTCACCCAAGCCTCGAACGAAGTCGCAAACGCCGGCTCAAAGCTCTCGCCAGAGCAGATCCTCGCCCTCCCCACCGAACTTCGCTACCTCATCCCACCCCCGCCGCCCGCCGATGAGGAATCTTTCCACGTCTTTGGCGAAACAACAAAGAGCTCCGGCACAAAAAAATTCTCACAAGACATGTCCTGGATTGCCGACCGTTTAGGTGCCCCAGATCACACCCTCGACGACTGGAGGTACGCACAACTCTACCCTTCCTCCCCTTCCACCTCCGATTCGCATTCTGCAAATGCAAACATCGACCGTCAAGCGTATCTCAACCGCTTCAACCGCAGCTTGATCATCGAGTACATACGCCTTCTCGGCATCATCGCTTTGGACCCGACAAGTCCGGGCAAGAACGAGGTCTTGAAGCATATTCTGAATCTCGTGTGTAATATGCACAGCCTGATCAATGAGTATCGGCCTCATCAGGCGAGGGAGACGCTTATTAGGATCATGGAGGAGCAGGTTGCAAGGAAGAAGAAGGAGATTGAGGGTGTGAAGGGCATGAGGGAGAAAGTCAGGAGTGCGCTGGACGGCTTTGGGAAGGCTGTGCAAGCTACCGGGGAGGTAGAGAGCGGGGAAACTGGAGAGGTGCTCAAGAAGGATGGGCAGGACGACGCGCGGAAGCATGCGCAGAGAGATACGTGGGACGCTTTGGATGAGGTGCTGGGGCATTGAACGCACTGCATGCGGTTATCCACGACTCTTCTCCTCGAGGATGGGGCCAATAACATGGGTGCGACCCCTACGACCACAGTCCCTATCTCTCATGCGCCAACTAGAGACCGAGTTCTCACGACCCGGTCAGGACGATGACCATCGACTTCGCACACACAGCCGAAGCTGGTGCCGAAGCTGAAGCTGGAGCTGAATGCCAGCAACGGTCAAGTGTGAAGATTGGGCAACGGCAGCAGCGATGAGCGACAGCTTAGCACGGGCATTGGCATTGATATGCAGGGTGCAGACAGCTGTTTTTCGAACCTATAAAATGCTGGTCGAAAGACGCTGCGCCTTGACATGTGAAGTCAGCGTCAACAAAAGTGCTGAAGACGGGCCTTGCAATGCCAGAGATCGGAGCTGAGCATCTCGCTCAGCCTGGGCAATGGCATGGATGGCCCTGGTCAAGTATCAAGGACCACGGTTCACGGATGGCTTTGCCAAGGACTTGAGAATCCATGATCTTCCATGTCTTCTCAGCTCTCAGCCGTTTGCCTGACTACTCAAGGCCTTCGCGCACCGTGCGCGGTTCTCGCCAACATCCACCAATTAGCAGCGTGACGTCACCAGCGCTAGGACGGCTCTACCCTCACTTTCGTCATGTTTTAGCCCCTGTGTTCCCAACATTTAAGCTTTCGGTAAAACCTTCAAGGGTGTGTGACACAGAACTCGCGGTGTGAGCATGTGCTCAGATTCACGAGGCAGTCGCACCTGATCTGGTAATAACAGCTCAGCTCCGTTACCACTTGCATAAGCATATAGGCAAGAGCAGGCAAACAAGCATTCTTGCACAGTCAAAAAGATAATAGAAAATATCAGACTTTCCCTGAGCTTTGTCAGTCTCATCTTTACCTTTGCATCCCCTACACACATTTCTCATTCTATCGAATCCTCATCAACAAATACACGATGCCGGGCCCTACACCGAAGGGACCGTCCAAACGCCTCCTTGTTTTTTGCGATGGCACCTGGGTAAGCAAAAAACCTTGCAGTTCGGGTTGATTGACATTGCAGCTTACCGTATGCAGTGCGGTCGCGAAACCAACGTGGCTGGCGCGCCTCCCAGCAACATCCGAATGCTAGCAGACATGGTGGGAGATGTCCGATATGATGCCTCCATCAAGCGACCCGCAACAGTGCACTCAATCAGACCCCGCGCTGCCAACATCGTCGCAGGCTACCAGGAAGGTATAGGTCTTGACGGAACGTTCCTCGAGTACATCTGGAATGGTGCAACAGCCTCTGATATCGGCGACGAATGCGTGTCTGTCTACCGCTTTATTGTCGAACATTACACTGATGACCATGAGATTTGGCTATTTGGATTCAGCCGTGGGTCGTTCACCGTACGCTGCGTGGCTGGCATGATCAACAACTGCGGTATCATCCACCGTCAGCGAGATGCCTTTTCCTCAGAAGAGGTCGATCGTCTGTGCTACGAGATCTTCCGCACATACCGTTCAACCTTACCCATCGATGCTCCTCAGAGCGAGCAAAGCAAGAGAATGCGCCAAAATGCAAACAAAACCTGGCAAGTGAAGCAGCCCATCCGCTGCATGAGCGTCATCGACACAGTTGGTTCCCTTGGTATCCCTCGCCTCAACGCGGGTATCGGCATCGACTGGGCACCTTTCGAGTTCTTCGACCAGCACGTCTCAACTGTCGTGCAGCACGTCCGCCACGCTCCTGCCCTGCACGACAGGCTGTGGGCATTCCAGCCCTGTCTCGCTTTCCCCAGCAAAAAGGCAACAAACACAGTCGTTGAGCAAGTGTGGTTTCCTGGTGTGCACTATGATCTCGGTCGCCAAACCTTCCGCTTCATACGACAGCATCCAACAAATTACATTGAAGAGGCACTCGGCTGGTTGCCAGATCTGCTTAGTCGTACGATCTGGCCTAACGAAGTGCTCGCCGACAACGTGCTGAGGTGGATTCTGGAAGGCATTCGAGATGTAAACGATAGCGGCACCGCCATCATCCCCAATGTGGACGATAAGATTGCTGAGATCACCGCACGCATCGCCAACCCAAGACCGAACAGTACTGGGAGTGGCGATATCTACGGTAACATCATTGAGTTCGCACCCGCGGGTTTAATCATCGGGGGGATACAGAAGGTATCTGGCGCGATCACGTGGGGGCTGAACAAAGCATTTCCGAAGCTGGGAGACAACATCCAGGATCTACTTGGTATTCGCACGGTCATAAATGTCCTTACGGCGACGGCAGACCGGAGGATCCCTGGCTCTGCTGCCGACGTGAATGCGTACAGGGGACCTTTGAGCATCGCAGATAACGCACGCATGGCAGAGACCAACGAGTGGGGGAAGGCCAGGTACCCAAGCAAGACTTTCGAGAACCATGAACTGTGGACGGAGGTCTTTGGGGATGAGAGAGTTACGTAGTTTCATTCTCTTTGCGCTGCGACACAGGCGAGAGTCAGCACCAACGGAACCTCGACCGTTGCTAGCGCATTCGAGCATAAGCACAACGTCACTGACGCGGCCATGTGCGCTCGACTATGATACTAAATTGCAAGATCATATCAGCATACCACTTATCGTTCAGGAAACCTTGCATTGTTCTACCTACTCGAACAGCTCAAGAAGTAATATCGCACTGATGATCGCAGAACCCTACGTTTCGTGACGACCATGCATAATAGAACACAACGCTAAGTCCCATCTGAGTTCCGGTTTTTCTGACCACAAGACTGCAGACACGCGTATGCTTGCTTATCTTCAACACGCCTGCATCTTGCTGCCTACAGTAATCCCTAGGCGACATCTCCAGAGACCGATGCGCTGCTAATACATCGATTACAAGTAGTGGGGAAGCACAACATGCCAAGGTACTGATCCGTCGAACGACCCTCTATATATCTGTGAACATCATTCCATGACAAATCGGCCCAGCTCAACGAGCCTGCACAAACAACATATGAAGTGCAAGATGTGTGGACCCCAGATTGCTAGAATACATGGCTACGACCCATTGCCGTGCACACAAATAATAGTCACAGGCAGATTGACCTTGAAATTTGCATTACGGTATATGCTAGCCATGCAGCATTCGCGTAAATTTACGGTGCAGTGTGTATATATCGATGCTAAGCTCGGTGTACAGTTGTGGACCTCGATGGTGAAGGCGCCCAATTCCTTAAGCGGGATCTCTGGGGGAGGGAGTATGTCGTACTAGAGATGTGATGCGCGTGTTCGAGAGTGAAGACGGTGCAGGCTGTGGAGAGGATACTGGTATAAGTAATGAGTTATTCCCACACGGTGGTACGCTTTGCTGTTTGTCCGAATTGTTGCAAACAGTGTGGACACAAGCCATTCACCGTTGCTAACAGGGCGTATACGGCTACAGTAAAGGTTGATTGCCGTAACCTACAGCAAATATAGGCAACCTTAGCGTCCCGAAATCTACGTAGCATGTGTAACATACGAACAATAGCCGTAAATAGCCGTAATTGGCGTAGTAATGCAGTATTGCTGTGCACGTTATGAAGCTAAAAAGCAAAAACAATTGAATACAGTAGTGATCAGGGTGTGATCTGAACTAGTAAAAGTACAAAGTAGTGATATTGTTACTGCTATGAAGGCAGGCGTTAGCACAAAAGAGCTAACAGACTCTATTTCTAGCTTTACAACCCTAATAATTATACTTTAAAATAAACATTTAATTTTGGCGTAGTACTGCCGTACTACGCCTCAATCTACAGTTACCTCCTGTATGGCTACGGCTCAATATAATTACCACTGCTTACTGTTGCCTACTGCAGTACACCGTACCCGTAGAGTACAATACTACGTCCAGTTGGCAACGCTTGAGTCATTGCCGGACGTGTTGGATGGCATGTCGGTAGGACATGGCGCTAGCCTGTTAGTTTTGGCTTCTGTCTTGAGGCCTGCGTCGCGAGATTTGATGCAGAATCTGGGCTATCTGCGTGGTTATCTCAAAGGCTGCAGGCTTGCAAGATTGGTGTCTAGGACAGACTGCGCTCCTTCCAAACACGGTAGTTCGAATGCCGGATACTAGCGCAAGAAGTTTCATCAGCACGGCGTTAGTCTAGTATAAGTCAAAGGTCGTTGGGCGTCATAATAGAATCTCATGAGACGATTGGCAATGATAAGCGCAACTAACAAAGTTACGGGGTGACGAAGCAACAATTAGATCGTGTTTTATAGAGTGGATTTTGTAGTTAAAAGCTATTGTAAACTACTTTAAGATACTTTGCTTGAGCGTTTATCTAAGTATAATTTGATAATAATATCACAGGCAGGCTGCAGACTGTATCAAAGTTAAGATACCTCTAAGATCTTCTAGCATGATCAGGTTTTTGGCACGCCAGGGGGGAGGTTGGGTAGGTGAAAACAAAGGCGAATGTTACTTTGGCTGTGCAGATCTCGATTTGACAAGAATGTTCCGAAGTGTTGAGTGACAAAGAAAGAGTAATGCCAGAAAGCGCGCATGTTATGAAAGACAAAACTCGGATATGCGACGATCTGATCAGTGTACTATAGCCCTAGATCGTCTCTAGTCCTGCGGAGGCGTGACCACGATCAAAGGAAGGGGGAAACCCTTGTACTCAGTCTTGACCACCCAACACATCTCCAGCTCATACTCCTCCTCCTCAACAGTACCAGGCGTCTGCAGCATGACCGCAAACCTACACACCCTGTGAACAACGGCAGCGACCATGACGATTGTAAGAAGGTTGTTCGTCGCGTTGAGAACTTGAGACATGGATGATTGACAGAAGAGAGATGACGGTTGTATGGATTCAAGGATCGGGGCTGCTGCACAGAATATGTGCATTGGAGAGCACGGGATATCAGTGAAAAGGCCACATGCTAGGGTTGATTAACAATGTCGAGCCTGGAAGATTCGGGATTGTGATTGCACTTTGCTCTCACGAGAATAGTGCGCTGGTGAAAGGACATCGATCCATTACCTTGAATGTTAGATCTGACGCACGCGCCAATTGCCTAGATGTCATGTTCCGTTTAGTCGAGGAGTGGGCCTAAGGTATCAGATGCTCAACCTCGGAACGTGGTACTTCCAAGATTAATAGAATGAGTGGAAAATATACTCACTGAGATCCCGGACCTAAAGGTATTCTGTATTCAATCAAGGTCAAACATGTGATAGGATTGCTATGCGAAAAGTCAAAAGCGGAGAATGTCGGAGTGGCCAGGGACGATATAGTGGTCAAAGAGCGACAAGAAGATCCTTAAAGAACATCGACAGTGCAATATCTGGATAATTTCCAATCAAATGTAAATATTCACGCACTAAAAATGCAGTGCCATGGAAGACCGAGTTCTGACGACTGCGTAATGCTTAGACTTAGTGACCGCTTCCAACCCAGTTTCGTGACGTCTTTGTTTGCAGCCTCCACTTCACTGTCTGGCGGTCAGACACGAGGTCAGATGTGAAACGTACTTTGAAGAATGTCGAAGAGTTGGTGTTCTGAGTGGCAGAAGTCATGCCGTAGGTGGCAAATGGTTGAGGTGTTGGGTGTAGTGTGCTTGCGTGATGATCGTTGTTGATTGTGCCGTGCGCGTATTAAGCGTCAGGACAGCTTGAAAAGCACAAGGCTCGACTCTGTCCCGCATGGAAGTAGGTGAGTTCGTAGAGACTCTGTGGAAACGCAGCTGTAGAAGCCGCAAGAACAGAATAAAGGATTGATACAATGAATGGTCAGAAGGCTCCATCAGGATCACCGGCCGAGCAAGGAAAGACGTATCAAGAACAGAGAGATAGTTATCAGTTTTTTCTTCATCCTTATAAATTGTCTTTCGCGATTTACTACATCATCACGTACTGCAAGTTCAGTGCCAGAAGGTCGGGTTGTGTATAACCCTCAGTCTGTTTAGATGATAGGTCTTACTTCGATCCAGTCAGAGCCAAAACACTTACATTTACTAAAACAGAACTCCGTAGCTATGACTGTAGCGTTGTGAACCGATGTATGCAACGGCGTACAGGCCGAAGACGACAATGATCACGAAGGCGCGGGATCTCTGTTGTTGACGGCGGTAAAGGACGTTGCCTAGGTCCCGTATTCTGACTGGCTCACAGTGGCTGGAGGGGGTGTGCGGTATGCTAAATTCAGTTCACTGGCTTGGTCGACCTGAAGCTGATCGGGGTGTACCGTGTGCCCTCGCCTGGGCCCGGAAGGCGTCAAATTGCTCTTGAAGACGAGCCTGAGCATCTCGAAGGATCTGGTTCTGCGTCTGAAGCTCCTCAGTCTGTTTCCTCAGCTTGTGCACACGGCGAGCAAGGGGGCCCTTCTTGGTGCTGCGGACCTGGCTCTTGATCTTGACCAGGACGAGGAGGGCGAGGACGAGGAGCGCCAGGGGCACACCGAGAATGACGACGAAGGCCCAATTTGGGATGTCCTCGGCGTTCCCGGGAAGAACGTTCTGAAAGGTGGTTGACATCTGTGGTGTAGTGCGTTCGGGTGGTGATGGCCGGCGGTTGGGGCTTGGGCTCTGTTAATCAGAGAGGCTGCCAACAAAGGCCAGCAGTGAAGGCAACGAGAAGTTTGCTGAAAGCGATGGAAAGAGATTATCGAACCACCCGCGTGACTACATGCTCAACTAGCTCCAGCAACAGTGAGAACAGCCCATGGGACCCAGAGATAATCCAGTCAATAATTCCAACGCACTCGTACGCGTTCCGACATGACGGGCAAAAGCATCGGATAATTTAAGCGCAGAGTTACGACTACCAACTGTGACGCGCCGGCCTCGGGTCGCTTCTGGTAGTGTCATCGCATGCGCAGACGCGATATTGGGAACAGAGGCTCACCAGAGCCAACACCATGTCTCAGATGACCAGAGCTAACACCACGTCTCAGATGACCTAGAACCAGGGTAACGAATCTCGGCGTTAACACGATGTGTGCCTTAATGATTCCAAGCTCCGCAACCTGATCCGAGAGGCCGCTGGCCGTGTAAGCGAGCACGGCAGCGCGGTTGTTCTCGGCCGGCGTGCGGAAGACAAGCGGCGCGCACAGCGACAGACGCCCCAAAGACGAGGATGGTGAAATCCGATCGTGTCGTTGAGCGTGGCGATATCGGAAAACGCATGGGCGGTGCCGCGTGATTGTGCATTTGTAGTTGTATTTGTGATAGTCAGCGGACCTCGTGGTGTGCTTCAACGCGTTCGGCAACAGGAGAGGTGAGATGGGCCGGGCAGCGACGACTGACTCGTCGGCGGCTGTCCTCCTGAACAGGTGGGCTGGAGAAGTAGTGCAAATATTCAAGAACGATGGCCAGAGAAGAAATAGACTGATAGAAGAACGCTTGTGCAATGTAAAAAGACTCCAACGCTATGCCTGACAAAAGAAAACGCGGTCGCACTCTCACAGGTGCCTTTTTTAGTTGCTGAACGCCAGGACACGAGGCCATCGTGTTCCCAGCCGTATCTGCCATGTCCGTAGTGCCTGACAGATTGCCCGCTCTTCGGCCTCATCTCAGATCCAGCTGAGCTGACGAAGCTCGGCCCGTCTTCTTTCTTGTATTTCTTCCCCACCCGTCTCGCTCCGCTGCACAACACCGTTATGTGCCCCTCACCGCATCACCGTGGTGTAACGTCTGACTCTGGTAGCCCATCGACTCGTTATGCACCTGGTGCCATTAGCCCCGCTTCATCTACGCGCTGTACATCTCCTCTGCAATCACAAAATCAACGTACCGGCGCATAAGTCCCCTTCCCCCGCTCCTGCTCGCCCATATCCGCGCTCCATGCTTGCTCCTCGTCCTCCTCCAGTTTCCCGTAGTTGCCGCCGCGCGAGCGCTCCAGGCGCGGGATGAACGTCTTGTTGCGCGCGGACCGGCGCTTCTTGAGGAAGAGGAGCACGAGGATGATGATGAGGACGAGGATGATGGCGCCGACGATGAAGAAGACGACGGCCAGTGTGCCGGCGGCCTCGCTGTCATTTCGAGGTAGGAGTGGCATGGTTGGGGATGTGCGGGCGTCGTTCGATCGGGCGCTGGAGCCTTGTTTCTGGTGGCTCTTGAAAGTGTGCGAGGATCGTGAATTGCGGCCTTGCGTATGAGGACGGCGAGTGGGAATGGAGTGAGGAAGAATGCACAACGACGAGACGAAGGACACGAAGCTTCAGGAAGAACGAGAAGGTGCAAGAACTGCCAAAATCCAGGGTCTGGGGCGAGACAGTGTCTTAAAAGAGCCTCATCTCGTCTGGAGAAAGCACGAGCATCGTGTAGTGTTCTGTCTCCACAGTACTCAGACGTCCATGCGTATCCCCTTTCTCACAGCCACACAGATTAGCATCAGGGCGGATCTCGAAATACTTCATGTTGCGCACATGTTATGAATGGGACGTTTTCCTGCCGTCAAGACCAGTCGTCATTGTATCGAAGTCTACGAGTGTGTCATTGTTTCATGCAGGAGCCCTCCGCGAAAACACATGCACAATGAGCGGTCTGGAAGCATGGACCCAGTTCTAAGATTAGGTTGGGCGATCGGAAGGCTTATCTCCACTCTGGTCTCCACCGGCAACGGCCCGAGGCACCAGAGGATTTGGGCGGTGGTCTTTATTTCGCCGTGCGCCAACAGTGGATGGGTAAAGACTTGGGTGGAATGAACCCATATACGTGCAATTGGGATCAGGTGATGCGGGCGGGGACGGATCTGAGTGAGCGTGGCTTGGTTTCCGGTAGTAGCCGCTTCGTCGCCGCGTTGCTCCGGTGCTTGAAGTGAGTTGACTCGAATATCAATCTGCTCCGAGCCCTCTTGAGCACCCATCAAGCACGGAATGAGACGTGATAGAAACATCCTTTATTTGAAAGACCCCAAGGTCTTATAGCTTAAGCCGTCCCAAGCTTGGCCCTGATGCCAGCGATACTTGCCTGAAGAATACCCTTGAGCCCTCCAGCGGCCGTAGGAACCTCATCGGCGCCCACAAAGCGGCGAACCAGCAAGTTGAAGATATTGCCGAAACCAAGCGCCATGACTGTGCTGGTGAGGATGATGACGTTGTACGGCATACTGAAGTCAGGTGTTGGGAGGGGCAACAGGAGCGATGTCGTCCTGATGTAGATGCCTTTCTTGTCTGCGGCCTGAGGCAAAAGGATACGAATGACAGCCGGCGCGACATCGAAGCCTCGATTGGCATCGGGCGGGTATTCAGTGTAGCGGAGGATAGCCTTCTCGAACTCGTACGTCAGTGTAAGAGTGGATCCAGGTGGAATGACCATGCGTAGCTCTAGATGAGTGCCACGCTGCCTATCCAAAGCCGGTCTGTAGTATGTCTCCTTGATGGGAGTCTCGCTGGATGTGTCGACGTGAGCACGTAGTGTGTGCAGATAAGGCTTCATGAACCAAGGTAGCGACTCCAGGTAAACAAACTCGACCGCCTCGGTAGTCGAGGGGTTCCTGATAATCGCCTGTGTGCTGCCACGCTCCTGACCATGGCCGTTGATCGAGCGAGCAGCAAAAAGCGGAGGGTCTGAACGGACCAGTCCGGTCGTCATCTTTTGCTCTGGCAAGACAAGATCGAAATCTGCGCCGACTGGAAGCTTGTAGCAGCGAAGGGTGTCGGAGGCAAGCCTGCTCTCGCTGAACTCACCTCCAGACTTGGCATGTACGGTGCGTTCCGGCGGTACGTTGATGCACACACTGTTGCCGTCTTCAGCATCCTCGACCAAAGGACATGAACCCCTCAGAGGTCTTCCAAAAACTTCCTCGAGAGTCCACCCGGGCTCTGTCCCTCCCTTGTTCAAGGGGAAGCAGGTGTCGTGCGCATTGTATGCCTTGGACGTGTCGCACTCTATTTGGTCGATGGGGAGCGGACGAGGGATTGGATTGTCGCGAGGGCGCTTCGATCGAGCAATATCCAGGACCATGTCCACACTCTGTTCCATTTCCAACGAGCACTCGCCGGTTTCGAGGCCACAGATGGGACGCACGTCTATCGCCATGGTCTGGAACGAAGCGTCAAACAGTTTGTGGCCATCCAGGAGGCTGGAGATGCCAGCCTTGCCTTTGCAAGGCAGCAGCTTGAGGAAGGGCGTCAAGTTCTCGGTGCAGACGACCTCGTGGGGCAGGGTGCCGTGCAGCAGATGCAGGTTTGGCGCGTCTCGATGGTGGCCCTCCGGCGAGAAGGCCATGACGGGACGGATCGTCTTGGTGGCGTCGATGAAGTTCAGGGAGGCGCAGAAGAGGCCAGACAGCGCATTGGTGAGGGTGAGCCAGCGGGCAAATGCTCTGTCAGGGGTCAGTTGCGGTCAACACGTGTCCACGCAGTCTCCGTACTGCTCTTCGCTCTCAGCGGCAATCCACGCCCACAGCTCCACGCCGGTTCCTCCTTCTCTGGACCCCTGGTGCGGCCGGCGACCCCAGTTCTCGGCATCCCACCGCCCCACGCTGAATCGCAGGTGCAGCTCCTGCGCGTGGGCATGCTGCAGGATCTGGCCGAGCGATCTGGGCACATGGCGGAAGTTTTGCTGCGCGAACGAGGCTTGGCTCTCGTTGCTGCGGAAGTTGAACGACGCAAGGAGCGTGTCCTGCGGGAGAGGTCGAAGCAGGAGCTGCTCGTGGTAGTCCGACGCCGCCGAGGCGAACGCCGTGCAGGCGCTCAGCGCGAACAGGAGGCCGGAAGAACGCATTGCAGCATTGCAGCGCTCGCTTGCACCGAAGAGTGACGTGACGTAGACGCAATGGTGTTGCGGAGGTGAAGGTGCGTGCCGCACGTGATTGGCCAGGACGCTACCGGTAGCTTGGCGGGCCGTTGCAGTGGCAGGTCGACGGTCGGAGGTCGCAGGGCGAAGGGCGAAGGTCGCAGGGTCCACGGGTCGTGATTTCTCTTCGACGGCAGCCGCCAACCGCAGCCACCACCCGCAGCCGCCACCACACCAGCAGAGCGCAGACAGCAATTATAATGGCTGCCGCAGAGACGCGCAGGCTGCTTGGTGCGTATCGCGCTCGTGTTCTATGCTGAGTCATGCTGACAGACCTCAGAACAGCTCATGGGCGAGCAGCTCATGAGCGGCTCCGACCAGCGCGCACCGCAGCTCAGCATCACCGACCCCAAGGTCTGCCGCTCATATCTCGTCGGCAACTGCCCCCACGACCTCTTCACCAACACAAAGAACGAACTCGGCCCCTGCCCCAAGGCCCACAATGAAGCGCTCAAGACCGAGTACCAGGAGGCAGACGCAGACCAGAAGCGCCGTTGGGGCTTTGACTTTGACTACCTGCGCGACATGCAGCACCACATTGACGGCTGCAACCGCAAGATAGACCAGGCGCAGCGGCGCCTGGAAAAGACGCCCGAGGAGATTCGACAGACGAACGCTCTGGTAACCGTCTCCGGCTTCGTCCATTGGGACTTTGCTAACCGTGCCCTAGCTGAAATCGATCAACGAGCTGACCAAGTCCATCGACGCCGGCATGCTCGAGGTCCAGATCATGGGCGAGGAGGGCATGGTCAACATGGCCGTGCAAGAGTTCACCAAGGTCCGCATGAAGAAGGCGGAGAAGGAGGAGCGTGAAAGGGAGCTCAGGGCTCTCTCGGACACGGGCGGACCGTCAGGACATCAGAAGCTTCAGGTCTGTGACGTGTGCGGTGCCTATCTCAGTCGTCTTGACAATGATCGCCGATTAGCAGACCATTTCTACGGAAAGATGCACCTCGGCTATGCTCAGATGCGCAAGTCGTACGAATCCCTGCAAAAGGACCTCAAGGGCCGCGCTCCTCCCCGCGACGCATACCCATCACAGGGCGACGACCGAGCATCTGGCGGCTGGGGCGGCGGTGGCTATGGTGGAGGTGGAGGAGGCTACGGCGGCCGCGGTGGGCGGCGTGGTCGCGGAGGCAGAAGAGGAGGCTGGTAATGGTCTTTTGGTCCGGCGTTCAAGGTGTGTCAAGATGATTCCCAAACGGTCCAACTTACTACAGCATTATTGCGAGCGACACTGGACCTGCAACTTCTTTCAGCAGTGCTTGTACAACAGAGGCCGTCTACAAAGCCATTTGGAGCATGGAGCTCGCGACCTAGTCCAAATCAAAACCATGTACGCCTACACCATGACTCGTTTGGTCCATCTCTAACCTTGAACAAGGGACTGCGTGCAACTATGCATACTGCTCGGCAGGAGTCTTGACAGCCGAGAGTCTCCTGGATCGAGGGATACCAGTGAGTTGACATTTCGCTTGTCGCCCGTCGTCTCCTGGCCACTCGCTGAAGGCATACGCCCCGTCTCATTGCCCCGTCTCATTGCCCCGTCTCATTGCCCCGTCTCATTGCCCCGTCTCATTGCCCCATCTCATTGCCCCGTCTTATTTCCAGCTTCGTCATCAGTCATGCGTCCTTTTGCGTCTTCCCTGACATCTGCACGAGCGCTGTCCTCATCTCCATGAAACGGAACTCCCACCGCGGAGCCTTTGCACATATAAGCCTAGGCCCACCCGTATATGCACCGTCTTCTCAGTAAGTTCGTGAATGAGTTGTAGGAATGAAGTTGCTCGAGCACAAAGCCGCTGATCCTAACTCGTTGCACAAACTCGCTTCTGGTTTCGAGCCCCAGGAATGTAGCGTGGGTTGCATTTGTTGCATCAGTAGGATTTCCGCTCCCTACCCTGGCGAGAAATGCACGGCAGCCACGGCCTCGGATTCCGAGATAATGGTATATAACCAATAATCCGTATAAACCCTTGTTCAATGTTCAGCCTCCTTTCCCGACAACATGCATTCAGTCTGTCTTTTGTGGGGTCTTTTCACAGTCGCAGCCCAGCGTGCCACTGCACTCACGGCTAGCGTTCCAGGTGATTCTCGCGTAGACTAGCTACACATGCAGGCAGCTAACGCGCAAAGTGACCGACAATGTGCTTAACCTTGAAGTTGGAGACTCGTTTATGGGTGCTCTGACACCCTCCTCAGAGTACCTCGCCAGTCTGCGTCGCAATGCCAGGAGGAAGGTGAAACGCCAAAGTCCTTACAACGACTTCGATGCAGACGTTCAAGAAGACCTCGTCACCCTCGGTGGCAGAGTCTACATGACCAGAGTCACTCTTGGCGATCGAGTCTACTCTCTTGTCATCGACACGGGAAGCTCAGATACTTGGGCCGCGCAAGCAGGCCTGGTTTGCAAGAATGCGGCCGGCCAGACTGTCACGACTGCAGCCTGCAGATTCGGTCCGCTTTACAACACGACACTCTCGCAGAGCTACAAGGCGTACAATCCTCGACAGACATTCGCTGTCAATTACACCAGCGGTGAGTATCTGCAAGGCATACTAGCAACCGAGCTACTTGGTCTCGGAGATGTCGGCGCTGGATATGCTCCTCGTCAGATTGTCAACCAGACGATTGGCATTGTGCAGCAAGGATATTGGGACGGTGATAGTACCAGCAGTGGCTTGATGGGCCTTGCATATACCCGGCTCGCCAGCGGGAGCAGTTCAATCGGCTACGAGGCCGTCAGCTTCTCCCTGTAAGTCTTTTCATCACCCCCAACCCACACTCTTTCTGGCTGCTCCACGGCCTACACTATCCCGCTTTCCAGTCCTAACACACCACAGCTTCGACCAAGCCTACTACCCGCCCATCTTCTCCCTCGCACTCAACCGCACCCTAGTCTCAACCGTCACCAAAACTCAACCCTCCACAGCCCCCGGCGGCGTAATGGCCATCGGCGGCCTCCCCGACGTAAGCTACGACACAGCCTCGTGGGTGCAGACCAGCATCCTGCCCGTCAGTGCAAGCGTGTACACGTATTACAGCATCAGAATCGATGGCTTCCGCATCATCGCGCCGACGGGGTCCACCGTGTCGCCGCAAAACTACGCCGCCAGGGGCCAAAACATCATCGTCGACAGCGGAACCACGCTGATCTATTTCCCAGACAGAGTCGCGGATTACATCGCCTCTCTGTTCCAGCCCGCGGCGACGTACAACGAAGACTCGAGGCTGTACATTGTTGACTGCGCGGCGGTTGCGCCGCGCGTCGGCGTCACGGTCGCGGGCACCACGTACTTCATCAGCTCCGATGATCTTATGAACCGCGGCAGTGGGGCTGTGGGGGGTCCGGGAACGGGAGCGGGGACGGGGCAGTGTGTGCTTGCTGTGCAGAGGACGGAGGGGGGCGCTGCTGTGCTGGGGGACAGCTGGTTGAAGAACGTGCTGATTGTTTTTGACCTGGGGGCGAACAAGGTCAGGATTGCTCGGAGGGAGGTGTACTGACTGCTCCGCTGAGATATGTGGTATTGGGCGCCGTTGCTCAGCGCCCTCGAGCAAGTGGAGACAGGAGAAGGGGGGAGTCTAGTCCTCACATCCGTCCAACTACACACACCTCCCCCCGGTGCATCTCTCCTTTCACTTCCCCCGCCCATCCTCACTCAGCAGTGACTCCGCACGCCTCCTTTCACTCCCCCATCCCCCGCACCTCGCCCTTATATCCCCGGCAGTGCTTCTCCACCCCCTCTCCACCCTTCACGCAACTGCACACCCTCACACCCCTCTCAGCCATGACTTGGTGCTGTTCGCGCTCGTCGCTGTGTTGATTGTGGGCGGGGGGGGGGAGGGGTGGGTTTGAACTCTGATCGCAGGGGTGGGCTAGAACTTTGATCGCAGGGGTGGGCTGGAACAGGGAGATGTGCCAGCGAGATGATGAGGCGGCGAGCGAGCGAGATGAGTGGATTCGTTAGGGCGGCGGACTGATAGATGTAGTTTTACTATCTACTATCCCCCCTCCCCACCCACCCATTACGAGCTGAATAGACTGTAGTCCGTATATCAATAGACTGTAGTCCGTATATCCTGAGCGTACATCCCCCCTGACTGCAACCCCAACCGTCCATATCACCACACTACACTACACCGGCATCACTGATCCCGTTCGACGAGACCGAAACCAGAGCCGCAGCGCTCATCACGGGGTGCGAGGCCGTGCGACTTTGTGAAAGTGGTAGCGGGACTGGAGCGGGGAGAAGGAGTGCTCTGGCTCAGGGAAGAGGGTAGAACGCGCAGTGCGATTGCACGACATCGTGGGCTGTGGGATCGTGTTTAGGACCGCGGTGGACAACGCGAGGGTGGGCTCATGTACTCGGTAAGAACAGGGGACCAAGGCACCACCAGCCCAACAGAATTCAGTTACGTATCTCGAGTTCCTTCGCCGCACGCATCCGCACAGCCAAAGCCGGGAAGCACGACGCCCGCCTAGATAGTATAGACACTATAGATTGAAGGGAGGAGTATAAGGCACAAACATATCTCCATGGATCAGAATCATCGTAACCCCCCCGCACGTGTCAACCGAGCACGCTCTGCAACGCCAAAAAAAAAAAAAGCCAAAAAAAAAAAAAAACACTAGCCCCCAGAAATCCAAAATGGTTTGTTTGTCGAATGCTCAACCGCTGAAGAGGCTTGGCTTGCATGCAGCATACGTCGTGTGCGCGCACGATTCAACGCTCTGCACTGCTGTCTAGAGATGCACATCCGACGTTTGTGGTTTTTGCTCGGACTCGTCGATGCGGGCCGTGCGCGGTACGCCATGTGTAGTCGCTTGAACGCGGGACATGTAGATCCGAAGCTTCATGGGTCCTGCAGCACGCATGCATGACCAACGCAAAGTCTCAATGGCCGGCTCAGCGATGCGCAACCGACCCGATCAGAACGCCTCCGTTTTTCCGTACCACTCAGCGTACGACTCGGTGCTGATAAGCGAAGACGCATTGGTACTGATATGCGCTGCAGCTTTTCCTAGGTTCCTGGATGAGATACACCCAGGCCTTGGAAAGACACAGATCACATACCGCCCTTCTTCTTCTTCTCATCGGCTCTTGCCTTTCGCGCAGACAACACAAGCGGTGCGAGGGTGTTGAGCGGCTCTGATGTCTGTATGAAGGGATGCTGGCTCGCGTCAATGTCAACTCGTCACTAAAGGGGAGCATGTACGTACCACAAGAAGATCATGGGCGCTGGCGCGCTTGTCAGGATCCACCTTCAGCGAGAAGCCTAAAAAGTCGCGGAGAACTGGCGACAGAGCGTGCTCCTCCTTGATCTGAGGTGTGCCGTTCGTGGCGATGAGCCACAGCGCGCGCAAAGGACTCTCGTTGAGGTACGGCGGCTCTCCCTCAATCATCTCGATAGCCATGATGCCCAGTGACCAAATGTCGACCTTGCGACCGTACTCCTTGCGAGTGACAACTTCTGGCGCCATCCAGTACGGCGTACCAACCATGGTCGTGCGCTTGTTGTGGTGCTCGTTGATTTGAGCGCAGAATCCAAAATCGGTGAGCTTGATGTTGCCCTCGAGTGACAAAAGGATGTTGTCGGACTTGATGTCGCGGTGAATGACGCCCTTGGAGTGCAGGTGCTGGAGGCCGTGGAGAACCTCCCTGCAGACTGCCGCAATCTGGCCTTCCGACATGATGTTGAACGTGACCACGTCGGTCAAGCTGCCTCCCTCCATGTACTCCATGACAACCCACAGGTCACCACGCACGAGGAAACTGTCCATGAAGTTGACAATGTTCTTGTGCCTGCTGTCCTTCATGACCAGAATCTCGTTGATAATCAGGTCCTTCTTGGGCTGCTGCTCCAGGTTCATCTGCTTGATGGCTACGCATTTGTTGGAGCAATTCTCGTAAGCCATGTAGACACCACCGGAGGCGCCCTGGCCAATCTTGTTGAGCTGGCGGTAAAGCGTGGTGGGATCTGCGTTTGTGCAGATGGCGTTGAGCTTGGCGACGATATCCGGGCCCTGGCTTTGCCTCGGTCGCTGCCGTGGTCGAGCCTGCGCTTGAGGCGGCGCTGGGCCTGCACGAGCCTGCTGCGATGGGAGAGGAATGTTCTGCGGATCCATCTGCTGCGCGAGCAGCTGCTGCGGCGAGGGCTGCACGTGTGCAGGGGGCCCATGGTGGAAGGGCTGCGCTTGTGGCGCCTTCTGGCTGACGCTTCGGCCAAGATGGGGCGGCTGGTGCTTGTGGCTGTTCATCGAATGCTGGACTGCGGCCATGGCCTGGGCCTGCTGCTGCTGGTACTGCTGCGCGGGCGAGATGGCAGTCTGGCTGCTGCTGGGCGACTCAAAGTGCGGAGGCGTCCCACCCGTGGTGTTTGCGCGGCTTCGCGGCGCTGAAGAAGTGCCATAGGCGCTGTCCGTGGCCTGGGGAGAGGCGTAGACGACCGGGGGCGCATCGTTCTTCGGACGGAGTTGCTGGGAGGCGACCTGGGGTGCCGTCGGCGCAGCACGCGAGGGCACGAGGTTGGCCGAGCCTGCCGCAGCGCCCGGCGGGCGGGGAGCAGGTCGGTTGGGCATGACGGAGCCATTGGCCTGGGGCGTGTTCGACACGGGCGACGTCAGGCTGCGGGGCAGAGGGACTGGGGGCGGGGCGCGGGGGTTCTCGAAGCTGTCGTGCTCGTTGCGCGGGAAGCGCGGGCTCTGCGGCGGGCTGAGCGGCTGGGGTGCTCCGTAGGCGGGGTTGAGCGACTGGTGGTGGGGGTGCGCGGCGCCCATCTTCTCCCAGACTTCGTCCTCGCCGTTCTTCTCCGCGTTGGTCTTGTAGAAGTTGACAACGTCCATGGCGGCCTGGGGGTGCTGCTTCTGCTCCTGCTCGGTGATGCCGTTCTGCTGGAGCATGCGCTGCCATTCCTTGGGGAGGCCCTGGACCGAGTTAGCTACGGGATGCAGTCGAGGGCCGTCAGAGCGGGCATCTCATCAGGGCTCGGGACAACGCCTACCGTAAACTCGCCCGTCTCGTTGTCGATGCTGACGTGGGTGACGTGCATGGGGTTCGTCGGCGTCGAGATGGTCGGGCGGCGCGGCGAGCCCAGCATGTTGCTCATGAAGGCGCTAAAGGTACTCTTCTTCTTGCCGCTGTCGCGGGCGCGACCCTTGAGGCCATCGCCGTCGTCGCTGTAGCGGTTGCGCGGGCTCTTGGTGCCCGACGGCGGCGTCTCCATCTTGCGGGCAAGCTGCTGGAACGAGGTGCTCTGGCGCAGGCGCGGGCTCTTCTTGAACCGCGGGGGCTGGCTGCCGTCGGCCGTGTGCGAGTGCTGCGGGCCCGGCGGGCGGAGCGGCTTGGAGTGGGCGCCGGCGACAATGTTGGTGAAGCTGTCGCCGACTAGCTCGTGGCCGGACGGTAGGCGGGTCGGCGGGGCGTCGTGGAAGCCGTATGCGCCGCTGGCGTCGACGGTGCGGCTCTCGGTCAGCGGCGTGAGGAGCGAGGGCGAGCGGCGCAGGCTGCTGGCCGACGAGGCGGAATGGGCAGGGTGGCTGCTGCCGCTGCTGCTGCTGCTGCCGGCGGACACGCCAAGACCCTGCAAGGCGGCGGACTGGCTGCTGCTGCTGGGCTGGCTGCCGGAGCGGTCAAAGTACGACGCGGCGCTGGGGGCGCGCTTCAGCTGGCCGGCGGTGCTGTACTTGTTATTGTAGCTGACGGGCGGCGGGGCGCGGGCTCGAGTCTTCTTGGACAGCCGTCGCGCCTTGCTGTCTGTCCGCGGGTCGTCCATGACCACTCAGTGCTGGCGTGTGGGCGTGCTGACCCCGGGCTGCCAGCGTGTACCACGCTGCGGGCCAGGACCGTCCAGTAACGGCCAGGCAGGAGCCAGTCACAGCGTGCAGGCGGCGCGGCGAATCGCAGAGGGGCAGGCAGGCGAGGCAGGCGAGGCAGGCGAGGCGGGCGAGGCGGGCAACAGTCCAGGACGCGGGCAGAGTGCAACAATGGCTGGGGAGCTGGTAGGGAACTTGTCACTGGCTCGACGACGCGGTCGAGGGACAGCCGGCGCACATTTCAACCACGGCCTGCACAGCCTGCACAGCCCTGCACAGACAGCAGCCGACACGGCGTCTCTGCTGCTGCTAGCCAAACCGCCGACGGGGCCAACTGGGGCTGCCAGGCCTTGCGCTCGTCATCTCCACACGACGTCAAAATGAGTTTCACCTTGGCCCGCCCATCTCATTTCCAGCATCGCCGCCATGTGCCGGCTAAACGGCGTGTGCAGCACCGCAGCAGCTAGGGAGCCGTACGAGCACTCTACTCTGCGCCTAGGCCTCCACGGGCAGCGCTCGACACGTGCTCCGGTGTAACGTCGAACACGGCTATAGTCTTGAGAGCCCGCACTGGAGAGTCGGCCATTAATGATTCACCTTGCTGCTGCTGCTGCTGCTGCTACTGCTGCTGCTGCTGCTGCTGCTACTGCTGCTGCTGCTGCTGCTGCAAGGCACAGCATCAAAAGCAGCGCACACATAACCTTCTGAGCCCATGAAACGCGCCATGCAGACTGCAGACACCCGCACCTCGCCAGCGCAGCCTTCAGTAGCACCAAGATCCGCATGTGCAACTGTCAAACTCTGCAGACGAGACATGCGGTCATCTGTCAGGCACGCAGCAGCGCCTTGCCATCCAGCATCGTCCAAACACGCAGAACACGGCAGCAGCAACCTCACCTGCGACACAGCACGTTGTACGCGCACAAACCCTTGCGTTCCCAATCCGCGCTGGCGCAAGAGGAATTCAAACGCCCGCGGCCAAGCACCACCCTTCCGCCGCGGCAACGGCCCTTTTGCCGCACGCCACCCACGCACGCCAACCGCTCCGGCGAGCGTCACAGCCAACGTCCCGGAACCCGCTGATCTGTGAGGAAAACCACACACGCGGACCTGCCTCGAGTGCACGACCGCCGATCTCCAGGTCCATCGAGTTCTGGCCTCGAAAGCTGCGAGATTTCCAGGCGAGGGGCCGCTAAGCTAGCGAGATGGTGGATGGGGGGGGAGGCGGTATGGTCATTTCGGAGTGTCGACCCGGTTCTGGAGTGTTGTGTGATGTGTGACGCAGCTGCAGGTACGAACCAGATCGTATTCCCAACGTCCGCAGGTCGTCATTATTACCTATCGGCGCCAACCGTTGCTAAGCTTGATGCTCGACTGTGATTTACTAGCTACTGGCCTTGTTGTGCTTGACGTGCGACATGTGATGTTTTCCATTGATACCTGCATATTGCCTTGTCGCCGTCTTGTTGCTGTCTTGTTGCTATCTTGTTGCTGTCTTGTTGCTATCTTGTTGCT